TCTCTCTCTCTCTCTCTCTCTCTCTCTCTCCCTCCCTCCCTCCCTTTGTCTTCCTATTCTTCAATTCTGTCTCCCTCTTTCTCATTTCCTCATGTCTTCCTGTCATCTACAGGAGAAGCTGCCAGCCCTACAGGAGTGCGACGTGCGCTACACAGATGCCTGGTGATGGAGCAGCACCCCCCCTGGACAACACATGTGTCGTCTTAGGTGCACAGCACATGTGTTGTCCCTACCATACAGCACACATTGTTGCTGTTAACACAGGAACAAAAACAAAAACTCTGTGCAGATGTTAAGTCTCTGCTCCTGTCCACTGCCTTACTTTGTATGCGTTTGTTTGTATTTGCACTTGTTCTGGAACAGAAAGCAAGGAAGTGCTTTCGCGTTTAAATTATGAGAGAAATTTTTTAATCTACCACAAAAGGACAAAAAGAAAAAAAAAAAAAAACGCAAACAAAAAATCAACCTGAATATCAAACAAGTGAACACGTTACTGTATGGATATTTTGATACACCCAAATGATCAATGTTGACACTGACCAGCACTGTGGAGTTGTGTGTGAGAGGAACCATGATATTGACGATTCACTCATCCACTCTTTTCTCGTCAAGATCCGTTCATGTTCACACGTGTCATATGTGTTCATGGTGCCCTAGAAGACTGCATCATTTTCTCTTGTGTATACAAGTGCCAACGTTGTGGCTATTTCGTGACCTCTGACCTCTAGGGCGGCTCTGGGACTGTGCTGTGCTGCAGTATGGAGTATGAGGTTGTCAAGAGGTCATTGTTTTACGACTAATACTACTTCTACTTGTACAACTACAGCTACTAGTTCTATGACCACTGCAGCCACCTAATGTTTTCTTCAGAGTGTTCTGGAGGATCAGTGGATACGATTCTTTATGATGCGCTGTTGGTGCCTGCAGATTTGATAAAGAGCTCCGCTTCAGGTCGCCTCCAACTGCAGCACTGACGACTCTTCTCATTGCACATGATCTATAAACAATACTGATTATGACCATCATTGTGACAGTGTATGTCTCTAGCATCTGTGTGAGTACTGGAGAGGAGAATTATAATTGTATGGATTATTTCAGTGCTCCTTGTTTCCTTTTGACTGTTCTCAGCTCATGATGGTACGAATAAATATAAAATATGACACATGCATAACAAAGGTGCTTGTGACTGTGTGATTGGATGTACTTGCGGAAAAATTCGGGAATAATTCCACCAGGGGAGTTCACTTTCGGCTTTGTTCCTGCTCTGAAGAATACAACAAAGGTGTCAGTTACTACGTTACATGAAGGTGCTTTCCTTTCGTTCTGATTGAGTATGTCTGTAGTAGTCCAGGTGAACCAGCTTGAGATTGATGGTTGCTTAAGTTCATGGTGTTTCACTATGTGCTGGAAGGGAGCTCTGATGACTCAGCTGCTGTCATGCTGGACTGCCTTTCGGTAAATTAGTCTGTTCGGAGGAGATTTGAAGGTTTTCCACTGTGTGGAGTTTGATCCTGTTGGAGAGGAATGTTGGGTGAGAGGTGTTCCCTCTTGAGGAACCAGAACGTGTTCAGTTAAGGTGTTGAAAGTGGCATGAAACAAGAGCTATGCCGTGAAGTACCGTACATGAGTAGGAGCACCGAGGGCTGTCATCAGCCCTCGTGTGATGTGTTCTGTGATAGGACAAGTGCAAGGGACCACACAGTTGCCTTCAAGGACTTCTCTTTGGACAAGGGGATGTGCTGAGATCGAGAGCCCGTCTCTGGCATCTAATGATTAATGTGGGGAAGCATTTTACCACCAGTGAGAGAGAGACATTTTTTATCATCATTCCCTAGCTTTGAACTACAGATCCACCAGAACTCACTCGGTTCGGTGTTGTGACTGTATGCCCGCGGATGTATGCCTCAATTTGTGGTTTGTAATTGGTCACTACCATTGTACCATTTCTGCATACTGATTCATTCACTACATGTGTGTGTGGAGAATGTTCACTTTATACCTTTCTCACTTTTAGGAGACTTGAAGATGACTGTGGTGGTATGGAGATGCCTTGACGTTGGTACATTTTCATTGTTTGTCCAGGCCCTTTTCTTTAGTTTACTGTATTTGCTGAACAATATTCTTTTCTTTTTTTCTCACAAATTCATGTTAATCAAAAAGTGACATTTTACAGTTTTAAGATTAGAAAGTAATTTTTAAAAAAATTCAGTTAAAAACTGTTAATCCTTTTCTTTGAAACATGAAGTCTTAACTGAAAGTTGTCTAGGCTTTATATGAAAATATCCACACTCACTATCACCTTAGGTTTCTCATCCCACTTTTTTCTGGGTGATATTTGATGAATCACTTACTTAAGGATGACTGTGGGCTCCCCCTACTCATCTAGACTGCCCAAATATTTTCACTCATGTCTCCTAAAGTTGCCGTCAGAAGTCCAAAGCGATTTCTCATACCACCTCAAGAATGTCTCTTCGGAATTTTCAGTCTTTTGGGGGGTTTTTTGGGGATGGGTTTTTTTTTTTCCTAAAGCATTTTATGACCTATACGGAGGCATGGGGGATACACATATCTTTATTTTCATAAGAATTCCAAATTTGATCACAGAGTTGTGTGTTCTCCCAGTAAAGTTCCTATAAATAGTTGGAAAAACTTGACATTACCTATCTGTGTACGAGCTCAGGAGCTGGAGGTTTTGTCATTTCCTTGAAGGTGACAATTTGGTTTTTTTTGTTTTTTGTTTTTTTAAAGCAGGAACAGACTTCTCTGATGCAGTGGGGGGGTTTTCTTGTGAAATCTGGCCCTTCTAGGTGGTAAATGATAGTAGGCCCTACACACGTTTGACCAAACCTGAAGTGTGCTCATGAGAAAGGGGAAAGGTAATAATTATGTCAAAAGATGTTTTCACTGCAAGGCACTTGTTGCTTGTCAGTGAAGAGATGAATGAATGACTGTGACTTTGATATGTTGACCATAATATGATGACTTCATGACTTACAAATTCCACACCCAGGAGAAAATGGTGAGTCTGTGGAGACAAACAAAACAAAAAGTGCCATGTTGGTGTTTTGTACTTGTATAGGATGTGACAGAAATAGGATTTCTTGACGTGTCATTCGGAAAACTAGAAGTATGCAGTGCCTTTTTCTATAGTTCTGTGGATGCGAGAGGTATTGTATAGACCTTCTTTGTCACCATTGCTGAAAAGCTTCAAGGTTGTTGAAAGTGCCAGGTCCTCAAGGTTGTTGAAAGTGCCAGGTACATAGAGTAAAAAATAACCCCCCCCATGGTAGTGTGCCTGCGCTGTGTTGGGGATCCTTTGGCATAACACATTGGTTGTTTCAAAGGACCTTCGAGGAACAGTGACTTGTATCACATCTGACATTTGAGAGATGAAAAAGGAATAAGATTAAAAAGTAGGAAAGCACTTGTAGAATTGCAGCAAAGGTTACCTGTCAGTGAGCTGCTTTGCTCCTCTCTAAAACAAATATTAGTGCACCCTGCCAAGGGCAATAACAAAAAATATGATCTATATTCTATATATTCTATATTTATATAGTAGATTGTTGTGTCTGAGAGGCATATAGTGTGAATAGAAGCTGGAGGATGAGAAGGAGCTCTCAGACGAACACAATGTTGTTTTGGTGGCCATTATGATTTATGTACATGTACTTGATATTTCATATTATGTTTTTTGTTCTTGTTGATTCATGGCAACCTAATTTTCTACGCATTTGGTTTGTTTCATGTAATGAACTACTTTTTGTTCTGTGGTAAATGACATCATGATTCTGGTCTGGCTTGCACAATCCCCTGTGTTATGTGCCCCTGTGTTATGTGCGCTTGTGTTGTTGAAGGACCAGAACATCCATTTCTTTCCTGTTGATTTTCTTTGCTTAAGGCGGCCCATACACGATCAAACTTGCTTGACGCACATGCTTAATTAAATGTATTTGACAGCTTGACGTTTGCCTATTCTCGGTCAAACTTGTTTGTCAAACATTAGTCTGTGCCAAGACTTTGTATTGGATGGACCAACAGCGTTAGCTCAGATTGCTTTAACATTGCAAACCCCCCAGAAAAAAGAGAAAGTGGCCCAAAAAGTGGTTGTTGCACTCCCTGTATTTAACGAGTAGGGTGTCGTCATATCCAGCTTCTGTGAAATCTTTGTTGCTGTACTCTTTGCGTTTTACTTTCCACAATACGGGCACATTGTGGTATTCCTTAATAAACTCTAGCATAACATTTTTTTCCCCTTTTTTAATGGCGCCATGATGTTGTATGAGGTGAGATAGTTAATAACATTTGAAAATTGAAGAACAATACGAGATGTGTCGTCGCCGGCATCTTATGAAAAAATAATGCTTGACAAACAAGTTTGATGAACCCCACTCACGATCCAACTTGTGTGACGGCTTGACGAAAAATATCAACAAAAATCAGATCCTTCAAGCATTTGACATCAAGCATTTTTGTCCATCAAACTTACCCATACACGATCAAATGTTTATCAAATAGGCTTGAGTCAAGCATGTGTGTCAAGCAAGTTTGATCTTGTATGGCCCGCTTAAGGAGTTAAGTATGCCATTGTCATATTTCTCTCACAGTTTTCTACTCCACAAAAGAACTGCCTTTTGATTTGAAGTCTTGATTGTGGTTTTATTAAACCTAACAAAGAGTAGAAGGGTCATGGCTCATGGTGTTGAGTGTTGTGGAAATGATTATCCTTAAGCAGGTTGCCTAACACCCCTTTATTGAACATATAGTGTGACAGGTTTTATAACTCAAGTGAACACACAGAAGGCTGTGGAAGATACAGCAGATGTTTCAGCCTTTTTAGCGTGTGTCCCCCTGAGCTGACTAGATCCTCACACGTGAGTTCCCCAAGGACAAATGCTAGATTTATACCATACCATCGCGCACAGAAGTGTGTGTGTTCTGTGTGAGTAAGTAAAGATAGCTCAGTAGGCCTATACTTGGGGATCCATAGGATTAAGGATGTTGGAGCTCCCTGTCTCAGAGTTGACAAAAAGATCAGAGTTTATTGGTGAGCGAGAAGAATGCTAAAAGTGAGCCATAGTCTTGGTCAAGGCTTGCGAAATGCTTAGTGACAGACGGCCGAAGCCCATTCTGGCTGACTCGATTGTCCTGACTTTTGTAGGTTTTGATACGTACTGTTGTGTTAGTGATGCAGCAGCTGTGTCTGGTTCTGAGACTTGCTTGAAAGTGTGGTTCTGTGTTTCCAAAACACTTTGCCTTAACTCATGTGTTCATCACTACTAGGTGTATGTTGATACCAGACATGTCTTTTGTACTCCATGCTATAGTTTTTACATGACTGTGGAAAAATGTGATGGCTGCGATTGAGAGTGACAATCAACACGTGTGTTATATGGAGTTGACCTTTACACCCACTTACCACTATACAAATATGGTTTTACTTCATCAACAGTGTTTCTTCTGGAACTATTTTTAATCTTGCTTGCATTTTTTTTGGGTTTCATTCCTTTTGTATCTGCTTCAGTGTAGGAAAAGCATAACCAACGGTAGTGTTGAGAATCCTGCTAGTTTGCTGTACTGATAGTTATCAGCTGTAAGTCAAATCTGTGTGTGTTTTTGGCCTTACTATGTTTTTAGAGTGCTTACTGTCTTTGTTTAAAAGTAAAAGATGTTGAAACACATTTATCAAGGCCTATTTATAGACAAGTTTTATTTGTGGCGAATTCTACCAGTAGTTACCGGCTCATCAAACCAGATGGATTATAGAACAGCTGTCGGAGCAAAGAGATTTTTATTTTAAGATAAACCACAGAGACGTCCCAAAGCTGTGGATGCTTATGACAGGTCAAGTCATTTGCTGGACTTCCTAATCCTTTTGTTTGCCCAACTTTGTTACGTTGCAGTTTTGCTCGTCAGCAAAAAGTATTCATTTCTTGTATTCTATGTACTAGAATAGATTTATGCTGTTAATTTTGTAATAAGATGTTGGGTAGGTAACAAGATGAAGTGCCCAGCCAATGACTGTTTTTTGACACAGAGAGGTTGTATTCCTAAACTGCTCCTTGATTCTACACTGTCTTATGTCAGCTGAGTAGACGCTGCTATAGTATAACTTGCAAGTTGTGGACACTTTCATTAAATTTCCTGTTAATGTTAATGTTATGTAGTCTGATTCCGACTTGGTTTGCTGTTCTTGCCACATGAGTTAAGTTGTTAACTAACCCTCTAGGTCAGGGGTTTCATCATGATCTGTGAGGAGACAGGGAAGGGGCTACCGGTACCATAGTGTCCTGAAAAATTACTATTACTATTAGAATGGTGCATACAGATAAGTCATGGACTTTGCTGGGAAGTGTTGTAGAATGCAAGTACAAGAAGCCCAGGAGGTGAACACGCACTACACTGAGATACGAGGGCACTACACTGAGATACGAGGGCACTACACTGAAATACGAGGGCAGCGGGTTTATTTGCTTACGCTGTCTTTTTTTTTTTTTTTTTTTTAAATAAACTGTGATGAAGAACCAAGTGATATATTCATACAGCCAAAGATGGGGGAGGGGATCGGATGGATTGTGAAAATTTTCAGCAAAATACGTTCTAGTCCAGTCTCAATATAAACTAAATTTTTGCTCTTTATGTTTTGTGATGTTTGCAATTTTTTCACATGGAATTTCGCATTGTTCCTTTCCTAGACCACAAATGTTTTCTTACATTTTATGTTGCATTCAACAGCTGCAACAGATTACATATGTTTTGTTTTTTTCCATTTAAGCACTGTTACATTGGGTGATTTATGGTGTAATCATGATGTGTCATGTTTGCTTTCAGCTGTGTTGATTTTAATTTTACACCAGGTATTTTTATTTGTGAAAGTGGGAGAGACAGAAAGAAATATGTGGAGCAATTGTAATAATATTTTGATAATTTAAAAAAAAGTATTTGGATTTAAATTTGTTGCTCATCACAGGAAAAAAAAACCCGTTATGATTTGGGCAGTTCTGTTGTTAAAATGTTACCCGACATTTGTGAAAACTGGCTGCAATGGCAAAATGGCAGGGCGTGGAACCTGGGCTCAGACTGTCCAGGTGCTTGTGGTCTTTACCATTTTTTGTAAATCTGAACTTTTTATATCGCCTGGATGGGTTCTTGTTTTTCCCCTTTTTCATCTTGTAACATTTTCCGTAAATCTAGATGGTTTTCTTACTCTTGTGGTAACGATATTTTGACACACGATTTTAATGCAGAAGACCTGGTTTGAGAAGCAAGTTTGAAGCAGCCTGCCTCTTAAAAAACCTCACTCTGTGTTCATGAGGGTGTAAGAATAAGATATAAATTACCATAATATTTTAGAAGCAGAGTCAGTTCATGTGGAATGATCACCTCCTTGTTTCTGACTCATCACCTAAACAAGTCAATTTGTCATCCTTTACCAACATTGCCTCTACAAGTTTTTTGTTGTGTTTTTACTTTTTCATGGCTTGCTGTGGTTTGCTTGTGCAGAGATGGAACTAACTGTTCCGTACGTTTTCCCTTTTTGTTTGTATTATGTGTGCTGAAATATATGTCAGCAATAATGTGGTAGGGCATAGACAATTTGGTCTCATTATCTTGGCAGTTCCAGTTAATAAAATAGTTAAAATGGGATATGGGGGATTATGTCAAGGTCAAAGAATTTGTTAAGAGGTATTCATTCAGGCTGTTTGCTTCGTTATAATTATGGTGTTCTATACCCTGATGCAGGGTGAGAAAGGCAGTGATGGTGATGATTCAGGCTATGGGAACTTTGGTATGACATCTATAAAGTCTGACCCTTGGCATGCAGATATATGGGTCATATTTCAGGTGGGGACAAGTTTTGGTTTTGCTGTGTTTATTGGAAAAAAAAGGTAAAAAAAGGTAAAAGTAAAAGGAACTCTTGGCATCTGAGCCCAAAACTTGGTTCACTTTCCATACCTGTATAGGTGATGGAAGGGCCAGAGTTGTAATCTTTGGAAAGCAAATTATTTTGCAAACACTAAGCTTTACTTTAGAGAAAGATTTTTGTAGTTAGGTGTCATCATGTTCTAGGTTTTTTCACTGTGCTAAGCTTTCTGTCCTTAAGTCTTTTTGGCTGCTGCGCCTGAAAAATGTAGTTGTATCTGAGAATGTGGGACGGCTGTCGGAGGTAGTGAAAGTAAAATAGAAGCGATAGAAATGTGGTTTCTTAGGAGAAGAGTGAGAATTTCGGGGAAGGAAAAGAAATAAAAAAGGTAGTGCTGAAATAAGCTGGCATGGGCTGCTTACTGATTAAAGCAGATGGGAAGACAGTTGCTGGGACACTTGAGAATTGACCTAAAACATTGAAGAGATGGATCTCCCTGGAATAATAAAAGGCAAAAGAGGCAAGGGATAGACCAGGAGCAAGTTACTAAGAGAACCTGAACAGATGGATGACAGAGACAGTCAAGTGTACTGTAATAATACAGGATTCTTGTTAGAGCCTCTGAGCAAAGAAATGAGTTGCCATTCATTATTGCTGATGTCTGTTTCAGATCGGTCATTTCAGCTTGATTGATGATGGTCTGAGAAATGACATTTGAGTTTCCTGGCCTAGTGATCTTAGGTCTGTACTGAGCTTTTGCGTTTTCATAAATCTGTTGTGTTGAATGTTTATTTTTGGTGTATTTTCCTCATCTCCTTTCTTTTGTTTGTTCTCTCTGCCCTGCCACGCCCACCAGTTTGTCTCCTAGTCCGTTCTCCTGTACAGCAATATGTAGGCATATTCCTCCTTTCCCTGCCAGCTTCAGTCCTCCTTCCTTCCGGTGTATTGCACCCTGTACAGTCCACCTCCAAATGCTTTGATTCTTTCGTGTCGATGAACACTCTTGAGTACTATTTTCTTCTGAAGATCATATGTATGTATAAATGCTATAAATATATTATATATACATATATATATATATTATTATATTATTATATTGAAATGCTTCTCGTTTTATTTGTTTCAAATCAAATCATTTCAAGATTGAGAATATATTTATACATGCATTTTCAATTTTGTCACACTGTTACCAATTGTTACTGTGTGTTTTGGAGATAAAACTTCAGTTTCTTTGCCTCTCCTCAAGGAGGGGAAAACCTTGAAAAACAAACCCTGACCATTGAGAGAATGCAACAACATGCATTGATTTTTCCCTTGTGTGTGCAATGAGCATCTTGTGATGACCTAGTTTCTCTGAGTCCATCAATTTGAGTGAATCTATCTCTTCATGAAATGTGTTCTTTGATTTAAATAAGACAATTGCTAAAGGACTTCTGTCCCCCGTCTTTTTCCCCTGATGAGCAGTCCTTGCTACATTTTGTCAGCTTGTTATCCAATGTTGAGGATAAGAATTTTCTAAGTTGGAACAGATTTTATAAGCAGAAGTGTGTAAACTGTCTGCCATAGATGGTTATGATTTGACCAGTTGTACGATCATCTGGTTTATTATTTTCCACACGGAAAGAGCACAGGAGGATTTGGTTTTATCGGGAGGTGTGTGATTCTCTACAGCTGATGTTTTGGACAGTTGACTTATAGCCGTAATGTTTTGTTGAACACAGCACCAAGAACTTACTTCTCTTCCCCTTCACAGATAATCAGTGTTTCTTTTTCCTCACTGCCTCTTAATTCAGGCCACGAGACTCAACACCGTTTCTTTCATTTCTTGTGGCGCTGTAAAATCCACCTCCGTTATGTTGACTCTCAACCTGTTGTTCTTCTCTGTTGTTTGCAAACGGTTTTACACGAATCTACAAACTTACTTCCTAAACTTGTTTGATTTATGTTGTACTTGGAGATCCCAGACAACTTACAGATGATGGTTTTTAAAGATTATTATCACTTTTCCGGAAGTTCTGTTCTATTTTTCCCATCAAGAGTTCACTGTGAAAAAGTCAGAAGTCGATTAATGCAGAACGTCCCTGGATATTAACAGCGTTCCTTCCTCCCACAGCTGGGTGTGTCTGGGTTTTTTCTTTCCCAGAATGGGCATTGTAATTGTTCAGGGCTTAATAAACGTGTGAAGCATGTTGACAAAAAGAGTTACTTCTCGGATTCGAGCCCTTTGGAAATAGATACATCACGCTTATAGGTGAAGTTTTTACAGTGTATAAGTATGGAATAATAAAAGGCATGTTATACTTAAAGAATATGGCATCAATAAAAAATGTACAAATGTGACCCTAGTGTCGACTTTAGGCCAATATCTCCATTTCTGGATTTTGAGAAGTGACTCGTTTTGTCAGCACGCCTCACAAATGATCTACAGCTGTCCTTGCTAATCTCGCTGTCTCTATTGGGAGGAAATTGATAAAAGCATGTTTAAGCCAACCAGCAGACATTACTGAATCTATTGGTAGCTGACCATTCTGAACACTGGTGTTCTTTACCGAGCGAATGATAATTTTTTACATCAGGGTTAGTTTTAATGAGAGTTCTGACGATTTGGTGAAATTGATGAAAACGAACTTTTCTTTGATGTGGTAAGTATAAATTAAGCTTGTAGCGGTTTCACAATGCTAAGAGAGTCTTTCTTTGGTTTTGGAAACATTACAGTTCTACTGGACCAGTACATAGTACTTACGACATCATTGGGTGCTCAGTAATACGGAGCATGTTGAGCTTTCATGGAGCCTTTTGGGTGCCAGCCTGCTTAGTCAATTACTTGCTGTGAATTTATGTTATTAATTGTAGATTAATAATATAACCATATGAAACTGATGGCATAACATGTTACATATACTTGCCTTGGAGAATTGTAAATGTTAAGGATGAGGGAGAGAAGATTGTGATCTTCTAACTTTTTTGTTTTGAGGTTATTCCCCCCCCCCCCCCCCCCCCCCCAAAATTGATTTGAGAACAAGTTCAGAAATTATTTTTTTATATTTCTTGAATTATTATTTTTTTGTGATTTTGAATTGCATTTATTTATGTATTTGCAGTTGAATAACTGGGGCTGGAGGGAAAAAAATTCTGTCATCAAATTGATTATCTCCACATTCTTCAATAAATGGAAGTCTGCATTTTGATGTTGTAAACACTCACACAAGTTTTTCTGGCTTCTTCTTTTTAATCATAAGAAACTCATGCTGTGTTAAAAATAACCATCCTTTTTTTCCCCCATATGAACAGTTGCTGTTTCTCAGAATGTAATGCAGGTCTGTCAGTCAAAGTCAAATGTTCAAGTTGACGAAACTGTCAAGAATATCAAGTATTGGCAGTAGTGTTACAGAGTACACCTATAAATTGGTCAAAGCAGAGTTTCCAAGCGCAATGGTCCAAATGAGGAACATATCTATCACTTTACTACCAGAGGTCAAAGAGTGCAGAGGAACTCCAAACGGGTTCAGAGACAGTCATGTGTTATAACACTTTGCTGTCACATCTCTCTGATCAGCAATGTTTATCACCCTGTTTCTTTGCATTTTCCCCAAAATGCCTTTGATGGCAAGGGTTTTTAGTAACAATATGAGCCTTATGATGGCAAAGTGTAATGGGGCGGAGCTTCTGAATAAATGCAGGAGAGCCAAGACAACTTCAGAGATACCCCCCTTTGTCAGTTTTTTACCAGTACAGCACCAGTTCATGTAGACAAAGTGGCTGAGACAAAAGCCAACTTTGCACAACATCAGTGTCTTGAAAGTCACAGGGGTCCTGAATCAAGGATAGCCTCATAAAGCACAGGACTTCAGACAGACCCATCAAAGATCCTCTGTAGCAAAGAATCAAGGAATCATTTTCTGTGTTCAAAAAGACACACAAGGAAGAACATCAGGCCAATACATTGATATATATATGGCTTCATTTCTTTAATTCTTTCATATTTCACATATCATATAACAACACAAAAGTCTCTTTCCTCTGACTGCTACCATCACCTTTTCTTGTTGTTCCTGAGGGGGGAAATAGAGAAAAAAAATGTAGTACACAGCTTGGCAGGTGGTTAAAAAAAGCCAACAACTATCTCGCCCCCCCCCCCAAAAAAAATAAAATAAAATAAAATAAAATAAAATAAATAAAAATAAAAATAATGTGAAAAGCTAGGCAGGTAGAAGCAGACAACTATCTCCTATCACAAAACCCAAAGAAAAAAATGTAGTAAAAAGCTTGGCATGTGGTTCAAAAAGCCAACAACTAACTCATCCCACAAAATGCAAACAACATGATCCATGTGTTTCAAATCAAATAAGCAAAAGGTGACCAGAAGCCGTAATTACTATCCACATCTTATTGTAACTGATGGAGTTTGAGCAAAGAGAAGCACATTGGCTGAATAATTATTTCGTGAAGGAAAGAGTAAGACAGAGAGAAAGAAAAGAAGTAGAATGAACCCGTGGTTTTCACCATTTCTGAAAGTACTCTAAGTTATTAACAATTTCAATTTTGGGGCAGGAATTGATTTGGAATTCAGCACAAGCAGTGGGTCTTTTGTTTTAACTTTTGATTCCATGACAAGTATCAGGATGTCATTACTGTCAGCAAAGTGCAACCCCTCCTTTCTTTTCAACCTCTTTTAGTTTTAGAAAGAGTTTTACAGCACTTGCTACACAATAAGGAAATATATGTGTCGAAGATTAGAGATATTACAAGAGAGTAACAAACATTAAAAAGAAGGAGCAGAGATAATGACGATCTATAGCTGTTTGATAGGAAAGAAAGAGCAAACCACATCAGAGCACCCACCAACCACCCACTTTACCTCTGCAGGGGTGGGTAAAACTGAACTAGGAAAAAGAACCCAACCACCCACCTGTCATGTTGGCACAAGCAAGTTCACAGGTCAAGGATGCAAACACCTTATGTCTAAAGTAAACAGTCCTCTGTCATACAGGATGTACGTCCTCAACTCAATATGACACTCACATGTACAAATGGCATTAAGAACTATATCGTAGATGTCACAGAAAAAGATCTCCTTCCTGTGCTTTTTAAACTGAAACTGACAGCCATATGTGAGGCAGCGTGGTGGAATCAGGCTCTCATCAAAATAATCAAAGTCAAGAAACATGCATTTTTCCACAGGTTTGTGAATTTTTATCAAATTTTTGTTTTTTTGACTCAGAACTTTTCATACCCATAAGAACTCATTTCTGTGTGGATTTTTCTGAAAAACGTTGATTAAAGGTACAAAAAGTGTAAATTGTCAGTTACCACGGACTCTTAAGCTAAGGAAATAACTAATCTTTGGCGGCCATTTTCTCACTTATTTTACCTCTGAAAACAGGTGACCCCCACCTCCTTCATTCGCAAATATCTCCACTTGTATTCATGATAAATAATATTTTTTTCTTCCAAATAAAGACAAGTCAACAAGCTTTAAGATGATACCAATTCTACATGCCCAAAAATTGACGAGAGCCTGATTCCACCACGCTGCCTCACATTTGTTTTAGTTATTGTAAGAGTAAGAGTTTTTCGGCACTTGCAGCACAAGACCAAATAAGTGCTGAAGATTTGAGGTGTTACAAGAGAGTAACAAACACACAAAAAAGGAGAGATAAGGACGATGGAGGTTTGATAGGATAGCAGGAGCAAACCACACCTGAGCACCTGCCACCCACTCACAGCCATATGTACACATGCCATAAAGTACAATGTGAACAACAATGTGAGCTTGGCACTGACAGCCATATTATATATATATATATATATATATATGGAGGACACTGCAGCTCAATAATGACGGCCACATGAACACACAGCATATAAAGCAACAAAACAACTCACGAATCTGATGTACTCACTTCTTACGACCAATTTGCTGCACGGCTTTTTTAGAAGAGCCTGTTGCTTCTTTTCTTTCCTTGAACGAAGGTCTGGGAAAAAAAGAAGAGCGAAAAAGAGGTCAACAGGTGCTGTTCAGTTTTTAAACAATGACAATTGACATTCTGATATAAAATATGACGAATATACCATTGTGCCATTACAATACACCCATCTCTGTTTTTGGTACCGGTACATAAAACATACTCACAATTCCTTTGCACCCGAAGTATTTGTATAGATAAATACTGAAAAAAAAATATCAACATGAAAGAGGCTGAGTTTGTAAATAAAGGGACAAGTCTTCACACATCACACAATCTCTCACAGGAATTGTATACTTATCTCACATTTAAACACTCAGACATTAAAACAATTTCTGTTTTCAAAGATTTTCTTATTTCAGATCAATATGTATCACTTTTTGGTACCACAGAAATACTGAAATGACGGTATTCATTATTTTTTCCTATTTTTAATTTACTTACATTCCACTCTTTCAGAGTCTAAATAGCTAACAGCAGTTCAAAGTTTATGCTAGAGCATGGAGTATAAACACTACCATTTCAAAGGAAAAAACATTTTAAGCAACAGTGGAAAGAAAATAGGAAGTCTACAAAAAAATACCCACTGTGCATGAACAAATACACAGAAGCCACAACAACAAACTGCCACAAAGCAAGGATGTGACGATATCAACAAAAATGTAAACAACATTTTTTTCATCTCGACTCCTCGGCACAACAGGACAACAGCAATCATGATCATTTGCATTAAACGTAAAATCAAACAAACGTTAAGAAAAGCAGTCAAGCACAGGTAACCTGAACACGCAAACTCACGGACAGCTTGAACAATTCCCAGACTAAACCACTATAGTTTCTTGGTACTGGCAGAACAATAGTCTCTCATACTCATTCCGATGTGTCTAGGTAAAAGCTCATCTCAAATTGTCCCTAACAATTGTCTTGAATTTCAATAACCCTGCACATATGACGGAAAACAACACACCCATTATCACCCCCCGGGGCAGTGCCACTGACTGAAGTGTCTTTAGGCCATTCCCAAAGGGGGGACATTTCTCGTTCAAGCATAGTAGAATTGGAAATGGGCTGATTCATGTCACGCTCATAACTGTGCCTGATCAGGGAACTGCTGCTTTTTCTTTCCCGATCCTTACTATTGCCATTTTCCTCTACTTCTTTTGTATGTTTGTCACTCTCTTGTGACCTGCTATTTTGGGGGTGCCTTGATAGTTGAAGCCGACTTTGTGCTGTTGAAGCTAGAGAGGTGAGCAGTGTAAGTCTGATTCCCTGTAAAGACTTCTCTGTTGACACCCAGCCCTTGGCGCTCATATGACCTTATGCAGTTGCGAGCGCCGTAAAACCCTCTACTATAAAAAAAACAAAAAACACCCATGATCATTGAGAGTACAAGGTTACAAGAGCTTACCAGGCTTACCCTTGCACAGCGTGCTACACACACTGCTGTTACCTCCGACAGGACGTAGCCAAATGGGAGCGTTATTGTCAAGTACTTTCCTATGGCCACAATGTTGGCCACCCTATGTCACAAATGTTTGAATGACAATGCACCATCATATTTATCAAATCTGTTAAGACTGTACACTCCAACTCGCAGTTTAAGGTCATCAGCTGACAAAAAGAAATTTATTTTACCATCTATGAAACTTAAAACAATGGGTGGAAGGGCATTTGAATACCAAGGCCCCAAGATCTGGAATGCTTTACAAAGTACTTTAAGAGAGATCAAATCTTTTGATACATTCAAATGTCAGCTGAAGCCGTTTCTGTTTTTAAATTAATAAGATGAATATTTGGAGTGATTTTCTTTTAGTCAGAACAACGTTTTATGGTACTGTTGTACGTTGTACCGTATTGTAAAGCGCTCAGAGCCTGTGTACTTTAATTGGGGTTGAGTGCAATATAAATGTCATCTATTATTATTATTACTAAACCACTTCACTAACCCCTGAATCTGCAATCTCACTATTACGAGTGAGGTGGCCTAACCACTGGACTAGACGCCACATATTGGTTACTTTTCAAAGTGGAGGCAGTGATTTATTTCACAACCATTGTACTCCCACAGCCACATCCTTTGATTTTCTTCAACGTTTTCTCTATTTTCTGTTATGTTTTACTTGAACTATGGAAGTGTCTCACATATTTGTCACACCCCAACGTATTTGAAACATCCATGCTTGACTGTACTTTCATTGACTGCCCTTAGGGACTTACCCAGCTCTGAACTTTTTGACAGAAGAAGCTCCAATGTCAGCCAGTTCGTCCTCAAATCCAGACACTGGACGTTTCTTGTTTGCCTTTTTCTTCTTCTTGCCTCCTTTCTTAGCACCATCTGATAGAACACAACAATTGACAGTCAGCAATACTTACTGACATGGGGAACACAACAATTGACAGTCAGCAATACTTACTGAAATGGGGAACACAACAATTGACAGTCAGCAATACTTACTGACATGGGGAACACAACAATTGACAGTCAGCAATACTTACTGACATGGGGAACAGAACATTGTGATCTTGTGAATGGGGCATTCAAGTGAAAATAAATTCTAAGTGCACAGATTGAAATTGATACATTAAAAAAAAAAGAAGCCATTTGTGAGGCAGCGTGGTGGAATCAGGCACTCGTCAATTTTTGGGCATGTGGAGTTATTGATGTCATCTTAAAGCCTGTTCATTTGTTTATCTTTCGGGGAAAAAAGTGCCCATCTATTTTTTTTTTTATAGAAGTCGAAATATTTTTGATTGAAGTAGGGTAACCTGATTTTAGAGGAAAAATAAGGGAGAAAATGACCGCCAAAGCTTGGAATCTTTCAATGCGCGAGAGCCCTTGAAAACTGAAAATTTACATTTTTTGTACCTTTAATCAACGTTTTTCAGGATAATCCACACAGAAATGAGTTTTTAAATGGACATAAAAGCTGTTTAGCTTAAAAACAAAAATTTGATAAAAATAGCCAAACGGGCAGAAAAATGCCAATATCTTTGATTTAATTATTTTGATGAGAGCCTGATTCCACCACGCTGTCTCACATATGTTTGCCTCGTTTATTTTTTATTTTGTGTAAAAAAAACCTCAGACTCAGATCCATTTAGTGACAGATCAAGTTTACACCAGTCAAATTGCCATTAACACAAAAGAGTGCAATACAGAAATTATGTTGACAGCAGCTTGCTGACAACACCGGAACATGCCAATCTATTCCGACGAACAATGAACGACCAAACTAATACCATTACATTAAATTACAAACATTATGATAAGCAGAAAGTGAAAGCTTCACTCTTACACTAATTCAGTAGTCTTCAAATACTAACAATAAAGGGCCACTGAGTCATAAAATTCAGGGTGACCCTTGATACGCAGACCTGTCACTTTGTGAAATCTAAAAATTAGGACCTGGAGGGGGGGGGGGGGGGATCGGGATTTGATGAAAAAAATCGGGATCAACGACAAATCACCAAGGTGATTGCCAAGCTTACTAAAAAATTTTCCTGGGGTGTTCCATACATATCGATGTATACGGCCTGTGTGTTATCATAACATATAAATTCTTTGCTATATCGACAGGCCAAAGGGCTAAGGGCTAGAACCCAGATGGCCATTGGATCTGAAAAGTAAGTAAAGTAAAGTGTGTTATCATTATTTTTGTAAATCCTGAATTATCACGTCAAGCACTCCTAGTCCAAGTGTCTAACCCCCACCCCACAGGTCCCAAAAGACACTTCAACTTCAACCAGTGTGCAAGAACTTAAGTAGACCACGTCAACAGACAGTTCCTGACACGTGCAACTCACACTCCGAAGTCATGTCACGTGATGTGAACGAGTGATTGAAACAGTTTTTATTGACGACGGGTTTGGATGACAGGCCTGATTAATCAGAGTTCGGACAAAGCTTGTTTTGAAAGTAACAGCAGAACTATGAATAATCATAAAATGTCGCAATTGAAAAGTTATCCGGCCATTATCGGAGAACTCTGAGTGGAAAAAAAACTAAAGTAGATCTTAAGAATGCCCCGAGTCGGAAAGCCAGATCGATACTAATCCCATTATAGTTGAAATAACACATGCGAGCAAAGATCCAACACAACTTGGGGAGAGTCAACTACCAAATCTGGCATCAACATTTCAGGAAATAGTGCTCACAGCTCCTGTCAACATAAAGTTTAACGGGTGCTTCCCGCGACAGAGTAAGTTTTTAGAAAAATCCGGCGCAACAGACGAGGGGAAAAAAAAAATCGGCATACACGTGATCGAAACCGTGGTGCTTGAGATTGGGGGAAAAGTCTGGATATGATGAACAGTGAGCACATGCACGTCCTCTCACATCCTCATTATACCACAGAGTAATATCACTCAGTATAAAGAACCATTGGCGACACCCAAATTGTTAAACCCTTGCAGTTGAGAGGCTGATTCAGAAGGTTTACTTTCTTACTGACTTACCAGACGTGGCATCCGAGAATGCTGACAAAGGCTTGGCTCTGAGGGTCTTCTTGGCAGCTCGAATACCCAACAGCTGTGCCTTGCTCATCTCAAACTTGACCCTGTCCTCTGCCTACACGAGACAAAGATAATGAAAAATCTGACTGAAGCAGCAAAAATATATATCCAAATATCATTTGAAAATGTGCAAGCACTGGTCCCATTCAGTCTTTCAGTGTTGTAGAAATTTGAAAAGACTGAGGCAATGAGGGCAAAATGATGTGGTCTTTGTTCTACAACACTGGTATTGACTTACATTTAATGGAGATGAGACAAAAAATTAATCTGGACAACAGATTACGTACCACTGTTCATGCAATAACATAACAAATTAATATGCATGTCAGAAACATCTTGAAGAGGCAGAAATATTGTGGTACCGGTATCAGGTGTTTTCTCAGACCTAAATATGACTAAAGGAGAAGATGCATTCACTAGACGGAAACCCATGTCATCAACATATTTCCTAAGGGCTTCAAGTCTGACATGACAATTGTGCTGAAAATCCAGAAAAGTCTGCCACAAAATACGAAAAAAGTAAAAAGTTGGAAAAGGAAGACAATTCAAATTTTTACCGTCAGTTTCTTGCGTGTTTTCTTCAGCTCTTGCTTGGTCATAGACTTGTCAGATAATCTCAGAGACTCTGAAAGAGATGGAAACGACCACTCAGAACATAAGTCATGTTTCCAACTTTTTCAACTAAAGCTATCTTTTGGTTTTGTTTTCCATATTATTTGACAGCATCTGAGTGATTAACAAGCGTGCGTGTGTGAGTGTGTGTGTGTGTGTGTGTGTGTGTGCATGTGTGTGCGTGCGAGCGTCTGTGGCAAAAAATATTAGCACAGAGGAGGGGGAGGGGGGGATTGTCGAGAAGATAAATAATTGTCGTTAGACAGGTGGATATTTAGGACAGCGCCATAAACCCAAGAGGGATAATGGGAAGTTGTCATTTATATGGGAGACTGACTCGCACAGGCAGCTGTTGGAGCAGGTTCAACAGTGGGCACGGGTGTGTGTGTGTGAGTGTGTGTGTGTTTATGTGTGTTTGTGAGTGTGTGTGTGTGTGAGAGTTGGTGTATGTGTATGTGTGTGTTTGTGAGTGTGTGAGCGTGTGTGTATGTGTGTGTTTGTCTTTGTGTGTGTGTGTGTGTGTGTGTGTGTGTGTGTGTGAGTTGGTGTATGTGTATGTGTGTGTGTGTGAGCGTGTGTGTATGTGTGTGTGTGTTTATGTGTGTGTGTGAGAGTTGGTGTATGTGTATGTGTGTGTTTGTGAGTGTGTGTGTGTGTGTGAGCGTGTGTGTATGTGTGTGTGTGTTTATCTTTGTGTGTTTGTGTTTGTGTGTGTGTGTGTGAGAGTTGGTGTATGTGTATGTGTGTGTTTGTGAGTGTGTGTGAGAGTTGGTGTATGTGTATGTGTGTTTGTCTTTGTGTGTTTGTGTGTGTGTGTGTATGCATGTCTGTGTGTGTGTGGAGGGGTGTATTCGCTTCCTTAAAAAATCAGTACCTTTGTCTAATTAACAATATATAAACAAACATGAACAAAAACAAAACAACAGCGTACAAAGAAAAACAAGTGTTATCCATACCCTTCTCCTCCTTTCTCTCCTTGTGTGTTTGGAACCAGCCTCTCTTGATCTGGGCCTCGTCTCCAGCTTGTTTGGTCTCCAACAGATTCTGAGCCTTGTTCATCTGGTTCTCCACGGAGCGTAAGTGACTTTCCTCTCTCTCCTGTTGCTGAATGCTCTTGATGTCCTCCTCAATGTCAGCAATCTTGTCACAGAACTTGCTGACAATCTCTGAAGGTAGGAACATAATGTCAATGTTATTTTTAAAACTTCTAAGTCCCTAAAAAGGATTATTTCCTGGAAAGACTGTAAAATTACAGATTTCCTCAAATTTCCCTACATTGCCGACGTTGATCCAACAATTTCCATAGGAACAAAATTTTTCAGACAAAAATCCGACTTATCCGACCTAAACAAAAATTTCCGACTTCCCTGGCCACTCTGTAAATTCTGATTTTCAGATAAATATAACGCTTCGCATTTTAACTTGAGCCAGATCACACGACAAAAACTACTCTTTCTATTAGTTTATGTTTCGTGGTCTTCATATACAAGATAAATGAGAAATCTGAGGTGAACAGAGCAGATAAAGACATAAATAAAATCTTCATTTATGCATAGACATTGCACTTTTGATTTCCGCTATGCTTGAACAAGACTCTAGGACATTCAAATAATGAAGCAGAGAATGTTTCTGAGTATCCCAGGGTCTGCCGAAGTAACAAAAGTTGTCAATCGCATTATAGGACATGCTGTAGAGCCTGGATAGGCGCTATATAGAAGCATTTAGTATTATTATTATTATTATTATTACTTCATACAATATGTGAGGCAGCATGGTGGAATCAGGCTCTCGGCAAAATAATCAAAATGAAGAAACTTGCATTTTTCTGCAGGTTTGTAAATTTTTATAAAATTTTTTTTTTGAGCTCAATACCTTTTATGGCCATTAAAGAACTCATTTCTGTGTTGAATTTACTGAAAAACGTTGATTAAAGGCACAAAAGATGTACATTTTCAGCTACCATCGACTCTTAAGCTAAGGAAATAACTAATCTTTGGTGGCCATTTTTTCACAAATTTTACTTTGAAAACAGGTGACCCCCACCTCCTTCATTCTCAAATATCTCGACTTGTATTCAAGATAAACGGATATTTTTTCATCCTAATAAAGAAAAGTGAACAAGCTTTAGGATGATACATATAACTCTACATGCCCAAAAATTGACGAGAGCCTGATTCCACCACGCTGCCTCACATATTTTCAAATTTCAACAGAACCTAAGCAGAGTACAGAGGAATAAATCAGAGTTGGGACGATTACCCGGTCTAAAGGTGATCTAGAATCATCTGTTTTATTTTTCTTCTCCCTGGGGAAACTGATACTGGCCATTTAGGCCGAGAAATTTTTTTTTACTATCTTTCAAGAGATTACCTACAAAAAGATGTTATTTTAAAGGAGTTGATGAACTTGAAAAACTTTTAAAGCATAAGAAACTGATTTGACACTCCCGGAAAAGAGGTGTGGAAAGCAAGAGGTCGTCATGGCATTCTCACTTAGCATGTATAACCATACCCTGAGGCACAATCCTTGTCTTGAGCGGAGTCTTGGCTTGTTTGACCACCTCTTTGAGCACTTTCCTCTCCTTTTCTCCCACTAAAGTCACTGACCTGTGGATGGAGTTGCCAATGATAATATGGAATCACACATCTATTTCTATAAATGGACAAATTACATTTTCCTACTCGATATCTAGTCATCAATGGCAAAATACATTAAAACGCATGAAATCAGACCTTCTCTCTCCTTCCAATATAATACAAACTTATAAATCAAGTTCAGCATCATTGACAGAAACAGTAAACACAAATTTGGTGATTTGCAAACCCTGGGCGTTAAAAACCATCAACTATATGATTTTCAGAAGCCAATAATTTTTTTGGCTAGTTACAAATGATATTAAAAAGACAATTACTCTTTAACAGGACTTAAAGGGCAAAAAATTTGTTCTTGAATGTTAGGAAGACACGCTTACTAACCTCTTTCCAATAACTTTAACTATGTATTTGACAATGTTACATTCATGCTTCTTACACACCGTGAACTTGCATACATATGTGAGGTGTGTTGACAAAATGAGTTACTTCTCGGATTTGAGCATTATGGAAATTGGTACATCAACTTGATAGGTGAAGTTTGTACAATTTGTGAGCATGGAATAGTAAAAGACACAGTAAACTTGAACAAAATGGCATCAATTGAAAATCTATAAATCTGATCCCAGTGTCGATTTTCAGCCAATATCTCCATTCTTGGATTGCGAGAAGAAACTCATTTTGTCAGCACATCTCACATATTGGTAAAATTTGCAAAGCCACTACAAAGACTTGCATATTTACCTTCCACTTTTACCAGCTCGAGCAGTTCGACCAACTCTATGAATGTAATGCTTTATAGTGCTTGGCATGGTGAAATTGATGACCTGAAAAACAACAAAAAAGCGAGTCAGTTTGAGAAAGCAGTAAAATCTACACAGCTGTTGAAAAAATTGAATGCATCAAGCACTGGAGAATGACATCTGAACTGAACCAGATCTTCCAAGGTGAACAACATGACATTACATCCTTCCACAAACTTAAAGATGACAGCAAACACACACAAAAAAATACAATGGAGTCGGCTTCAACAGAAACCCATAGAACTTCCAGATTTTCTCCAATTTAGTCGAGTTTTCTGTTCAGAGAGGTTGTTCAACAAGAAAAAACCCACTGTTTTCAGATGAACAATGGTCCGTTTAAGCAAATTCCATTGAGGTAGCAAGTTATAATTTATGCCACGACCAAACTTGTCATAGAGGACAAAAAATATATGGCTATCAATTTTTTTCTGACATTAATTAATAATCTATACTTTAAAAAAGAAGACAATAACTCTTTAACAGGACAATTTTTTTTGGACAATAATTAATAATCTATACTTTAAAAAAAAAGACAATTACTCTTTAACAGGACAATTTATTTCTGACATTAATTAATAATCCATACCCTTAAAAAAAAGACAATTACTCTTTAACAGGACAATTTTTTTCAGACATTAATAATCCATAGGGCCTACTTTTTAAAAAAAAGGGGATTTCAAACTTCAAAGCATATTGAAAAATGCATCTGACCATGACAGAAATACTTGATAGACAATTCAAAACTTGAAGTTTTTTCACTTCACTCACAGTTTTCACTCCTTCAATATCTAGACCCCGAGAAGCTAAGTCTGTGGCCAACATCACATCAACAAGACCTTCTTTGAACTTCTTCAGTGTGTCAAGACGCTGAAATAGGAATTGTGAACATTCTTCATTTTCATGAACAAAGACAAAGTGTATGTGGGACATGAAAACTGATTGCATGTACAAAAGAACATTGAAGAACAAAATTGGAAAATGTTAACCACAAGTTTATGAAGAATCGATGATCCAAACTTGAATACTCCTGCAAAGTTATGAAATATTCATCAACATTCTCTGCTACAATGGACCCCCCCCCCCCCCCACCCCCCCCCGAAAAGATGTAAAGTCGAGCATGGATATCTTGAACATGTTGGGACTGACAAATGTGTTCGACCCGTCCATAATTCCTTGATAATGAAAAATGAGAGAGAATGAAGAATATCAAAGGAAGTGACTATGACAGACAATTTAGTTTCCTATTCTTTGCCATCACGAGATGTAACCGGTATAGATAAAAGGACAGTAGGATGGATTGTGTGAGATAAATATTCCATATCATCAAGATTTTGATAGAATTTTAGAACAGACGTACCTGAGCCTGTGAGAGATTCCCGTGCAGTTCCCCAACGTTGATGCCCAACAGACCCAGCAAAATATGCATCCTGTGGGCCTGCACTTTGGTCTGAATGAACACAATGCACTTGTCACAGAAGTTTCTCGACACCAGTGCTGTGGAGACACAATGGGGGGGATGGGCATTGATAAAAGCAAATACTTTTCCATCATGAAGAAATCTGCTCTTCATTTTTTGTACATCCCAAAAGAACATTATTTTCTGAATATATATACTAATTGACAAGACTGAAAATTCAGTTTAAGGCACAGAAATAGACAGGGGGTTATAAAATTAGGATACCATAGTTGAACCAAACAGTATATTACTAAAAATTAAGAATAGGTACTTTGTAACTGAAAATATATGTGACCCTTACAGGTTACCACAAAGTAAGCTTCTCAGGAGATATGTTTGTTTTAGTAGAGGTTTTACGGCGCTCGCAACTGCATAAGGTCATATGAGCGCCAGAAGATTAGAGGTGTTACAAGAGAGTAACAAACATAAAAAAAAGAAGGGGAGATTAGAACGATAGATGTTTGATAGGAAAGAAGAAGCAAACCACACCAGAGCACCCGCCAACCACCCACCTCGGGAGAGAGACAGTGCAAATTGGAATAGCCGAAGAATACATTTTGAAGTCATGACAACCTTCAATGGCACACAAAACAGGAATGCACTTACTTAAACTTTTCATAATTTATGGACACATAAAGAGAATCAAAACATGGACCCTACAGGAAAAATGGCTGCACAATATCCTCTTCTCCCGACCACTCACCAGCTACTATTGCTTCTCTGTCTCCCTCTCGGTTCGGCCGGATACGAACAAACTCCTGTCTGAGGCCCAGGGCGACCTCTGTGCTCTGGTTGACAAAGACCTTCACTGGATCTTTTAGCGACACTGCCACCAGCTCCTGGACCTGGACGGGCAAAAGTTAGTTAGTTATAGTAGAGATTTTTTGGGCGCTCGCAACTGCATAAGGTCATATGAGCACCAGAAGATTAGAGATGTTACAAGAGAGTAACATACATAAAAAAGAAGAAGGGGAGATAAGGACGACAGATGTTTGACTTTGATAGGAAAAAAGAAACAAACCACACCAGAGCACCCGCCAATCGCCCACGGGGGTAAAAGTGCTTCAGAAAATTACCTGTTTAGTTGATTAAAGTGAAGCATATCAGCACAATGACCAACATTTTGTACTGGGAGAAAGCAACAAAGACAGAAACAACAGAAGAAAAGACAACAAACATGTTTCAGCGACACCCTCCAATAACCCGCTCAAAAAAATACAGCACAGGTAATAACATATGTACAGAGGCCATATTCAGAGACGGTAATATAACATATGTACAGAGGCCATATTCAGAGACAGGGAATCATCTACAATTCATTTTTTTAAAAAGAGCATCTTATGATTCTCTTTAAAAAACTCATATTTTCAAAGTTCTCACTGACAAATCTTACAGTGAACAAAAAGCAAACAAAGACACAGACTATAAGTCTACAGCCAATCAGAAAGACAGCGGCTACATTTGGAGGGAACACAACAGGAGAAAAGTACAACACCAAAATTTTTAAGAGAAAAAAAAAAGGAAAGACCAACCCCCCCCCCCCCCCCCCCCAACAAATCAGGAGACCAGCACATCAGAGTAGCATAATCATCAAACATCCTAGGGTAAGCAAAACTGTGATGTCCTTGCTGCTAAAAAAAGGTGTAGATCTATCAGACATTTATGAGTGACAGCACTGAAAACATAAGGTAAAGATTTGGGAAGAATGAACAGTTCCTATTCTTACCAAACACTCAATGAATCTAAACACAGTAAGAATTGGCATCATGGATTAAGCTTGGGATGATTCCCCCTCCTACCCCCACACAATATGAAGAAAACACAAAGAAGGGATAGACAGCTAAACATACAATTAAAAACCAACTGACAGTAATGGGGACTCTATATAAATACAGGCCTCAATAAATGAGAATGCATACATACAACAAATCCTCAAAAATACTAGTATTGACTGTTTAAGGAATAATCTAAAATCACTAACTGTTTCAGTCATGGTTGCGGAAAACAGCATTGTCTGTCTTTGCCTGGCACAGAGTCGAATGATCTCATTCATCTGCTCAGCAAAGTACTCATCCAACATTCTGTGAAGGGAAGCAAAGAAGAAACAAAAATGAGCCTTTTAGTGGAACAATTTACAATGTGTCAACCAGCAGCCTCACCTCAATATAAAGTTTAACACTTTGCCCCCATGGGACGCCGATCGGCGACGGTAAGAAGCTGTCCCTTTTCCCCACGGGACGCCGCGCCGGTGTGACATAGCGTGTAGGCCTACCGCACCTGTATCCTGGTCCACGGGGATAAGTGTTGCGTGCGTGGGTGGAAAGTGTTCAACCAGCAAGGGTGGGCCCATGTCTCAGTACTGAGCTAGACTATGGTGTGGATGACACTGGTTCGAATCCCCAACCAAGCATTCTTGAACTTGAATTGTTTGTGGATTTTCAAGGCTCTCCATTTCCGTAAGTCAGTACTACTAGTGATGAACTTTAAACTCAAAATGCCTTACCTTTTAAATAACTAACTGTCAAAACAGCTGGTACAGTTTGTGTCAGTTCCAACCACAGGATTGTGCGATCTCAAAATGACTCCTACCATTCCAACTGACCATTTCTTAGTCCCATCTAGGGCATGCCCCTGTTTGCTACACAACCCTATCAATAAACAAGAAAACTGTGCCCAACTTTATAATGTCGGTAGTGCCCACTACGAGAGAAATGCATACATTTTAATTACAGCATCTCTTTATTTTATTTTCAGCACCATTTCTAGATAAAAAAACTGAAACTTGACAAACAGTCAGTAAATATGGCAAGCTGATGGTCAACTTTCTAGTCATGGCCACCTAGTTTCATTCCAATGCTCCACTTAAAAGAAGGATATAAATAACTACAAAGCTTAAGTTTCTGGGGTTCTTTAATTTATTTTTGAATATGCAAAGTGTTAGGGCTCATAAAAGTTTTTATTCCCTTAATTACTGAGATGCGGTTGAATATTTTACAGAAACTGGAATGGTGGTCTATTTTTTTAGAAAAATATCAGGGTAATCCATATTTTGCTGCCCATTACAATCTCATAACTTTTCGATTATTTGACACGTTTTTTAAATTAAAAAAGTATAATTCTTAGAATCAAGAGCTCTTTCTCAGGAAGCAAACAAAAAGGGTTCAAGTGAAAAGTTTTTTTGTTTTTTTGGTTGAATTTGTGAACTTGGTAGTTTCCTGAAAGATTCTGTAGTAAGCATTCTACTTTATTCCCCAGATTTAGTTAAGAAACAATACACGCTGCTCGCTGTTGGCACTAGGCCGAGCCACTCACCTGTCTGCCTCATCCAGCACCAGAATCTCAATGTTGTTCAGAGTAAAACTGAAGCTGTTGTGTAAATGGTCGATCAGACGACCCGGGGTGGCTATAACGATGTCTGGACCCAATCGCAACATGGCCTCCTGTGACTTTATGTCCAAACCACCTGAAACGGGGACGGCAGTCATTACGTTTATTTACAAAACTGAAACCTGTCATACAACAACAATAATGTCATGAAATTTGGCAGAAAAACTGTAACAACCACTAAAGCAAAAATTTTGGATAGAACATCTTGACATTTCAATCATGTCCCTTATTTTAGGAGGAGACCATGACAGAGATCAAGGAAAAACATTAAACAGCATACCCATAACCTGGTATGCAGAGAAATTTAGCTGAAAACTCACAAATGTACTTTCAAAAAAACAAACCCCACACTTTTTTCTTTACAAAGCAGGCAATAGAGAAGTGGGCTAACATAATAAACGTTCAGTCACTTAACTCCAACAAGACCGTACCTGCTTTTTTATAGTAGTTTTAGTAAGAGTTTTACGGCACTTGCGACACAATAAGGTCATATAAGTGCCGAAGATTAGAGGTGTTACAAGAGAGTAACAAACATAAAAAAGAAGGAGGAGAGATCAGAATGTTTTTAGTTTTAGTAAGGTTTTACGGCGCTCGCAACTTCATGAGGTCATATGAGCGCCGATAGATGTTTGTTTCAAACCACACCAGAGCACCCGTCAACCACCCACAGACCGTACCTGCAGCCAGGCAGATGTCAATGTTGGAGTGCTGAGCCAGCTGTCGAGCCACGGTGTGCACCTGTACGGCCAGCTCTCTGGTCGGGACCAGGATCAAGACACGTGTCGAGGCCGTTGCCCTTGGACGATACAGCAGGCGCTCCAAAATTGGTAGCATGAAAGCAACGGTTTTACCTGTATGGGGGGGAAAAAAGGGGGGGGGGGGGGGGGGAAGGTGACACAGGCCCTATTATTGGGGGAACGGTTCTTTTCAGTTAGTTTCAAGATTGTAAATGAACTCATGTCTTCTGCTTGCAACAGCAAACCACCAATCTCTTTCACCACAGACACCTGTAGTAAGTTTCACCACATTATCAAAATTCATAAAACACAGAACATGTTTGTTAAGTCATAATATGCAAAAGAATTGACTGAAATGCAGGAAGTCAAGGCACACTCTTGTATGGGCCCGGAAACTTTTCTTCACTGCTACGATCTGAAAGACTTCCTTCCAGTATGATGTCCCCAAGGGACAAAGTGCCCCACCTACCTCTTTCCGATTCAATCTAAAGTTAACAATTACTTTTTTCTTTAAAATCCAAACAAAACGCAGTATAATAACTAAAACCAGCTAATTTAACTCTGAAAACATAAAGAAAATTGTTATAACGGAAACATAAAATTCCTGTGTGTAGCTATCAAAGCGACAGAGTTGTGGTTCATAAGACGCATGGACAGCTAGAAAAACAAATGAAGAAGTCTTGGTTGAGTAAATAGCAGAAGACAGCTCATGACGAATATACAAAAGCGACAGGCAAAATTCTTCAGACACACAAAGTGGAAAGAAGAATTGGAGAATATTGTAACAACAGGTAAGTTTGATGGAAAGAGAGGCAGAGGCAGACAGAGGGAAAAGATACTGGACAAGACAACAACATGGCCAGGAGCAGCAAGAACAACAGACACCACTGCTGCAACGCAAGACAGATGGAAATGGAGGTCCATGATCGCCCATGCCAGTTGGCAAGGCACCGGATGATGATGATGAGCTATCAAAGCACCGCCTCACCTGACCCAGTGACAGCACACGCACATATGTCACGTCCCAGCAAAGCCACTGGGATACACGCTGCCTGAATGGGGGTTGGCTTGACGAAACCCATGGAGGATAATCCCTGTAATTGGAAGTTACTGACAAATAATATTGTACAAGTCACAGATGTATAGTATAACAAAAATTACTAACACAATTAATATCACTATAAAAATGAATGACGTAAAATATCACAAAAACTACTGACATACAGTGTCATAAAAGTTACCATTCTAAAAAAGAATAAAACTTACTGATGTATAAATTATACAAGTTACTGATATACAATATCATTCAAGTAACTTAGGTATAATAACATAAAAGTTACAGATGTGTTACAAAAAGTGATTTACTGTCACTGCCATTCCCCACTGTGTTCCTGGCAAAAACCAGGATAACATACCATGAACTAAACAACTCTGCCCAACTCCAGTTCACATTTTACAAACATGATCAACACAGGAGCCTTACTGGAAACAGCTTTTATGATACTTAGTATCAAGTTACCTTGATCAAAGGTCTCGACAGGTTCATGTCTTGAAACACAACTTTATCATCAAACGTGTCCACGCTTTCTGAGAACTCAATTTTTGCCTGCTGGAAAAGAAACAACAATCCACGACTAAGACACATATGGTTTTTCTCTCTGCCCTGTATTCCAAGTCAATTGAAATGAAAGAAGAACAAAAGTATATGATTCATGAAATAAGTGAAGAAAAAAATAATCAGAGAAATATTTATGTACATCACCATAATGCATGCTAAAATTTTAAAAAAATAATTTTTTAATCCAAGAAGACACATCAAGCTATTCTAATCCTTTTTGGTGCTATGTTTCCCAATCACAGGTCTGTCTGTTGCTTCATTGCTTACACTTGTATGATATTATGATCAACAAACACCTAGACGATATGGGAATAAAAGAGGTACAATCGTTTTAAATCTCAAGTGTGATTACAAGATAACTTACTTCTTGTAATCTGTGAATGGAGATATTGACAGAAAATAGACACAGGGATCAAATTTCTACAGTTCAAACTAATGTTATTTTCTTCAAATTTAACATGTATGTTATCATTTCATACAAGTAAATTGTAAAAACCAACCTATCAACTTGACATGTCCATGTCTATATATGGCTAAAATCCAAGAAATAACTCATTTTGTCAGCATGCGGGTTGTATTGTAAGCCTTTCCTCGACAACGTGATCAGATAGAACCCTTTACCCCTTCAATTTATAAGGTTTAACCCTTAAAGTCCTATATGATCTCAGGAAACATTACTGACTTTGTTCTTCCAATTTACCTCTTCACCTTCCTGTCCTTTCTTCTTTTTCTTCTTCCCATCTCCTTTTGTCTTGATAAGGTCTGAAAAGAAACAAAAGAAAATCCTTATGAAAATTAGGGATGGGCAGGTATCGGTATCCAGTACCAGAACACCCGGTTCTACTGAAGGAGGTGTCAGTACCGGCACTAAGAAGGAGTCGACATCAACGGTTTTTTACCGGGCCACAGGAAGTGTGCAGTGTGTAGGCCTAGGCCTAGCAGCTGTGACAACTTTACCTTCAATTTTCTCAAAACAGCATTTTTCGGGATAGCCCCCTTGTGCTTAAAAGCGACCATATAATACACGCTGATTTCTTGTTTATTTTAAATAAGCCAAATATTCCGATAATAGCAACATGGACAGAGAAACAGAACATCTCATTAGACGATCAAATAGCAATTTCAAAACAAACTGATTACGGCAGCAACAAGTAGAAAAGTGTAACTGTCGACTGCTATTTGGAAACTGATGCCAACAGACCTAATTTTCCATGAGGTAACTTCAAATCACAAGCCAACACATGAAAGGTGGAGTCAGTTTTCCTTTTCTCTTACAACCAGTGGTCCTGAGTAAGAAGACAAAAAGTTAAGCCATACCTCTCTTGGCTTCAGCATCTTCATCCGAAGAATCATCTTCTTCAACACTCATGTCCTCATCGTTCAGTTCTGGTTTCGATGCATTGTCCCGCTGTAACAATAAGTGATAATTTATTTTAAAAAAAGATTTAAAACTTACAACCATGACAAAATAGAAATCATTGAACTATCATATGATTGTGACTTATCACAACTTACATAGAGTACAAATCGGTTCTTATGGACAACAGCATTAGACATTCATTTCCAAAAAAAAAAAAGCCACTACCCTTTAGTGCCAGAATAAAGCAAGATGTACTGACAGAAAGAGAACAGAGGTGGTAAAGACGTAGTGCCTATAGGTACTGTATAGGTCCTGCCTTCCAACCATTCCACACAAGGAAATAAAACAAAAGGACAGAAAAATAAAAAAAAGCATTTATCTACCTGTTTGGCCTTGCGAACTTTTGCAATTTTGTCATCCAACGCTGAGACACTGGACTGTCCCTTGGCTTTCAGCTTAAAAGTGGGTGCAGTAGACAGCTGAAAGTCAGACGATAAGATATTAGAAGTCTTGACAATTTTTTGAAATACAAAATAACAATAAATAATAATAATTGCATTTACATAGCGCATATCAATGCTCTATAGCCTGCTCTATGTGCTTTATGATGTCGTGGGAAGCATACAGTACAAGCTGTGGATTGTGCGCGATCAAACACTAACAAACTGACAAGATCTTTTTGTGTCTGTAGCCGGGTACCCATTCCCACTTGGGTGAAGTGAGGAAAATTTGTGTAAAGTTTCTTTCCCAAGGACATAATATTGACTTCTGACCGGATTCAAACCCATCACGTTACATTATTATTATGTCTTTACATTTTTCGGAATTTCCTAACATATAACAACTTCCACTGACACAGAGATTGTAGAACTTCAGATGTCTTGGAAGCAATATAAGTCCAGTTTTGGATCTCTGATACTTTTAAAACGGTTAAAACTTCACACCTCATATGTGCTATCCTAGCCTCTCTAATAATGGCATTATATGTCAATCTTACTAATCCGTCCCCACCAGTGCTTGCATCTCATAGGACCACTGTTTGATCAATTTAAAAGAGAAATGATTGAATGTCTCACTCATTTCCACCCTCAGCTCCACCCCTTTATGTATTAAGTACAATTAACTGATGAGATGCTGCCCCTCCCTTACATATAATGATGATTAGAGTAATTTTTTTTCTTCAATGGCCATATGATCAGGGTGGCAGGCAGTAGTCAAATAAATTTCACACCTCTGGCTACTCAGGAAAGTTTCCATGCTGGAGTGCTACTCACACACTTTCACAAGAATTGGTGAGATTTCACGCTCTAACCACCCTGACCATTTGCAAAACTTGGGGCTACTCCCAAACCGCACCCCTCCTTCCTTCCTTGCCTGGTGGCATGGCACAAAGAGTTAGAACCAATAGAGCAAAACTTGGGAGTTTTGTTTCAAATCAAGGAAGAGCATTTTCTCTCTTCGACAGACCAAAACCCTCTGAAGAGAAGGAATTTCTCTTTCTGTTTTCCTGTTGAGAAAATTTCCACCAAAGACAGATGCATTATAGAGCAGGTATTTATCAAAAGGGGAGCGGAGAGATTCCCATAACTTTGTTAAAGCAGGTTTGACTGTACTATTTTACATCTCTCGAAGTGTGACATAAACTCAGTTCTACGTTGTGAACCTTTCTATTGTTTGTCAGAGCAGAGGGTGACCTCCTAAAGTGCAACGGTCTCAACAAAAAGATTTAGTCAATGACAGCTGTGTTAATTGGCTCGCAATCAAATCTGCAGGCAAAAACAACACAATAAACACTTCACATAATATTTTACATTTCAGTTTTACAAGACTGACATTTTCATTCAGTAATCAATAATAATAATAAAGATCAGCTTTGTTCACGACAGGAACAATTTGCATATGTGCACATGTATTAAAGACATGATTTATTTCTGAACGTAATACTATTCCAGCCTGTCTCACTTGACACTTACTTTGACCTCCCACTTTCCCCTCATGATGAATATTTCACACCCGAGAGAACATTCACACATTCTCACCCAAACATGCAGAAACTTACACACAAAAAGTAAAGACATGTTTCTACATTCAGCATATAATTAAAGCAACATTTCTAAAATAACTCACAGCTGACTTTTCATCGAACGAAAAGCTTGAATTGAAGAGTGTCTTTTTCCTGTTCTGCTTCCGTTTCTTTTTAGAGACCTGAGAAAAAAAAGAGACTCTTCTCGTTATGGATTTTATGAATTTTAATATCAGTTCAACAGCAGCGAAGAAGTGCTCTGGTGTTTCAGGTGACAGTAAATACTTTTTTTTGTCAGAAACATATATATATATATATATATATATCCAAGATCTCCACTAACTAGTTTAGCCATTGTATAGTCTTGAATAATATAGTATATAAATGAATTTATAGTGTCATTTCACTTTTTCTGACTTTGCCTAACCAGGCATTCTTCTTTGCGCTCCCCACTAGGCATTTCAGAAGCCAAAGAAACAGATAAGCTTGAACGTGGGCAGTTCTATATACAGTCGGGCAACGAACACAAATATCTACTTGCCAGGTAGAAAAGTCAACTTGCCAGTTTTCAAACATGAAAACCATTAGACTGTCTATATATCAAGAAAGAAAAAAGATGCAAACAGTACTGACATGTGATATAAAATAATAAAATGATGTGTTGATATGCTTGTCCATGATGTAATCTGTTTTACCATTGAATATTTCATTTAAAAACTTTTATGGCCAAACAGAAATTCCAAAACATTCCCCGTCTTCATGATGTGTTTATGTCTGTTCTACTCTCCTGGCTCTGTCATCACGTTGCCACCACCTTTCCAAGGCAAGTGTCGCACTGTAGTTCATAACACTTGGCCCTTCAATGCATATGTACATCAAATTGGACAGGACATATGTGTTGAGCTTTGCCTTCCAGTCAGATTTGATCTGCTTCAATGCTGAAAACCCCCCTTTTTACACCAGCTGTGGAAAAATGAAGTGTGAGCAGGAGCTTAACTAGAAGTAAAACGCTTCTGAAGTCTTCCTGTCTTTCTGGGTCAACAAGTAACTGGCCCCAGGTGGTTAATGGCCTTCACTTGGCCTCTCACATTCTCCTTATCAGTCTTTTGAGGGCAGGCCATTCCAATGTCATCGATGGATGCCACCTCTCTCAGCATTAAGAGAAGACTCAAAAACAAATTACAAAGACTGCCTTGTGATAATAATGATTTGTCCTGTCGGGCAGGTTAAGTAAGCAGCCATTCTACCTGCCCGGGCAGTCGTTAATGTCCACCCCTGACTATACACCTTATACACACACACAGGCCACTCCATTTGCAAATAACCAACAAATCTCGAGAACGTAAACCGTTAGGAGAAATAGAGCTGGCCTTTTTTTATGCACACCAATGTGAGATGTAGGCTAGATCTAGATCTAGGCCTATGTGTTTTTCCCCATGTTTTGGCAATGTCTTTTATATAATTTGATGTTTTGCAGTCAACTTTGAAATTTCCGTGAAAATAATTGATTTGCGACAGTTTTAGTGGCTATATGATGTGTGATCTGCATCACGTCACATAATAGGGCCTACAGTGACTCACAGCCTACTGCAGTTTGTTGGGCACTCCTGTACTGTATAATTGCGGTCCTGTTAGATTTAGCAATAAATCAAAGATGGTAAATAACAAGATGGGCCACTCAGCCAAAAAAGTGTCCGCAGGAAGTTCGCTCTTTGCTTCAGATGGCTCTGCAGTCTGTTTTGAAGCTCTCTTTCGTTTTTCCAGAAGAAGAATAGGAATAGCACCTCCTTGCGTGCGCAGATCGACAGCTGTTCATCAGCAGTTCAGGTTCGTCCAGTGCGGAGTTTTGGATTTTTTTTATTTTAATGACCTCTCGCCTTTCATTCTAAAGTCAAATTTAACGAAGAAAACAATCACCCTTTCTTCCGGAAGAGGTTTTTTATCAGCGTAACCATTTTTTAAAAAGCGTTCTTCCGAAATTTATTCAAAAACCTGCTAGTTTCACTTTGATTTTTTAAACTCAAGTAGGGTAACTCTGTTTGCAAAGGGTGCGCATTTGTGAAGAGGGCGCCACCGAATTTTGAGGACATTTTTTTAATTGGCTCAAAGAGAGAAGTGGCCTGCACCTGTTCCTGGGGTAAACGTCCGAGGCTTTGATATCCCAGACTTTGATCTCTTCAATGATTCGGATGATTTTCAAGACTGATGATAATGCAGGTCAGTTTACAATTTTGTCTCGTCCCCCTTCTCTCTCTCTCTCTTGGTATTCTTGCAGCCCTCACTCACTCCGCCTCGTGCCGGTCCTCGGGGCAGTCTCGCAGCCCTCACTCACTCTGCCTCGCCTTGGTTCCTCGGGGCAGTCTCGCAGCCCTCACTCCCTCCGCCTCGCGTCGCTGGGAACTAGAGTACATCCTGTGGTGCGATATACAGTAAGCGATCTTTTGTGGATATCTCTGGAAGTTACAGGTCGATCTTCATGATTTTTTCACCAGAAGTTAGAAAAACTTCCTCTCTATACGGTGTAGCGCATTACTGTAACAGCAGTTTAAAATTTCTATATGCTGTGGTGGTGTTTGTTTGGTAACGTGTGTCTGGTTTGGTGCGCAAGGTTTCTGGTTTGGTGCAACATATCGTCTGGTTGGGTGCGCAATAGTACCATGTTTACAGCTCTAGATCTAGCTCTTTTCTGACACTTTTCATCTTTCTCTATCCTTGCCTTGTCTTCTTTCCCTTGCAAGAAGTTCCTGTACTGACCATAACGGAAGGCCAAGGTCAATTAGGCGTGTTCTTTTTGGGAGCTGTGCGCCTACTCTAGATCTAGATCTAGATATCTAGTTCGCGTAGCAGTAGATTAGGACCCATGGGCCATGGATGGACTGTACAGTCCGTTGTTTGCCTAGAGCGCTTTAATAATATAAACACGGTGGGTCCACTAAAGTTCAATCCAGCCCTAAAATTAGCAGCCAATCAGAAAGATGCGTCTTTTCGACGTTTAACGGCATGTCATCAACATGCTTCGGATTCAAGAACGAAAGTAGAATCTAGACTAGACTAAGCAACAACAAACGGCGTGCAAGAAGCTGAGAATGAGAAACAGAAAGTTGTGCGAAAGGTAGATCCTCGTAATTGGTTGGAAAGGAATAGAAACGCTCAAAAGTTTTATCAACTAAAATTAACTGCCATTAACAAACCGGTTCATCGTCAGAATCTGAGCTGTCATTCTCAACTGGTATTTCATCTTCATCTTCGATCGTCTTGATCATGCCGAACTCGTCTAAGGCGGCCATCTTGTTTGAACGAAACAAGGACAAATTAAGCTAGAACTAAAAACTGTCTCGTATCATTGTGTATGACAGACCTAACAGTTTTTGTCTTTCCAGAAACCATTCTGTATGGCTTGAATAGTTTATAATATGAAATGTTCAGGAAATAATCTAAGTTTACAAGATATTTAGACATGGGTCTACTCTTCTGGTATTACTACGAAACTCAACGTAAATAAGCACCTTACCTTTAACATTTTACATCTTTGGCGCGGAAGTCGGAAAAAAGCCAACCTGCTGTGCTGCAAGCCTTGGTTTCAACTTTCAACTTGACTTGTAACCACACACTGAACAATACTGAACATTATAGAACTGATAGAGCTATTTCAGTGGTTTTCACGTCTTATGAACTCTCTTTAACCCAGCTATGGGTATTCAAGGATTAACAAAGCTTCTTGGTGATTGTGCACCGTCATCAATGAAAGAGAATGAAATCAAGAGTTTTTTTGGTAATTCATTCGATTTTAGATTCTAATATTATAAGTATAAGTATAAGTAATGCTAGAGCGGCCCGTGAACGTAGCCTGCAGACTACGTTCACGGAACCCGTGAATGTAGTCTGCAGGCTACGTTCACGGAACCGTGAACGTAGTCTGCAGGCTACGTTCACGGCACCGTGAACATAGTTGGCAGGCTATGTTCATCTTGCCCTGAATGCAGTTTGCGGGTGCTTCGTTTAGGGGGAAGCGTCCGCTGCCGGTTTTTGTCAGTGACGTAATATTTTGGCCAGCTTCAAGTGTTTCATCCCGTGAGATGAAGGAAAACGAAGCGTCTTTACAGAATTAATGTTGGGACATGGGATATGGAAACGAAGTGACTATACTATAGATTATTCGGACTCGAGTCTGAATGCCGAATGTATGAAAAAAATAAAAATGTTATTCGGACTCCGATTCTTGTCCAGCATGACATCACTTCCGACTTCCTGTGACTCGTGACTCGGGCTTCCTGTCCTGCCTCTCTCGTGACTCGCCTCAGGCTGGGTAGAGACCGGGATCACTTTGGGCAAAATGTGCAGGAGCCGAGTTTTTATCTTATTAATTTATGATGAATTTGAGGCCTGCCTGAAAAGTTATGGCCGGCACTATTTCTCCGAACGTTCGGGAAAATAAAGCTGGGCACTATTTCTCCGAACGTTCGGGAAAATAAAGCTGGGCACTATTTCTCCGAACACTCTGAAATCTCATCCTTTCTTGCAAATTTCGGATATTATATAGATCTATAATTATAGTATAAGCCTACCAAAGATTGTTCGTATACAATATGGTTCAAGCGGTCCAAAAAATGTCCTCAGTAAATATTTATATAAAGAAATGCTACAATTCCAAACAGTTTTTCGCTACAGATATGGCGTGTTGCCTATGAAGGCGAAGGGTACTGCTCTTAAACGTAATGTGTTGTGTGTTCACTCGTGTGCTGTCTAGATCTAGATCTAGATCTACGGAGGGTTATTGATAACGACACGATAGAACTACTGCGACCAAAGTCCCTTAATGTGTGTGATTCCATAATTTACATGTAATATCCTGTACTTTTTTTTAAAATTACGCACATTTAGGGTTAAAACAGCCAATCTTCTTCAGACAGGTGGACACTCGCCCTTATTTTTTAATGTTTGTTGTTGTTTATGAGCTGTTCTAATTTTGATTTCTTTCTGTTGTTAAACCTTTCTTTTTCACGTTTTTACACTCATCTAAAAATCTCTAGACTAGCTCTTGAAAATTGAAATAGATATAGACCCAACAATTTGCTCCTGTGTGTGTGTGTGTGTGTGTGTGCGTGCGTGTGTGTGTATGTATGTGCGTGTGTGAGTATGTCTGTGTGTGGTAGTAAGTGAGGAGTGTGTGTGTGTGTTTGTTTTTCGGGCTTTATTTCAGCCTTTATTCAGTAACAGTTCAAAGTATACAAAATAGAAACACAGGATCCATTCACTCCAGGGCTCATGAGTTATTCGTCTCTTTCAGTTTTACTCATTCATTCAATTCCCGTGTTCTCTCCCGCGGCTCATCCCTGTCCGCATGACTTCCATACCCCACCCCCTCCCTCCGGGCACACACAAAGAAAATCTCACTCATTCCCTTGCACCCTGCGAACCATGGACAATAATATAGGCAAAACACTGCCTGAGCTGCATTCCTTTCTTTCGTGAGCTGTGGACCAGGCCAGGGGGGTCGGTGTCGTCGTCTTGTAGTTGCTGTCGCCTGTGGATACTCTCGCACATTCTTCCTTTCACCCGCTCTTTCACTCACACTGTCTCTCCATCCATAGCTCAGTTCGTCATACGTTCAAAAGTTGCCCACTAGTCATGTTTAGTTAGTGTGTGTACATGTGCATGATGGTGGTGTGTGTGTGGTGGGTGTTACTGAAGGTTGTCTGTAGGCGGGCTTGCCATGCGGTGTTCCTTCCCAGATCAGAGGCAGAATGAAAGTTGGCGCCGAACTCTCTCAATAAATAGGCAAAAAATCACGAGACCGGAAGCCGGAAACCGTTCGGAGAAATAAAGATCGGCACTATTTCTCCGAACGTTCGGAGAAATAGTAACTTCGAAAAGTTATAGCGCTTCTAATAAACTTTAGCTTTGAAATTTTCTTGAAAAGTTAATAATTGATTTTCAACAGTTTTTTGTGGTGTGATCTGCAGCAAATAATACTGGTTTGACCCTCAAAGCAATAGCAATGCATCTGTGTGCGGGAATGAAAGTAAAAATTAACCTTCATTTAGGCTAAGTTAAGGAATGAAATTATGACTCGTTCATTTTTTATTATAATTCAAGATCTGCTTCCTCAGCTAAATTCTCCCTCTTTTTTTTTTAGGGAGGAAAGTTGCAATTGATGCATCAATGAGCATTTATCAGTTCCTGATTGCAGTCCGACAGGATGGGTCTCAACTGACGAATGAGGAAGGTGAAACAACAAGGTACAGTCTTCTTCTTGAACATCGTCCGGCGAAGGACTTCCGTAACGAGCGATCACCCGTCACCCCATCAAACACAATAAAAGAAGAGACTTATAATTATCCCTACGCTCTAGCCATAACCCTAAACCTAACCCTCTCCACTCTCTATACTCTTTATAGAGGTCACTCGTAACGAAATTCCTCCCTTGCACGTTCTTAAAATTCAAATATGATAGTCTTTTTATTAAAAAAAAAAATTATACTTAACCTTATAATTTCTCTTGTGAGATATTCTTGAAGCTAAAAATGAAAAAAAGCAACAATTATAATGATGTTGTTTATTATATAATTGTTAGAGGGATTAGAAGTGAGTTCATGGAAGGATAAAAAAAAAAAAAATACTATGAGGCTGTATTACATGTTTTATTTAGGAAACCTATAAAAGCAAAAGAATGTTATTTATGGTTCCATGACACTGACAACTATGTTGCATTTTTTGCATGTGATAAATGTACTTTTTATTTGATTTTCTTGCAGTCATTTGATGGGAATGTTCTACCGTACAATAAGAATGGTGGAAAATGGGATTAAACCGGTGTATGTATTTGATGGGAAACCACCTGACATGAAATCAGGAGAGGTGAGTCCGCAGTCTCCTTAAAATGTGAGTGTATTATAAGAGCTACAGGTTGTCCGTGTCTTTGATAGTTGCTCGCCTTTGGTCTTTCCGGTGGCCACACATTGCAGATTGCTTTCTTTTCCCTGTAGTGCAGATTTCAGTGCAAGTAATGCTCTTTATTACTTTATGTTTAAAGAATGAATTCTCTTATTGAATTGTCCTCTCTGAGCATTGTACAGAGCTCTAACTTGCAATATAGAGGATTTATAAATTTGTGAAACATTGGCTTTCATTTTGTTTCCTTGAAAGTTGCATTGAGTCTGTGCTGTTTTCTACTATTTTTTGTGCATTACTATTACAAAGGCATCTTTTGTAACAAGTTATTTCTGATCGGGCAGTTTTAGTATTTTATACCAAGTGCTTTCTATTATTTATTTCATAGTTAAAGAGAGTTGTGTAAAGTCATGGATTTTCATTATATTGTACACTTACAACTAGAATAAGTAGGCCTATAGGTAGACATACATATAAAAGATTAAAGAGGTGGGTGGTTGGCGGGTGCTCAGGTGTGGTATATTATCTGCGGTGAGTTTGTGCTGACTGTAAAGATTTTATTACTAATGCATTATAGAATCAATTTGTTTATTCAAGGAAAGGGCATTATGACTGGTAAATTTTTTGTTTAAATTTCTGCTTTAAAAAAAATTGACTGTAAATTTGTCTTCATTTTCCCAGTTGGCTAAGAGGAAAGAGAAACGTGATGAAGCTCAAAAAGAGCTGGAGAAAGCAGAAGAAGCAGGTATGTCATTTTAAGTGTCACTTTATAGTTTGTGAAATTTCTTTGATTCAAAAGCCTAGAGCTAATTAAGCATCCTGTTTGCACTTGTAGTATAGCTATGTAACCAATCTTGAACTTTGACAGAACAATACTGAATACTAGTGAAGTCACAGTCTTGTGCAATGATAGTCCTTATATTTGCTAATGTTTTGGATTACCTTTGGCAGAAAATACATTTTTCGCTCCCCCTATGTGCAAGTTGATTCTGGTTGTTTAAGGTAGTGTTATTTATATTGTAAAAGATTTGGAGAGGAGGGGTCTAATTTCTATTGTACAGCCAAAGCACGTTGTACCGGCAGGGTTTGCCAATGTTCATAAAGGAACCCCTCTATATAAACATAGTATTTTCACCTTCACACCACTATCCGCTTACTATCTGAGTTGTACAGTCCTTAGTTAACTAATGCAGACGCCAGAGGTACACACTGCACACACAGCACACAACACCCACTTGTTGGCTACTTGATAATCTTTCTCCCTCGAGAAAGACACAGAAATAGAGAGAACAGAGAAGGCTCTCTGCTCTGAGTACATATATATCGCCAACTAAAAGACACTTTTCAATCACAGATCGCACAGCAGAATCGTGTTCCTTAATGTTGGGCAGTTGAGGTTATACAATAGAGGACCCTCGTTGAACTGCCAGCCCTGCTGTTCCGCCAAATCATGCCCATCCCCAAAGGTGGCGATATAACGAATTCCCAAGGGTGATGGTATAACAAATTTTGACTGTAGTTGTTTTGAAGAATCGGGTGGGTTTTTTTTTTACCATGTATGAAAATATTTTTTTTTTTCCCCAGGTGATGAGGAGAATGTTGAAAAGTTCAGCCGAAGACTGGTGAAAGTCACCAAGGAACACAATGATGAGTGTAAAAAGTTACTTACACTCATGGGCATTCCATATGTTGAGGTAAGTTTGGTTTGACAAATAACATTAGAATTGTTAATACTTTTTCTTGTGAGAACATTTGTTTTCCCACACACATGGCAAATGTCTAAGACATTTTATTTACTAATGATCATATAACTGTTTGAAACTGTATAACAGCTGTGTACTATCCACACTCTTATATGGATCTGAATGCTGGAGGATGACTGGTCATGATCGTGCCTAGCTATCTTCTTTTCATACAACCAGCTTATGCCAAATCCTCCGAATCTTCTGGCCCGACAAGATTTTCAACACATATCTTTTACGGAAAAGTAGGCAAGAGGACATGACCACCATAATAACAAGGAGAAGATGGAGATGGATTGGGCACGTTCTGAGAAGAGAATCAGACTCTATTGTAAAGACTGCCCTTCACTGGACACCCGAAGGACATTGCTAGAGGGGCAGACCCAAAGTGACCTGGAGACGCACAGTAGAGTCTGAAATAAAGTCGTGGAACCATTCGTGGGGGACGTTGACCAAGATGGCCCAAAACAGACAGAGCTGGAGATCCTTTGTTGCTGCCCCAAATACCAGATGGTGCGACGGGTAGTAAGTATATTACTGTTATGATTTGTCACCAGACCGTCTCATGTGTTTGGTCTCTTTGCAGGCTCCTTGTGAAGCAGAGGCACAGTGTGCAGCTCTCGTGAAAGCTGGTAAAGTCTTTGCCACTGGCACTGAGGATATGGATTCTCTCACATTTGGGTCCAGTGTTGTGCTCCGGCATCTTACATTCAGTGAAGCAAGGTCAGTATCATGGAATAATGTCGAAAAGAGAAGTATTCTAACTTGATTTTGTGTTCAGTTTCAGTTAATTTGATTTTTATTTCCACAAAGTTATTTTAAACTTTACAACTTGAAATTCAATCATGGTAACTTGTGCTTGTACATATGATTTATACATGATAAGTACATGCACTGAGAAGCCTGGGGTAGAATGAAGTTCAGAAAGGTTTTCTACTTCTTGTGTGGAGGAGATTTACATTTGTAGCACGGCAGTCTTATTAATTCCACAATGTAACATCAAATAAAAGATGAAAGCTTTGCAATTACTGGATCTATGACATCAATAAGGGTATGTGTTATATAAGCCTGTATGTGTCACAGTGCAGTGGAGTCAGGCACTCATCAACTTTTGGGCATATGAAGTTATTGTATTGTCTTAAAGTTAAAGCTTGTTCATTTGTCTTGCTTTTGATTAAAAAATACCCATGTATCTTGAATAGAATTCAAGACAATATGTGTGATTGAAGGAGTTAAGGGTCACCTGGTGTCAGGGGTAAATTAGTGAGAAAATGGCTGCCAAAGTTTGGTGTCTTCCAAAGCCTGAGAGTCTTGGAAATAGCAAATTTATATTTTTTGTGCTTTTAAGAGTTTTTCAGTAAAATACACTGAGAAATACGTTTTTAAATGGACATAAATGGCGTTGAGCCCCAACCCCCCCCCAAATCTATAAAAAAAATTTGCATAAAAATCTATTTTTGTGATGTAATGCATTACCTTTACCATAGCCTTTTAATTATGTTCCTTGTCCCACAACTATATTAATATACATTATTGGTTTCTTCACAGGAAAATGCCCATCAAAGAATATAATTTAGGTCGGCTGCTTAGTGAACTTGCCTTGTCTCAAGATGAGGTATGTACTGTGACTATCTGTTTTGACTGATTAGAGGAGTGGCTAGAATTCACAACACTAAGATCAGTGCAGCACACTGTGTGGTTGTATCAGTTTTGAATTAGAGAAAATGGGGAATTGAAAGGTTATTCTCTTAAGGACATAATTCATATATATTTTTATTACCCGATATGTTTATTGTTTTTGGAATGTAAAAAACCCCATTATTATTCAATAAGATATATCTTGACAGTTGAGGTTTTGTGTATGTGGTGGGTTTTTGTTGGGGTTTATTTTTTTTTGGGGGGGGGGGGGTGTCCTGCCCTGTTGTTTGTGGCCATACAAGACCTTGTGGGTCTTACAAAAAGTTTTGAAATCCACCAGATACTGAAACTATAATGTTGTGTCTCCTTTGGCAATTTTTGTTTGAGATTTTATGTTTGGACACCAACAAAGTAGAATATCATTAAAATTTAAAGGTGAAACCAATGGGAGATGAGTAGCTGAACAGGTAAATGGTCGCCTGTCATTACTGTCAACCTGGAAGTAGGGAGTTCGATCCTTGCTAGTGTCAGGTTTTTCTCATAGACTCTGCACCCCCTGATCCTAGGGTAGATAGAATTGAGCACCAAGTGCTTTCGAATAATCTAAGAATGGACAATTTCAGAGGACCATTATTAGAGTTTTGCAATTGCCACCCAATACTGAAGCTACTCTAGTTAGAATAAATACTGATAGTTCTTTCGAAAATGGTATGTCAGCTAAGGGATGTTTCTAAGTTCTATACGTTAAATGGCCCTGAACGTACACATGAGCTGCATGTTGAATGAAGATCTCGCTGTCAGATGTTCCTTTCGCTCTAGCAGGGTTCTCAAAATACAGTGCTTCTAATTTCCTGCCAAATCGGATTTCCGCTATATTTTCAGTTTCCTTCAGACCTCATCTGCCCATCCGATCCCCGCCACCTCATTGATGGTTCCCCCCTCCCATGTTTCCGACTTTCTCACTTTCTCTATTGTAAAAAAAACTACTGTACATCTAGACTCTAGATCTAAGTTGCGTTGCCTTCCGTGAAACGGTGAAGGTTATAACGAGTCCTGAAATAACGAGGTTTTTTTCCCTTCTTTATCTTTGTAAATAAAATACTGCTATAACGGTAAAGGTCAAGCTTAATCTGGTGGAAGTTCTGATGGCCGAAGAATGAACAACGTGTCTGCTTTTAAAGTCATACAATTATTATCTTATGAGTATGAGTGTGGAACTGAATCCCGGTCCCGGAAGTTGTTTTGGTTTTTTTACTTCTTCTCGCGACTGACCAACAATTTTTTTCCCATAATTATAATTTGTTGTTTTGTAGTTTTTTATGTAGTGATGAAGCATGCACATTCTGGTTTTGTCCCCAGGAGGAGCTTTTACTTACAAAGTATACTTTCCCTTTTACCAATTTAGGCCTGATTAAAGTTAAATAGGGGCTTTACTTGATGTGTGAATCTGTTTGGTTATTTAAAAAAATAAATTTTAGGCTCAGAAAGGCCAAATTTTAGCTCTTCAATTGCAAATTTTCTTCAGCTTCTGGGGGCCGATGCCCCCCCCCACCCCCGACCCCAACCCCCAACCAGGGCTTCGCCCTAGACCCAGACCCCCGCCAATTTTTCCTTAATTTTGGGAATTTGCTGTTGGAAGCACTGGAAAGAAGAAATTTATGGGACGTGAAAAAAGGTTCGTGTTTGTGTCAGTTTAATTTGTTTTTGCTTTGTTTATCTCCCGTTCTCTCTTTCTCCTAACAGTTCATTGACCTTTGTATCCTTCTGGGCTGTGATTACTGTGATTCCATCAAAGGCATTGGGCCCAAGCGAGCCATAGAGCTGATCAAGCAACACAGATCAATAGAAGAAATTCTGAAACATCTTGACAAGAAGGTAATTAAAGTGAAATGTTTTCGTCTTTTGGAAATACAGTTGAACCTGTCCAAGATACAGTTGTGAGCGCTGTAGAACCATATACTACTACTACTTCTGTCCAAGATAGGACTGCAAGGGAGCCAGGAAGATATTCCTTCCTTCCGTCCTTGCCTGGCGGAGTGGTGGAAAGGTTACAGGCGATGGAACCAAACTTTGGAGTGTTGTTTTAAGTCAGGGCTGAACTGGCAAAGCATTTATTGTCTTAGACAGGACAAAACCATCTGATGGGAAAGAATTTCTTTGTCCATTTTGGGGTTAACACTTTGCCCCTATGGCAAGCTGATTGGCGACGGTGAGAAGCCAACCCTTTCCCCCACAGAATGCCAATTGGCAACGGTGTTAATATTGCTACTGAAACGTTGCATCAAAGATCTCCTTTTTGATATGCACACCTGTTAAAATAAAATTTCCTTTCTGAATGGTTTGTGCGACCTTTGAGGTCGAAAATCAGTTTGTGTAAAACAGTTGGAGTTAATTTTGCGGGCAAATGTCGAGTAGACCTAGTTTTGGAGAACATGTGAACATGGCTTTCAATTTTCTCAGTATTCTGAAAAGTTTTTAATGATTGGGGTATTTTGGGCGAGATACAGGTATAGATAGTACTGATGTAGCCCATCTGAATCCTGGTCCTTGGGGACAAGTGTTGTGCTCTCTGTGCGCTGCGTGGGTGGAAAGTGTTCAGCAGATTTCTGTCTCAGACAGGTGTATTACAGAGGAATTGATCGGGGGTGGGGGGGGATTCTGTTATGAAAGGTTTATGTTCAGGCAGGTTCGACTATTTCCTATATTTGAACATTTAGTCACAAGGTTTTGTTTTTGCAGCGATTCAGCGAATGTTTTGGTTTTAAAACTTTTACGTATGAATTATTGTTTTCTGAATATGGTAGTCCTTGTGTGTTGCTTTCTTTTTATCAAATGTCCCTTTTTTCTTCCACATTGTAGATTACTTGGATTGATAACTTAGAATTGACTGTTGCTTAGTTTGTCTTGGGTTAATTGTTGACAATGTCTTGGGGGGTTGTACACCCTGTTGGTTGAACCAGTTTTCTCCCTTTTTAAATGATTTTATAGAAGTATTTCTTACAGTCAGCTGTTGCTCAAAGTATTTCTTGTTTCAATAAGTATTTGAGTTTCATTTTTTAAAAAATAATTTTTTGTCATTTACAGAAGTACCCTGTGCCGGAGGATTGGATGTATAAGGTTTGTCTTGAAAAAAAAATGCTTTCATTTTGTTATGATCTCATTTAGCAGTTTGTGGCCATGGCCACTTTTTGGTCAGGGGGCTTTTGAGAGTTGATATGTAGGTGTTTATTGTCATGGCATTTGCTTCCCTTCCTTTTACACTTTCTTTTAAGCGGAAAGTCTGTTGTCCCTTGTTGTAGCATTATTTATTTTAAGGAAACTAAACTAGCACACCTATTTTTGAAGTTGGTCAGGAAAATGTGTTGAAAATTCATTTTGTTTTCAAGATAATTTTTGTGGAGATCTTTGTATACAGTGGAATCCACTTATAACGAGTCCTGAAATAACGAGAAGTCTGTTTTAAAGACACTTTTCTAAAACCCTGTTTTTTTCCCTTCTTTATCTTTGTAACTAAAATATTGCTATAACGCAAGCAGACAAACTCGCGAGTCGGTTATAGCGGAATGTAGCTGCTGCCGTGCACAGCGCATAGGCCATTTATTCATGTAAAACCTCGTCAGTTGAGAAACTTGTTGGTTATCTCACGAAACAAAGAATGGGAGAGCCCACGTGTGCCAACAAGAAGGCCGGATTGAATAAGTGGGCAGAGTGTGGAATGTACAGACAAGCAGAACGCATCGCGTGATAGGCCAGCCTAGTCTAGATTATCTAGGCCTACCGTGCCTCTCACTTCTCCGATGCGGGGATGGAGTGGTCATACTGCTGTACTGTGATGGACGGAGCGAATGTGTGACATGGGGGGGGGGGGTATGGTATGTTCCCATTGTGCACAAGCAGACGGAACACACCACAGGGTGTGGTGGGGTGGGGGACAACACAGCGGGCGAGTCAGCCTAGAGAACTGTTTCTTTCTGATCGCCAACGCTGAGCTGTCAACATCGCTAGCGCTAGAGAAAGAAACCTGATTCGACTTTTGATCAAGTAAGACTTAAAGGTCATGTTGAACCAAATCATAATCAGGGGAGATTACAAAAAGAAATAAACTGAAAACCAGACTCATAGATTAGGCCTACTTTACTATTTCCCTTGAATTTATTACTGGGTCCCTTATAAAAAAATCCTGCTATAACATATTTGGCACCGGTCCCCTTCCTCTCGTTATAACAGGACTTCACTGTATATGATAAGGGGTTGCCAGAAGGTTGTGTACAATTCCCCTCTGTCTCTTCTTGTCGTCTGCTGCTTCTTTTTTTCCTTTAATGAGCATTTTTACATCTATAAACTTAACTCACTTGCGACTGGGCCCTTTCACCAGCCACAAGCGTTGAAGACTGGCGTTTTGGGGGGTATTTCAATAAATCACCACAACTCTCAGAATTACCCTATTGTAATCATTTTTTGACACAGTAAAGTAACATTCAAGCTTAATCTAATACAAAAAACTAAAGTTGTCTAAGTGTAATACTTTAATTTGTATGATTTTTTAAAAATTGGCATGAATTTGATTTTCGAAAAATTTCCAGAGACGTGACAAGTAGAATGAAATTCACTGCAACAACAAAAATAAAAGTTCAAAGTGTTCTGGTTTGATTTGTATACATGTGCAAGTGTTTGGTGAAAATATAAAAGCTGGTCTGTGCATTGATTCAGACCCATACACTGAATTACATGAGACAGATGTACGGCACGACATTGTGATTTCGTTGCGCGAAAAACAACACCGGTACTAGTGCTAGATCTAGCCCTAGAACTACGACTCGGGCCGTGTTCGGGTACATATCCAGGATCCTAACTATTAGACACATCATATTCTGAGACACTAGAACTAGTAAAACGCACAGAAGTATAGAAAACGGCGAAATTATGTGATTCTTGTTCATGCGACTTCTTCGACCGTTACTACGACGCGACTGTCGGATTACTATGAGCTGTATAGAAAAAAACAAAGCGCGAGTTCCGGTCTGTTCAACCCCAGTTGGGGTCACTGTCCTTCACCTTCAATAACTTAAACACTACCGGACCCAGAGATACGAAACAAAGTCTAAGTAGCTCAGGCTTGGCCAAACAAGGGTACGAGGCGGGTCTCGCGATCCGTGCGTGATTTGTAGAGCGAAAAAAAAATTCCAAAGTTGGTCACGCAGGGCTTGTGAGACCCGACGCGAGCGTCATGGCGGGGGTCACGCAACTGTTGTGTGACCCGTCTGAAGTGAGTTAAAACATCAGATAAATAAAAGTAAAGGTTGACTAAAGCCATGTGGGATGTTCTGTAACTCTCAATTCACTGTTACTTATTTAATAGTTTTTAGTATTGTTTTACATGGTGTAGTTATGCAATGCATTTATAGAGCTATAAAGTTCAAAATCATGAAAAGACTGTTTTGCTGGCATAGCTGCTGCTGAAAGACCCATTGTTTTTCGCTTGTGGTGAATTGAAAATGTTGTTTCTTTTATTGTCACTATTATTTGACGTTTATCTATTAAAACTGAAACCACACACTGTGGTGCGGTTGGTTACAAACTTGACTGACTAACAGAGCTTTGAAGTTCAAATCTAAGTACGGTAATATTTGTCCCTCCAGTTGCAGAATATTTCCTCTCAGTCTGGTGTCCTGTCAGGTGATAAAGTGCTTTGTGTTCCAAATAGTTTGTCAGAATGCATGGAGCATGTACATGCCCATACAATTATAATATTAAGATTTATTATATTTTATGTTAGTATTGTTAGTTTCTTTTCGTATCAGAGAAATATACATCAAAGGAGTGCTTTCCATTCTTTCAGGAAGCCAGACGACTATTCCAGGAACCGGAAGTTGCAGATGCGGAGAAGTTAGATGTAAGTACTATAAGGGTGAACAGCATCTGATGGTTATTTTCTTTATTTACAGGCTGAGTTGCCTTTTGCAGCTTCACGGGAAAGTGGGATTTGTGAGGACATGGTTCGCCAGGTTTCACTGCAATCTGCCTTTCAGTGGCCATGGAAACAGTCTTTCTATGTTTCATTTTAAAAACTCGACAACACTAAATGGTTAATTACTCTATTGCATCTGGTTGTTTCATTTTAAGGTTTGAACCAATAGACTTGTTGTTTGAAGACAGAGTAGGAGAATACCTGTGATCTTATCTGGACTGGGGCTTGTATTGAGAATGTTCATCATTAGTGTTGAGTGAATTAATAACTAGGCTACCAAACTGTTGTTATTTTATATATATGCATGTTTTGTTGTTTCTCAGAATATTTTTTTTCTCCATCCAACAGTTAAAATGGACAGACCCTGATGAGGAGGGTCTTGTTGAATTTATGGTATCACAGAAAAATTTCAGGTGAGTGTGTAGTAGCTAAATTGTTCTGTATATCCACTGAAAGATATCAAGTCAGTTTATTTCTGATGCACATTAAACAGGATATTTATTTACTCTGTTCTATTGCTGTCTAAAGATCTTCCCAGATTAACACATTACTCCCTAAGAGTCTGGACAAGAAGTCCATTGGTAGATCCTAAGCCAGGGGAAGGAACCCACCTCCCGTGAATACAAGCCTTTAAAAAACACATTTTAAGAATACTAAACAAATTCCAAAAATCCTGAAAAAATAAAAGTTAAATCGCAAAATGAATGTAGTTTCAGAAAAATATAACTTTATGTCTGCGCAAACTGTTGGAAATGTTCTAACTTAAGTTCAATCAGGGTGTCCGACCCGTCACTCTCACCCTCAGCCTCGTGGTCGGGCCCTAGATCTAAATTCTAGATTTTCTACGTCTGAACCTCCCGTGAATACAAGCCTTTAAAAAACACATTTTAAAAATACTAAACAAATTCCAAAAATCCTGAAAAAATAAAAGTTAAATCGCAAAATGAATGTAGTTTCAGAAAAATATAACTTTATGTCTGCGCAAACTGTTGGAAATGTTCTAACTTTAGTTCAATCAGGGTGTCCGACCCGTCACTCTCACTCTCAGCCTCGTGGTCGGGCCCTAGATCTAAATTCTAGATTTTCTACATCTGATCAATCCGAATTGCCCCAAGCTCTTGCTACAACGTTTTCATCAAAATCTGAGTCATATGATTTACCAAATGCTTGTTTTTGCTCAAATCCATCGTTATTTCCTTATTCGAACTCAATTGTGTCGGTTTTCAACAAGTCGAGACACTTTCGAAGTGTTGGTAACGCGATCGCACTTCGTTCGGCTCTAATACTAAAACTACTGCCCCGAAAAATTTCGTTTCGGTATCAAACGAAAGAAGAAACTTTTTGCATTAACTATGCGAATCAAAATCTCGGCCCCAGAGTCTCGCCAAGGCGAGAAATCGTTTCTGAAAATGCTCGGTCGGCGCCGGCGGTTCCGGGCGAGTCAGGGTGGAGTACGTAAGGGAATTCCCTGGCGATCCCAGGCGAGTTGGGTGTAATGTGTTAAGACAAAAACAACACACCTAAAAACTTCAAAAGTCACAATGGAAGTTTGGAAAAAGCCATGCCAAAACTGACACCAGCGTCGTGGAGTAGAGCCAAGAAAGGAAATTGGAGGTGTTTTTTTAGTACAGGGTTTTACGGCGCTCGCAACTGCATAAGGTTATATGAGCGCGCGAAACACAAGTTAGTTTTGTTCACAACAGTTTACTGTACGGCTGGCTCGGGTCAGTAGTTAGATTTTAAAATGTTAAAAAATCAGTATAAATATATGTATATTTTGAATCCTAACAATTTTCCTAGATAACATTTTTAAAAATTTAATAGTTCGATTTCACTTTATAACTTGCCATAAAGGCCGTTGGCCTTTATAAAATTCAAAATTCTGTCGGGACCAACGACGGAAAAAATGTCTTGCAATTTCTTACAGTTATAATATTTCCTTCGGATCTCTCCAAAGTCCAGACATTCGGTTAGGATGTGTCTAATGGTAAAATCTGTGTCGCATCCGATACAGAACGGCTTCTCATCTCCCTGTAGGATTTGAGGTGTTCATTAGTGTAAGTGTAAGGGACTTTGAGAAAAGTGGGCATTTTCAGCTATAGAGCAGGTTAGTAGCAGTATCGTCCATGCTTTGATCACTGAATGTCATATTTTTTTCATTTTGTCTCACCCCTGTTTTTATTTTTCGCTCCTTTTACTTTTTGATGCTTCAGAGTATCAATTATTTTTAGCATACCCGGTATCTATTTGAGTTATGAGGATGATCTCCACCCTAACCAGAGTGTCACTTGGTAATGTTTCTGTACCGGTTATTTGTTTGGAAATTTTTAGATAACTCTCTTTTCAGTTCTATCCAAAATGATTTTGCATTCAAATTTTGAGTGGGAAGAGGCATTCAAATTTTGAGTGGGAAGAGGCATAGATATGAATAAAGGCTCTGCGGAGAGGGAGTAGTTTTAAAAAATCTTTTGGATTAAGTGTCCGATAACAATCCCTTTTAAAATTTGAAGTTTCAGAAAATACTTCTCTTGTTTCTGCAGTGAAGAAAGAATACGAAATGGAGTTAAGAAGTTGCAAAAGGCTAAACAAGGAACAACTCAAGGTCGCATGGACTCTTTCTTCTCTGTTGTCTCAACGTCTAAAACATCAAAGAGAAAGGTGAGCACACATACTGATTACTTATGATTGTAGGATTTTCCAGACAGTGCTACGGAAATTATGCAGGAACAGTTCTCTTTGTGTCTTGGTGAATGGTGAAAATGTTGACATGAATTAATTCTCTCTCTCTCTCTCCCTCTCTCTCTCTTTCTCCCTCTCTCTCTCTCTCCTTCCTTCTCCCTCCCTCTATCTCTCTCTCTCTCTCCTTCTCCCTCTCTCTCTCTTTCTCTCCCTCCCTCCCTCTCTCTCCCTCCCGCACACACACACACTCACTATTTCCTGCTATGACTATGTTTGTAGAAGTATGAGAACCTGTTTTAAAAAATAGTCAAGATACCTTATAAGGGCTCTGACTGTGAAAATGGATGAGATCTGTCAAGGTTAACCTCAGTATGATGATTCTACTTGGTTTGAGATGGAACCTCTTATTTGAAGCTCAATGGAATGAGTGAAAGTTTATAGCTGTATGTTTATGGAGGTGGGGGGTTGGGTCCAAACCTGAAACGTAACTGAATTTGAAGACTATTGATGCATTTTTTTTCTTCGCAGGCGGAGGAACCTAAAGGATCACAAAAGAAAAAGGGAAAGGGAACTTTCAAGAAAGCAAAGTGAATTGTACTCTGCTGTCATTTGCATATATATATTGTTATGTACATGTAGTATTCCTTGCATATATTAATGTCACATCATTGGTTGAGCAATTATCTCCTATTTTGGAGCTTAACAAATGGTATGATTTGTTTTTATTTCTTACACTTTTCATGATCCTTCGATATGCCTTGTGTGTTCTGTCCTTGATAGGTGGCCCCGATTTTTACCTTGATTGGAATACAAAATGAATGACACATCTCTGATTTTCAGTCTTTCTTCCTTCTTCTTTGTGTTCCCCTGTAAGATCTCAGGGGTAGTGACTTCTGGCTCTTGAACTTGCAATGCAGCTGATTTTTACATAAGTGACCAGAGGACTGTTGATTGGTGCTCTGGTATGGTGTGCTCCTTCCTTCCTTCCTATCAACCATCTATCATCTTTATCTTTCCTTCTTTTTTTGTGTTTGCTACTCTTTCGTAACACCTGTGGTTGGCGGGTGCTCTGCTCCTTCTTTCCTATTTAACATCACTTGTCCTGATTTGTCCTCCTTCAGATTTTGAAGTCACTCTGTTTTTATACTGACTAGAGTATTTTCAGTTTTGGTTGGAGTTAATTCTGCTTGGGTGGCGGCCGGAGCCTAATCTTATCAATTTTAGGACCACCAGGGGATATCTTTAATGTGCGCAATTTGCACACGCGACCCTAAAGATTTTTCACCCTTATCTGAGAAGACTGGCTACTACATTTTATTTTCCTTAAGTTAAGGTGTGTGGTTTAAGATTTAAAGACAGCAGTAAGAAGGAGCCAGGCGTAGAAGTAGAAAGACTCAGGAGTATAGGAATAAGGAACCCAAAGGAGGCTGAAGACTGGGGGAAGAAATGAATTTCAGTGTTTCGACTTTTTTAGCTTTATAGTGTTAGGTTTATTCTGTTGATTTGAGGCAATTTGTTTCCTACACACAAGACTGTGTTGTGTGAAGCTGCATCAGGCCGAGCCCTGACTAAATCAGTTTTATAAATGAAAAATTTATGGACATGGTGTATGGGTCATATGAGTAATGTTCATAGCTCGAAGACCATTTACCTTGCTTCAATTAGAGATGAGTCTTTAAAATGTGGTTCATTCCCTTCTTATGATTTGATAAACCCTGTTGAAATAAGCATTGAGCCCATACTGTACTGAGGGAAGCTGATCATGCCTTTTGGCTTTTATCGTCCTTGTCTGTGAACTATGACTCGGTGGCATTCTGGTGCTGGAAGAGCTCTAGTTCTAGCCTTTTTGCAGTCGCATTCTGACTTGTTGAGTTTACGTGGCAGTGGAGTTTGCTTAAACTGGACCCAGGTAATCTGAAAATAGGTATACCAAACGATAATAAAATCACTTTTTTCTTTTTCTGTCTCTAAGCAACCTCTGTAAACTATTGAAGAAAATCCAGGATATTTAATTTTGGTTCAGAAGACTCCTCTGTGTTTGAATAAAAAGGGATTGAAAGTCTGTGTATGTATGAAATGAATTGTTTTATTGGTGCTTCTCAAGTGAATGTCAAATTTTCTGGTACTGTGTGTATTTGATTTTGACCAATAAAGTGTCTGATGGCTAATTTGGATTGATTCATGTTTCTTACACATGTTTAGATGTAAAAGCCCAAGTGGGTACTTTAGTGCAGTCGCTGTCACCCCACAAGACCCCTGTGTTGAAATAATGACATACCGGGGGCAAGAGGTATGGTGCTATCTATTTATTATTGTCTCTCTAAAGATAAAAACGACTGGTGTTTGTGGTGTAGTGGATAGGCGTTTGCTTTCGCACGCAGGAGACAGGAGTTAGATTCCTGAGTGGGCAGAAAATTGATAAAAAATTTCTTTCCATTGGGATGTTGTACATGTATCCCTTTCCCTTTCAGCCCAGGTTAGCTCTGACAAGCAGGGTGGGAAACCCGCCTATAATACTAAGTCAATATTATTTTATATTAGTAGGCAACACAGTTCACAAACTGCAAGTCAGAGAGAGAGAACTGAGGGGGTTTTGGGGGGGGGAGGGGGCTCCTTTTCTTTCCCCTCTTATTCTTTTTTCTCCGAACATTTCTTTTTTTTGGGGGTTTTTTGTTCTTCCTGCTGTAGATAGCCTCTCTAGCTTCAACAGCACAAAGTCTGCTTCGACTATCAAGGCACCCTGGAAATAGCGGGTCACAAGAGTGTGACAAACACAAAAGAAGTAGAGGAAAATTACAATAGTCTGTCCCCGCGGTTTTATGTGCCCCGCATAATTTAGCAAAATTTGATGATTTTTTTGCATAATTTCTGATTATTTTCCTTCATCATGCTTTGTTAAAATTAACAGAATCGCATAATTTCACATTTTTTGGGCTCAGTTTGCATAAATTCAGAATTTTTCTTGCATAAAACGACAAGGACAGAATAGTAAGGATTAGGAAAGAAAAAGCAGCAGTTCCCTGTTGCAGGTCGTGTGTATGTATGTGTGTGTTTTAGTTTTAGTAGAGGTTTTTCTGTGCTCGCAACTGCATAAGGTCATATGAGCGGCAGAAAATTATGAGCATGATGCCTTGGAAATGAAAACAAAAGTGAAGAGAAAAGAGACAAAGACAGAAAACAACACTGCCACTGAAGATTTCTTTTTATTGTAATAAAAATCATGTCCAGCTCACCACAAAACCAGACTGATCCTATCAGTACAGACAGTTCCTTGAAATAATCATTTAAACGCTATAACAGAATATGCACACAAATGTGGTGTATGAAATCAAATGCCGAAACGTTGGTCTACACAAAAATGGCAAAGGAAAGCAATTCAACACATCCACATCAATAAATCTCACCTTCATTTTAGTAACATATTTATTTATAAATAAATAAAGGCAGAAAATGAAACCAGCAAGCCATAGGTAATATCACATAAAGTTGCTTATACCTAAAGAGAGAGAAAGCTATAATATATATATATACACATTACAGAAACTTCCATTCATACGTATACATATGTACCACCTGGCTATTGAAAAGTGACAATAGAATAATATTGCAATGTAACTGCTAGAGTACTTTTCGTAAAAATGCTGCACATTAACATTAATTGACATTTAGTCAGTTGAATTTCCTCAAACTCAAAGGAAATCTACACAAAAGGCTACTTGATTTACCTGCTGTACACAGTGAATCAGCAACCTCCGGGTTTATCAGCATGAAGATCACTATACATTTTTTTTAGCCCTCCAAAAAACCTTTAAAAATGACCCAAAAAGCACACATCAGGTACCGAGAAACCACTTCTTAGTCTTCTTACCACAACACACTACAGTCAGGCAAAGATAACATGAAAACAGAAAACTTGAAATCACAGCTAGCTTGTACAATTTGCCATTCCCCATCTGATATCTCTTTAATTTTTTGTTAGTTAGTGGTCAACCTGATTTATGGATCAGGTGTCAAACAAACATCAAACACATTTGTCAATCCCGGATGAGTCTGAGTTATCCGTGCCCAACTGTGTATGTTCCCCGAAGTGAAAGAAATGTTTTCTGTTGCTTATTATATAAATTAAAAGAGTTATGATTATGAAGTTATGAAAGCCTTCAATCAAAAAGGATATCAACTTACACGTACCATTTTAATTACTTTAATGATGAAAACAAAGCAGAAGCCATTTCAAGTTTAATTATTAATTAGGTTTCACATGTAGCTGATTCAAATGCACAGATAATATTATCATTTTGAAATAACTTAATGTTCATCATCATGGGTTCTTTTTAAAGTGCGCCATTTTGATGCAGAGAAACCCCCAACTTTAAAACTGCATTTTAGAGCACAACAAAGGTCCATTTTTCATTGATGCGGAGGATATGAATATGAACATCATATATTCTCTCACTCATTCTCAAACTTTGGAAAACATGTTTAATTATGCAGATTCTTTCCGCTCAACTATTCATTAATTTTAATGCAACAAATGCAAAATGTACCAGTACTTTTATTCTACCAACTTATTGCACAAAGATAATATACAGATGGGTAACCATCAGAAAATGCCAGTGACATCCTCTTGACTTTACAGTACACAATGAGCTGGTTACTGAGACAATTAAAAACGCCATTTTCTTCCCTTGGGTGACCTCTGACGCTACAGTCCAGAAAACTATGGAAGTGTTATCAGGCAAATTCTTACTAGCTCCAGGCTCTGCCAGAGGTGTAGTGCATCACGTGACATTGGTCAAAATTCAACCCATAACATTGGACATGGCTTATGGAGTGCAGATGCTGCTCTTACACCACCACTCTGCCAACCACATACTCTAACTGAAGCTCAACCCACACAGATTACAGATTTTGAATACATTTTCACCTGCAACAATTCAAGCGCTGCGCGGACAAGTTTTCATTTCAAGTTAGCAGTCTGGTCACACAGTACAGCGACACTTGTTTTTCTTTTTTTCTTTAAATTTGTTCAAACCCACAGCAATGCTTGAGACTTCTTTATGAGACTGGTTGATAGATAGACCTTTGGAAACATTTGTATTGAGTTGTCCTAAAGTGACTTGACATTATCAGAAACTATACATACGATGTTTGGTTATACAAATGTTTTTCTCTTCTGAAGAATTTACGTTACAGAACAAAAGCACAATTTTAACACGGCAAAATGAAAATAAACGATAAAATGTACGAGAAAGTGAATAATTTTGAGCAAACTGACACATTCTGGTCAGCTGCCCCCATACATCTGTGCTCCTCGGACCATCTCTGTGAGCTGATTGTAAAAAACAGATGCAAAAAATTATTGCTTGCAATTTGTGGCATGACAAAATATCTTAAATCATTGCAGTCAAATGATCAAAAGGACACAAAAATGTAGGTCACAAGTACATGGATGGCAAGATAGTTGATCATATGGTTCACATTTCCAAAATAGGATTGCAAGTGTTTCCACAACTTCACCATTCTCAAAAGCACACCATGGAATACAAGACATATTATTTCTCGAGACTTACAAAAATTCCAAAAGAGGATAACTCATACAGCATTGCTTGAAAAGTTACCCTGCAACAGGTATATTCAAAATTGGAGGGCTAGGACTGTGCTGAACATTGTCTGAATCAAACCGAATCATCTGAGAATCACAACTTGAATAGGTTCAAGGAAAAGAAGTAAAAAGAAACAAGCTTTGGAAACAGGAACTCACTGTGAGTCACAAGACTACATTTTTAAAATCTCCACACTATCTACTACTACTCCACGAACAACCCATGAGCAACTAAGAATCTATAACTTAAGATACAAAACTGATGGAATTTTCTCAACTTTCTTTGCACATTAAGCAGAAGATCCCATCCTTCAATGGCTTCATCCTTACTTAGCTATCCTTTTATTTCTTTAAAAAAAAATGTAACTACAGTCTAGCATGCACATAGCGCACATAAACATAGCGGACTGAATTTCAGGTCCTGAATTGTTTCTTCTCTATTCTTTGTATTCAAAACACTTACATAGCAAAGACAATGGCATCAGCAAGGGTAGATACTACCACATACCACCACAAATTTTCGTTTTAGTAAGGTTTTTACAGCACTCGCAACCACCACAAATTTAGTTTACTGAAGTAGCCTTCTGCACATGCACGCAAGTAAGGGGAGTAGTGGTGCCCACACACACACAGCATATGAATGTAGGTAGACTGATGACTGGATAAACTGAGGGCAATAGACCAATGACTGGATAAACTGAGGGCAATAGACCAATGACTGGATAAACTGAGGGCAACAGTGTAGGACAAGGATGTGTTTGTTGTATAGCCAGCCCTGCATCACTGGCACAGAAGTGTTCATGGGTAAATTTAGCCATCACACTTCAGCATGAAGGCATATGTTGTGCATTGTCCCCATGTGTATTGCTGCGCTTCCTCTTCAACAGAAATTAGATCTCTACACATAATTGCGACAGCTTGCCGGCATTTTGAAAAATCAAGTCCAGATGAAAATCTAGCAGTCAGAGGACCGTGATAAGGCAAAAGAAGCAGAAAGGCTTCTTGGTCAGGGAAAAACTGCAGATCCTAGCAAAGCTGGATAAAAAATCCATGCCCAAAACTCAAATCTGCAAAACGTTCAATTTTAAACATCTACGAACCCAAACACATATGTTGGCATGGCATACAGAGCATAATTCATGTAAAATTTTGACCCCATTTCCTCTGATTTCACAATAAGTATTGGACCGTATTCAGTTACCATAGCATGGAAGGACAAAATCATCAGAGTAAACTACCGTTACCTAGCTATCCACACAGGAAATTTTTTCATCACATTTAACCCTATCTGTACGTCGGGTTTTACTATCGTATCCATACGATGTGGGGAACACTGTGCCACCACTTTCCAAAAAGGAAATTTACTTGTTAATTTGATCCGTATGCTTTGCATAGCAGTTTGTCAAAATGATTTTTTGAGAAATACTGAAGGTTTCAAAAAGATCTTCGTACTACAAGTATTCTAAAATGTGAAGAATACAACCCTGAGGGTACAAAATGACCCCAGGGCGCACTGAAAGGGTTAAATGTTCAACATACTCTTGTTGTGTTTTGGAGGCATTGCATGACTATTTCTTCATGGCAAACAAGGCCCAGAACAAAAGTACAATGTATCGACGAGTTCTTTGAAAACAGAAAAATTAAATAGTGCTGTACTTTACGTATGTTTTTTTAACGCCCTTTTCATTTCTAAGCACACACATACATTTCACACTTCTGGTTATATTTGGGGATTTCATAATTTCTAGAAAGCATCTCTTCTCATAGACTCGTGTATTCATTATAATGAACATGAAAAGCATGCTCTTTTATAAGTTTTACGGCAATTGTAACACTGTCAGGACATATAAGTGCAGAAGATTAGAGCTTTTACTTGAATGTAACATACAAACAAAACAAAGAAGAGAAATTAGAAGGACGATAGATGACTTATAGGAAAGAAGGAGCATACCACACTAGAGTGCCCGCCAGCCACCCACATGCACGTTTTTTTTTTTTTTGTTCGGCTGAGTCCTAACTTTTGATACTTATACCAGTCACTGTAAGACACATCACCCTGAGCTGATTTATGCTCGAGTTTACTAGTTAGCATTATTTGATCTGACTAATTTTTTTTGGGGGGGGGGGGGGGGGGGGGGGGAGAATTGATATTTCATTCTTCACATGAACAATGACCTCTCTCCCTTCCATTCTTTTGATCACTAACTCTTATCAAAAGAGAACAAAAGTTTTAAATCATCTAAAAAATATCTCCACATTTGTTTTTGTGCTAACTCTTTCACAACCAGATGTACGCAAGTGCTCCATCATCAATATCTTAGACAAATAAACATAACATGAAAATATCCAACACTAACAGAACGCCCATGTTTGTTAACAATAATAAATGTTTTCCTTCGAATGTTTGAAGATGAAGCCATACACAGTTGAAAGGCAAGACAGTGCAATCTTAAGTTGGGTCTATGTGTATCTGATGGCAAAAGGACATGCACATTTTCAGAAAAGGTAAGGCATTTAATAAAAAGATTTACGGGGGAAAAGAAATCATATTGCCTTAGAAGTTTTCAAATCAACAAGATTCACATAATCACAAATTGGAAAAATAGTGATAAATAAAGAACCGTAAATCCCAGACGACAACTATCCCCCTTCATCATACATCAACTGCTGACAAGTGTTCCTTCAATGCAGGTTCAGTTGTAAGTGGAATTATGGCAGAACAACAGAGTCATTCTAAAAGAGCGTAACAAAAACAAAACTGACACTAACAATTCTGAATACAAAACAGTGCTTACATTTTGTAGACATGGTCACACAGAAGGCTGGAAGCTTAAAATTTCTTTAAAATTTCCTACATTTCACAAAGAACAAAAGGTCAAGATATCCTCAAGACTCCAACCACTTATCTCAAAATCGACGCATAAACCTCAGGACAGAAACAAACAAATCATACACAAGAGAAAGCCAAAGAAATACCATCTACCCAGATATAACATTAATTTCCTAGCATCTCAAAGCGTTCCCACTTCAGTTAAGCCACAGGTGTAATCGACATACAGTCAAACCTGCTCTAACAGCCACCTGTCCAAGTTGATCACTTGTTCAAACGGCCACTTCCCACCTAACAGGGCTTTTTTTTTTTTTTTTTACATTACAATGACAGTCCAAGATATGCACCTGTTTAAGACAACCGCCTTTTTATTCAACAATAGTTGGCCATCTTGACAATTTCGACTACTTTTATACATATTAACAGCTAGCATGCGGCAAATATCTTCTCAGTATTCTTCATGTCCCCTCTCTATGCATAGAAAACACTACCACTCACAAATATTCAATTTACACTTAAAACATTACTGCCAAAGAAAACAGCCTCTTACACAATCATCTCCTAGCTCTTTAATTACAATACAAATGGAAATGAGGGGTCTCAACATGACAACGATGATAAAGACCTTAGACTGGCATACATAAAGCAAGCATGTTGAGCAGAGATGGCGTCTGATACCTCTGCTGTAGCCAGTAATGGTCTACTTGTAAGACAGGCCTACAACCATATAACAAGCCGACAGTCGATACAAGCATATCTCTCAATCTTTCCACCCCATTCTGGTATTTCGTGTTTGTAAATGAGGGTAATGAACCTTCAGTAGCCTATCATGAAGTGTCCACCAGGGTTATAATACTAGGAGTGGCATGCTTCTGTAGGATCATCTGGGACTGGTCGGAGCTGTAGGTGACAAACACGGAGATGTTGTTCAGGTTGTAGGTGCCGGGGCGAGTGACCCCTGCCTTGAGGGACACCGCAGAGTTTTGGCCTTTGCTTAGGGTCAGTGTTGCCTGGGTGAGGCCCACCCAACGGACAGAATGTGATGAAGAGGCAGAGGAGGGAAGCTGCTGAGGAAACGATGAAGAATCTGAAACCATTGCTCCTCCTCCTCCTCCTCCTGAGCTCAGGCTTTCCGGAGTTTTGCTGGTATCGACTACAACATGCACCTCTCGTTCTGAGTGGTTCTGCAAAACCAGCGTGACAGGGACCACGCACATACCCCTTGAGAACGCATGCTCCTTCTGGTGTACATGTGTGAAAGAGTAGGTCACCAGATGTGTGGTCACCTCGGGACTGGGTGGCTGCTGCTGCTCTTGCTCAACAACACGGGTGAATCGCAGAGGGGGGCGGCTCGGGGCGGTCGGTGGGGTGGGATAGGATGTGGCACAAGCATTCAGTTGGTCCACATGCACATGGTGCTGGCCGACTACGATCTTCATCTGACCGCTCTCCTGAACCACATAGGCTTTCCAAAGAAAGACCAAAGTCAGGTTCAGCATGACGGCAGATTCCAGGTCGTTCACACTCTCTCGTGCCCTCGCCTTGGCCGATGAGTCCGAGTCTGCTGGGGAAGACACCGGAGGTTTATCCTGCGGGGCTTCTCCCGCAGACAGCTGCTTGTGTCGCAGAGAGCTACGAACAAAGAAATCAGAGCAAGGGCTGCACGCACTGTTCACCTGATCCCTGTCAAAAGCAACCTCGCTAAACACAAGCTTCTCAGACTCTGAGGAGAACAAGAGAAATCAAATTGTAGACCGCAAAGCTGAACACTAAACTAATTCTCTGAAAACTGTTGTTGTAAAACTTAAAAAGGATATTTTTCAGTAGTAAGCACTTGACCACAACAAAAAATTATTGAATTCCTCTAATGGTAAACATGACTTGGTTCATGAGATCTAAACACGAGTTCATCTTTATTTTCTCTATTTACTCTTTGTAGAAGGATGTCCTGCATGATAAATATAAATCAGTTCAAATGCCTCAACTTTGAACCCTATCAATACATATCTCAGCAAATAAGAACCATTTCCTTCAAATGATGGGAAACCAAAAACTACGATTCACCAAGTCTCTTTTTCTTGTGCTCACAACTATCTAGCATGAAGGAACATACTCTGTCACTCTGTCTCAAAGGTTTTTCTTCCTCTTTATCCTCATTAATAAACAAGAGTCTACTCTTTATCCTCATTAGTAAACAAGTCTACTCTTTATCCTCATTCATAAACAAGAGTCTACTCTTTACACTGACTGTTACTAGCATAGACACATTTCCAGGTGCTGGCAACCAAAGCAGTTTTAAATCTCAGACTGCCCTTGAGTCGAAATACAAAAAAAATCATGCGAAAGTAAGTCGCACACCGTTCCATGTTTGCTTAAAAGTGGTTTTCCCACAGGACAAAAACACCCACCGTTTTCCTGCTCCTGCTTCAAGCCCTTCATCACCAGCTGTAAAGTCTCTCTGCTGCCAAGACGCACACCTGTACAACCATTTAAAAAGAAAAAAAAATAGCATTCAGCACCAACTACATCGTTCTACCTCACCATTCCCTTCTACACTCCGAAGTAGGGCAGCATTGATTTATGGGGAGGTAAATGGATTTGAGTTAAATAGGAAACAATAAAATGTGTATTATTTAGTAACTTCTACATGAAAGTTCCATTTTGTACCTTGTTGAAATTATGGCATAACAAAACTCGTCATGTGGACTCGTCATGTGCCACTGTAACTGTACAGCTTTTTATTTTAGGAAATTTAGCCAAGTACATAATTGAATCATCTAAAAAGATCAAATTCTCATTTCTTTTGTTTTTATTTGTCATTCTGCATGAGAATGTGTCAATTTAATTCCATCCCTGTGCAGTATCTCTTAAATTAATCTCAAAACATTTTTAAAAAGCCAGAGAACATTTTGTTTCAACTTGTAGTCATAAACACCCATGATTGCATACATGAAAACACATGCTAGCAAGTACATAAATACAATCAATCAGAATAAAAGCCTTTAAAAAATCAAAAGTTATTTTCACTTCCAGTAGTCTTTTATTTTCTGTGCACACAAAACAAATCACATGAACACACAATCATCTATAGGTACCAAAACATTATATCAAAACAGAAATCCATCTTATCTATCTAAGTTAATACACATGAACTGGAAAGCACAAATGAGCAGAACAAAATTTCCCAACCCAACCTAGACCAACAAACACAAAGTCCCAAGCACACACACACACACACACAATCAGCACAGCAATCTCTGATCGAGACTACTCAACCTTTGCAAAGAAAAACCCCCAGAAGTTCCCACTAAGGAAGCTCACCCGAATGGTGTTTGGCCCCGAGGCTGACCAGTGTCCACCAAGGACTCACACAAGACACCTGGGTCACCTGCAGTTCCTGGACATGGGGTCTCTGTATCTGGACCTGTGAAAAAAATGAAATGATAATTACTCTTTAATAGACAGAAAGCGAATAACTTTTCGTGATATTTCATCTTCATAAAGACGAAATTACTATTAAACAGAAAATAAAAACAAGGTTTTACACTTTTCAGATGGTGAAAATAAATGCAAAAGATTTGAAGCAAGCACAGTCTTACCGGAAAGAAAAGTAAAAACGGTGACGTAGCATGAGAAATCAAAACAATAACAAAACAAATTGTTAAAAATAAGGAATAAAAAATTATGAAACTGTCTTAACACATTACACCCTAACTCGCCCGGGATCGCCCGCGAATTCCCTTACGCGCTCCACCCTGACTCGCCCGGAACCGCCCGCGCCGACCCAGCGTCTTTAGAAACGAAAGTCTCGCCTTGACGAGACTCTGGGGCCGGGATTTTGATTTGCATAGTATAGCAAAAAGTTTCTTCTTTCGTTTGATACCGAAACGACATTTTTCAGGCCAGTAGTTTTAGTATTAGAGCTGATCGAAGTGCGAACAAACGCGTTACCGACACTTCGAAAGTGTCTCGACTTGTTGAAAAGCGACACAATTGAGTTCGAAAACGGAAATAACGATGGATTTGAGCAAAAACAAGCATGTGACAAATCAGATGGCTCAGATTTTGATGAAAACGTTGTAGGAAGAGTTTGGGGCGATTCCGATTGATCAGACGGAGAAAATCTAGAATTTAGATCTAGGGCCCGACCGCGAGGCTGAGAGTGAGAGTGACTGGTCGGACACCCCGATTGAAATAAAGTTAGAACATTTCCAACAGTTTGCGCATACATAAAGTTATATTTTTCTGAAACTACATTCAGTTTTCTTTTTAACTTTTATTTTTTCAGGATTTTTGGAATTTGTTTAGTATTTTTAAAATGTGTTTTTTAAAGGCTAGTATTCACAGGAGGTGGGTTCTTTCCCCTTGCTTAGGATCTACCAATGGACTTCCCGTCCAGGCCCTTAGGGTGTAATGTGTTAAACATAATGTACAGAAAGGTACGAATAAACATCTTACATGAAATGAAACATACACCCTAAAGCAATAAAACCGCTTCCCTAAAACCTTGAGGAAGACGAACTACTATGAAACGCAAAAATGAGTATTTATAAAGAGATGCTTTATATAACATTCACCTGGCTCAGATTTTCCAACTCGCACGCAAAGATACACGAGTTCAACTCCTGACCTCTGGTGGCGCCAGCTCGGGCCGAAGGTCGTGACACCGTGGTGCGCACACTCAGGGACTCCACTGTATTGAGCAGGGTGCAGTGCCGCACCACTCGATGCCTGACGAGATTGAACCAATATAATTATTATTTTTCCTAGATTAAGAGCACATATATAATTACACCAGTAAAAAAACATCCAAATGTTTGCATTGCTCAACTGACATGAGAAAATGGCGAAATTGGGCACAAAGTGGGAAAACTTGTTAGTTTTGTTTGATTTGGTAAGTGTTTAACTGCGCTCGCAACTGCATAAGGGCGCAGGACACATTAAACATTTCTAGTTTGGTAGGAATTAATTTTCAATTTCAATTGGGCGAAGACCGAAGTCTACTCTTATCGATTTTGGACCACCAAGGGATCTTTAACCTGCTCAACTTGCATACAGGAGGACTTCCAAGATTTTTCGCCCTTTTCCAAGAACGTGGATACGACAGTAGATGACAGACCATGGTTAGAGAACATGAAAGGAGCAAATTTTCTCCTGTCAGGTTTCCAACCTGGGACCTGTTGAAAGAGGGATTAACATGCATCCTCTAGACCATGAGAACCCCTGAGGAAAGTCTGAAATTCATAAAGCATGACCCTAAAACATTACATGCTTGTCCGATCCTATAACGTCATACAGAGATGCATTTTTTCCTCCCAAAAGCTAAAGAAGCACGAAAAAGCTCTCAAACTATTAAACATCAGTAAAATGTAAAATGCTCAAACGAGATCTGCTGTCCCCCAGCCTTCACTATTGTGCGCCTGGCATAATAAATGAACGAATCATCAAAAAAAGCCACACACCTTATGTTACAGGAATGCTTCACTGGCTCGTAATAAAAGAGGAAATCCACTTCGTGAACCCCACCAATGTCATCGCCACGAAGCCAGAGGGGGAGCGACAGGGTGTCTCCTGGCTGGAGAGCCCCTTTGGGCAGTGGAATGTCAAGGACGTCGGGCAGTGAGAGGAACGAGGATCGATCCGGAATCGTGCTGGTGAGGGTGGAGCTAAGTGAACTGCACTGTGGGGCCCTCATCTGGTAGACGTAGGGGTACTTGGGCAGTTCCGAGTTGCGGCCAAATGTGAAGAACCGTGGGTGAGATGAGGTCACTCGTAAGTTCTGAAGGGGGCTCTTGCCAGAGTTGGTGAACTCAATCTCTATGCACTGCACCTCGCCACACAAAAGGTTCTCCGGGAAGTCGCAGAAGACAACCTGAAGAACAAACACAAAAGGAAAATATTTTTCAGCGCAAAAGATTCCCTTTCACCTATTGAAATTCTCACTTAATTTCCTTGAGCTGCAATCTCACTTATAATAAAAGTTTTGGTGATACCATGTGCCTATTCTTTTCATTAAAGATCCACACCTAACATGTAATAAAAAGACACTGTTGAATGAACTGTATGTTAGTGGAAATGAAGACAGAAAACTTACATCTAAACTGGGCATCTCCTCATGAATTAGTAGATCAAGACGTCGATCTGGGCCGTACAACTGCTGTGTTCGTTCTTCTTTCGAGTTGTTGAGGCGAGGCCCCTGGGGTTCGAGTCTCTGTTTGCCCCTAACGAGGACACTGGTGGTATAGCTTGGCTTGCTGGGTGCAGACATGGATGAGGACCCCACCTCCTGCTGCAGGGAAGAGTTTTGAGCCAGCGAGCTGGTGCCCAGATTGTAGGCCAGGCCCACCACTCGTAGCTGACCGGGCTGCCTCGGGGTCAAGGTCAGATGAATCTGAGCAAGAAAAGAGGATGGGCAAATCAAATTTTTTTTTAAACCGACATTTTTTCTAAAAAATATTGAATGTTTTTGTATCCAAATGAAGTGATTAAAAAGACATTAGAAAAAAAAAGTAAAATGCATCATAGATAAGATAGAAGTCATAGACCAGTAGGCAGAATAAAGTCAGCACAGCTGACCTCAGAGATAATTCTCTTTGGTCAAAAAAAAAAGGTATACTCAATTGCTTGAAGGACATGAAACATGTACATCGCTACGTTTACGATAAAAAGTTGCCCCAAAACAGGGAAATTTATTTTCAAGAAAAAAAAAGGCTCTGAAACAAAGTAGTCTATTTTAGTAATTGCCATCAATCTCCGTCCTTTTCAAAACTTCATCAATACATTACAATACGTAATCTTACATCATAACTTGCTATCCCACACAAGCAAATCCAACCTAACTTCAGGTGCATCGAATACCAAAAAAAATAAGCCGAAAATAGTCTGTAACTTTTTTCAGAATGCAAGGGCAATCTGTTTGTGAAATCAGGACAGAACTTACCGACTCATTTTGGATACCTTGCACAATCACTTCTTTTATCACGGACGTCTGAATGATCTCATCAGCTAGGCTATTCTGTAACATCCGATAATTGTAAAAAACCCATTTAGAATGTGGTATGCGAGGGAAAAGAGAAAACTCAAACACATTACATAAACATATACACAAATGATTTTCTGAAAGAGAAATGCTGAATCATAAACAAAAAGGCAGCTGGTCAGATACAGCTTATCATTACAATAGGTACAGGTAATATTTCATCATGAATAAAAGGGGTGGAGGAATTATAACATTGGAAAGAGGTGGCGTCGGTGGCCTAGTGGTCAGTCTCTCGGACTCGCAACCGTAAGGTCGTGGGTTTGAATCCCGTTAGGGGCCCGACGTTGTGTCCTTGGGAAAGGCACTTTACACGAATTTTCCTCACTTCACCCAGGTGGGAATGGGTACCCGGCTATAGACAGCGAAAGATCTTGTCAATTTGTTAGTGTTTGAGCGCTTAATCAGCTGCTTGCACTGCATGCTTCCCGGGAAGCTGAGAATGTTTCGGAGTGTTCTGTGGTCTGCTGGGGTAAAAATATAGTGTAAAGCGCATAGAGCCTGCAGTTGAGTGGGGATATGCGCTATACAAATGCTATTTATTATTATTATTATTAGAAGGTGCAGATCACACTACAACGTCCATCAACTGTATACATTCAGACGAAAACAAGAGCTTCATACCTTCACTCCAGTAGTCATTTCATTTGAGATGACCTGAGGAGGGTCGGGCCCTTGAATGGAAGGAATAAAAGTCCAAAGTAATGACACTTCAGACAGGACTAGCATCACATGGAGGGGGTTTTCCACTTGCAGTTCTATGGTGATGGGTTCTGAAACGAGTGGAAAAATTCAAAGTTTTAAAAAATCAAGTAAATCAAACACACCCACCAAAAGCAGTCGACTATTCGTTCACAGTTTGTTACATTAATTCTCAAGTGCTTCAAAATTGATGCAATTAACATCATTTTCTGAATTTTTAAAGAGAAAAAGTGTTATGGAATTGGTTTACCACTTTGAAGGGTTGAGAGCTGAAGAATAGAAAAACACTTTACAAAGATGTCGTTAAAAATTAAAATCGAGACAGCACTGCAGTCTACTGACAGCACAAAAAATGTTGGCATTTAAGATAGAAACAGCTCCCTAATACCCAATTCGAAATAAGTTTGTGACTTAAAAATCAATAAATACTCACCTCCAACAAAAGCAACGGGACTAGACCGGTTGTCTGTATCATTGGTGAAGAGCTGCGGGTTGGGTTTGTGGGAGCGACCAGAAATCTGTGTCATTCTCTCCTCGAGGACGTCCCACTTTGCTGAATGCTCCTCATCTGAGAACCACATTCCTGTTGCCGACGTCTTTCTTCCATTGCCCTCTGAGGAAATAAAAGAATGTGGGTTTTTTCCCCCCTCCATCAACACAATTCTGATCATGTTAGGAGCAGGCTGCATGAGCTGGTCTGCTACAGGCAACTGAGTCGTGGGACTCCTAGCACAAACGTAGACCCACTGAACAAAATAGTTTTTTCCCTGAAGTTGCATCGCCAAAAGTCCATTTCAGGACATTTAACGATCTAGGTCAGCTTTGAAAAGACTGACAAAAAATGTTCATAAAAGGAACAGAAAGATTTTACCACTCCATATCATTAACATGAGAATAAAAAGGATACTACGTTATGAAGAAATGAAAAATTGCTTTTCTGGCATAATTTTCATTCACAGATTTATAAGAATAACCTTTTTCTTGACATGACTCATGATCCAACTCTTCAACATTCTCAACAAAGTCCCAGCTACTGAAGGAAGTGTCAACACTTCCATCAAAACAATCTCACCTTTAAAAAAAATCCCTTGACACATCAGCAGTTTTTTTATGGGTTTATGAGATAGCCAGGATATTAGAACTTTCTCTATTTATGTGTGGTATATAATTTCAATGATCCTTATTATATATAATCATCAACGTTTCAATTGTTTAAAGCTTTCATACAATTACAAAAACCTAGTTTCAGAAACTCAAGAAACACCCCATTTTGTATAAACTTGACAAGTCCACATCTTTGATCTAGCACGGACAAACCAAGTGAAAGTTAAGCGAATATACATATATTCTCACACAAAACAATATGTACACATGTATGGGCACAAGTGAACATTCATTCACCTTGTTTCTCGCGTGTTCCACTCAGGAGAACCTTTGTGGCATTGCTATTGACCAGGGGCAGAGGCAGTTCCGGCAGGTGGCCATATGAGCTACTGTCTCTCTCCTCCTGGCTCAGAAGTTGCTGTTGTGGAGTAAGTGAAAGATTACACACGAACCTCTACTACACAATGTGCATTGTTGTGGAGTAAGTGAAAGATTACACACGAACCTCCACCACACAAAGTGCATTGTTGTGGAGTAAGTGAAAGATTACACATGAACCTCCACCACACAATGTGCATTGTTGTGGAGTAAGTGAAAGATTCCACATGAACCTCCACCACACAATGTGCATTGTTGTGGAGTAAAAGAAAGATTCCACATGAACCTCCACCACACAATGTGCATTGTTGTGGAGTAAGTGAAAGATTACACATGAACCTCTACTACACAATGTGCATTGTTGTGGAGTAAGTGAAAGATTACACATGAACCTCTACAACACAATGTGCATTGTTGTGGAGTAAGTGAAAGATTACACATGAACCTCCACCACACAATGTGCATTGTCTTGACAGTCAAGACACTTATTTAGAGTTGCATTATACAGAGAAAGGGCATCAAGTTCGGCATTTTAAAAAGTGAAAAGAAAAAAAAAAGAACAATCCGCAAAGATGGAAGCAATTAAATTTAATCTTTTCCAAGTGAACAACTGCTGCAAATTAATTTTTTTTATTGATAAGAGAAACGAAACAAGTTTCAGTTCATAGAAGCACAAAAAACCCCCCCGTTTATTAGACACAGAGTGTAATCCACATGGTAGTGACATAGAACTTTGTATCTCAGCAACATCCTGTAAGAACCCTTTCATTTTACAACGCTGAACTTTCTATAATGAGCTTCCCTTCTTTCAGCAAATAGATATCTTCATAGTCACTTAACATATTACAAAAAGAGCTGAAAGTAAGTAATATTCAAGGGTCTTGGCCTTATTTACTCATTATCTATTAAAAACTTCTTAAGAATACCCCAAACTAAAACCACTCTACTTTCCCTCTGGAAACATTGATGAACTAGAATCCTTACCTTGTAGACAAAGAGGTACTCTCTGAGAAAAGCTGCTTGTTGGGAGGTGGGCTGCTTACTCTGTTCTGTTAACAGATGCTTGAAAGCTGCTGTGGCATTCTCCAGTTGCTTTAGGTTCACGGACTGACGACCAATCGTAAAATGGATGTGATCCTGGAAAATACGAAATACCACTTTTACTTTACTTTTCCGATCCAGCGACCATTTCAGTTCTAGCCCTTCGGTCTGTTGATAAGGCAAAGAATTTACAGGTTTTTATCAGCTGTGCTTTGTCGCTGTATAGAGTATTTCCGATGTCTGGGGAGGCAGGTAGGTAGGTGTTACGCAGGTCTCAAAGTGCAAGGCAGGTAAAGAGGTGGTGAGGTACTGTTTCATCCTGGCAGTCACATAACGAGCAGTCCGGAGGGGTATCCTTGCGGATCCTTTTTAGGTAGGAATTCAGTTGGATATATTGTGTTCAGAGGCGAAAAATCGTGACTTGTTCTCTTCTACTCAGGGAATTTGGTGCATCTTTTTAAAAAAATGAAATGAAAGCACCATTATTTCGTCTCTTTTTGCTGATGAAAAGGTATCTATTTGATAAATAGAAGAAGTATTCTACAGGTTTCTCTTCTTATGCAGAAGTGACTTATCAGGGAAAAGTTACACAGTACAATGAAAACAAGACTTTAAAATAATCCAAGAGAAGTGGAATTTTCTATCCATTACTCTACAAATGAAAAAACATTCCTACACAATTAAGTACAGAGACTAATTCTGTTAGTCAATACAAAAACAAAAACTTCACTTACCTCTGCAATTGACCAGTGCTTTGCCTTGTAAATTTGCAAAGCTTGGGAGTAACTTCGTAATGAATGTTTTCTCTGTAAGAATAAAAACAAAGAAAAGTACTGCTCAGCTTCCCATGACAAAAACAATTAAAGAAAACTTTGAACAGATACTAAAACACCAACAGTAAAACCTGTCGGCATGAACTATCTCATGCTTGGCTTACAAACAAAGGGGTTTACGGACTATGCAGAATGGAAACTGCTCAGTTTAATGCAAAACATTTATTCTTATACATTACAAAATAACATTTCAATGCCTCTTTTGCTCAAGCTTAACCAAATGTTGAGCTTAAACAATACACATAACCATCTGTTCAAACATTAAACTGTTTCACAACCATTATAAAGCTATGCCGTGTGTCTGGGAAATACAGCCCATTACTCCCTAAATATGTAAATACAAAAGGCTTTTGACAAAGAAAGCATGGTCTTTCGTATTCATTACCGGGGCCACTGAACCTCTTATGGTACCAAAAACGACACAGGTGAGAAAATGCATAATGACTTGATAATTGTCAACACAACTGATCTATATAAGTTGTAGTGCAACGCCTATAAATGATGCATTTGTAACTTTTCCTACTTGGGTCAACACAGAAAAAGACCCCATATGCCGTCGAAGCATCTTCAGCAACAGACCACTACCTATAAAGTACTTGCGACTATTTTACTGACCCTTAAAAGGATATTAGTTTTTATAATGTCAAGACCAACAACTTATGAAATATAAATAATATTTTCAAACAGAAGCACAGCGATATCAACTTTACCAAATATTTCGAGAACACCTGTCCAACTACGTAAGACAATGGGAAGAGTTTGAAAAGACCCCTCTAAGCGAACTTACCTGACCAGCCTTGCTGAAGCGATGCCCTGCCAGGATCATATGGAACGAATACTTGCGCACCATTGGGGTCTTCAGAGCGAGGAAACAATGAGCTGCTTGCTCAAGGAAGAGAGCACTGGTCAGATCAGAATCCTGAAGACAATTTTTTAAAACGGTCACCTTATTTCACCAATTCTTCAGATACCCCTGAACACTGAGCCACCTGGTCACTCCTGTCTTAGGCAAGGAAAGTTGACAGTTTTCAAGGACAAGAATCCAAAGAATAGCTCTTTTAGAAATCTTATCACTGATGAACGAAATCACTTGAACGAAATTAATTTTCATATCCAACTTCACCTGCCAAACAGCAGCATACTCACTAAAACTGTCTGTCAATTCCTTAATGGATGTTACACATCTTTTACATCACTTTATTCTCTTCCACATTGGGGGCATTTAAAATGGAGACTCAGGGCGGCTACAGCAAATAATTTTATGTAAAACATTATTTATGGCTTGCTCCCAATACAAAAACCTAAAAAGTATTTACGAGCAGAAAAAATGAAAATAAAGAAGCCTTTGAAGTTAGCATTCTCATATATCATCAGTTTTGCTGTTACTGCAGCATCTTATGTATAAACGAAGGATTTTTTAAATCAGTGAAAAGGAAATTACCTCACTAGTCATCTTCAAAAACTGCAGGGCTGCTTCACTGTACATGCCTATCTTCTTGAGGGCCTCTGTGCTTGTTAAGGTCGCCCGTGTAGCATACTGTGTATTTCTGATAAGAAAACAATGGTGTTTTATTTTAAGATGAGTGTTCTACAAAAGATGCTGTTGCCGTGGCGCCGTATCTTGTGGAACAAAAACATTTCACCAGAAACACATAAGAGTAACAGTAACGATGAAACCAATTAAAGTAAGAGTATTGGGGCACTTGCAACACAATAGAGTCATACGAGTGTCAAAGGTTAGAGAAATCAAGTTCATTCTCATAAGCAATCCTTAAATCAAGAAAACAAACACAAACAAATCCACTCACAAACTAAATAACTTCATTAGGAAATTTTTTTTTGTAAGCAAAACCCAACACCTCTGAGGCCACAGCAGAAGAAAAGAATGAATTTTTATCGACAGTGAGATTCTAAAGCTTCGACATCATTCAAAACCGAGCAAGATTAATCTATACAGCTCACGAACAGTCAATGCTGGTTTGAAAATGAGCAAAAATATTCAAAAGTAATTATTCCTTCACCTGCAAGAGGTAAGGTATGTTGATATGGCGGTCTCCATGTAGTGGCGTGGGTACTGCTTTTGATTGTGAGGACCCTGGAGGAAAACTCCCAGACTTGCCATTTCCTATCAAACAAAAGAATGGAAAAACATTAACATAAGAACATGATCACCGATTCATAGATGCCAACATCTCTGCCACATTACTTAAATCAAGGGCTTCATGAAATTAATTCATAATATCAACAACAAAAAATTCTACAATAGATGACCCAATCAAATTAGATCTAAAACTCTTTTGTCTAAGAGACAAATGGTCAACACCATGCAAGACAGAAGCATTGCATGGAATAAGGATAGGTACACGAATGCTTCTTCTTAACAGCAAAAATGAAAAGATTACATTCTCAACCCTACAAACATTCTCTTTGCCAGGCATAACAATGACACATTCTTGTCTCTGGCATATCACAAAGCTCAAGTCTAAATAACAAGAACAGAAGAAACAAACTAGTGTTCATTACCAGTGCTCCAGCAAAGTGCAGCCAGGCTTGATCATTGTTGAAATCTTTCTTAGCCGTGTGGTACGTGTTGTAGGAAAACTCATACATTTGAAACAAGAAAGCCAGGTCCGCCAATCTCCTCAACTGTAGCTCTGGAGCATCTTTAGTATACCTGTTTTCAGAACAAGAGGGATGTCTTGAATTTCTATGAAACCTTCTGTACACTCTTTCAATATGGTATTCCCAGCACAAGTAAATATGTCCATTAAAAAAAAAAAATCCTTTTAAAAAGTTTGGAAATATGAACAAGCAGGAATACTATTCAAAATGGTAAGGTACATTGCGCAAGATATAAGAAATTGAAGGGGGAAAACATTGGGTTTTTTAAATTTAAAAAAACAACCAAAAAACTTTTCCCATCCAAATCAGAGATTGCTTTCTCTGTGGGAATATTTTTCTAGTCTGTTCTTTGTGTGGCAACACCAGATAGCATAAATGCAAGTTGAAAAACCCTAAAGACAATATTGAGACTGTCTCTAAGGACACCGACTGTAACTGCTCTAGGAGGGCTCTATATAAGGCTTTCCTGAGGATGCTGTCCTGGGTTCATGGGTGCTGTGTTGCATGGACATGTCTCCGACTGGTCAATCCTTAGCTTCATAAACATATCTGCATTTAGTCCATTGCCACCAAATCTAAGCCTAAGAAGACCAATCTGTTCCCATCTTGAAGCTTGAAGTAGCTGTCAAGTTGGTATTTGTTGTGCTGGTGGTTGTTATTGCATAAAACTCAACTCAATAATTGCCTTCTCATCATAATAGGAGACAAACCTAAGATCACCAATACACATGGATTAATAATCCACTGCCAAGTAAAAATATTTCCAGCAAACATACTGATAGAGATGAAATACAAGGAAACCTAAAAGAAATTCAACTTTAGATAATAACTTGTGCTAAATATGAACCATATAAATTGCTTACACTACTGTGGTATTCTGTGAAGCAGGAATGGCTCCAGAAGGCTTATTGCCAAACCATTTTTTCGTAGCACTGAAGATTGATCTATGGATTCCTTTTCTGGAGGTTAGCTGCAAACAGAAGGCAAAGACAAATTTTAACAAAAAAGATAAATTTTATTCAATCAAAAAGCTTCAGATCCAAAAAAACATAGAACAAAACATTTGAATATCAAAGGCACATATTCTGAACAGCTCTACCCAGAAAAGCCATTGAACCATCTGTTGCACAGAAGTTCTCCCACAAATCAATAATTGTTCACAATTTTCACTGCACTCTGTTGGATATCTTTATCAAACAGCACAACAGGCTCAACAGTAATGACAGGAAAACAAATCAATACTAGCACACTGATGCACCACACCAGCTGCAGCAGCATCACTTTGACATGCAAGAAAACACATGAAACAGACAAATACTCTGAATGTCACCTATGACAAAAAATGCTTACTATAAAAAAATCCGTGCATAATTTACTCATTCAGTCCTAAAACTAGCTTTTTTTCTCTCTCTGGCAGGTTACTATAACCCTCAAATACCTGGTACATGAAAAAATGGACAGATAACACAACCATATCAAGTGATTCCTGAAAGAATGAAGAGTTATTCAATATCAAAAGGAATATGATTTATTTAAAATACGTCAGAGGTAGTACTTATGTATAGAAGGAAAAGTTTTCAAAAGTAAGAAAGATACAGGAGAGACTGAAAGTGAGACGTCCTGAGCCCACTGAAGGTGCCAGAACAGGTGTTGTGCATACCAAGAGAAAGCGGCAATGTTCACCTGTTCACTCAGCATCTTCATCTGCCGCTCAGCCCAAGGGATGAGGGCCCGGACCACAAACTCATGCATGAAGATCCTCAGACGGTCCAAGTCACTTGGGGTCAAACACATGCCGTGTGACTTGCTCACATTTTTATCGTGTGAGCGATGGTGGCCCACAGAAAAACTTCTGCTTTCACCTGGAAACAACATCATATTTTACTTGTTACAGCAACAAGACAAATAAGGCAAGGCATTATCAGTTATGATTATCAGAATCTTTATAACACACTTTCTTGACACTATTTCACAGGGTGCATTTTGAGTTAACGTTAAGCTTTTTGCACTCAGCAAAATGTAAAGTGACAACGGAAAACAAGTTGGGGATGAAGAACTGGAACTATGAGCAGGATAAGAGATGAGACAAAAGAAAAAAAAAGCAGAATAATTTAAAAAATTCAAATATCACAAGGACAGACAATAAAGCAGTTTAATGTTGAACTTGTCCCTTTATAATCTTGCAAAGATATAAAACAAACTGCACATTCCATAAAAGAAACAACAAAGTTAGAAATAAGCAAATCATCTACATGAGAGAATTTCGACCTGCAAGATGTAAAAAAAAACAAACCACGAGAGAGATATCTATAATATATTTGGCAACTTGGAAACACATGTTAGACCTGCATGTGAGCCTCAACCAGATTGTCTGAAAATTTTGCGCAACCCCCCCCCCCCCCCCCCAAAAAAAAGCCTTTGTGGCTGTCATAAAGAAGAACATCCGAGTAACGAGCGACCATCCCAACAAACACAATAAAGAAGAGACCTAACCGTAACCCTACCCCCAAAAAGAACCTGCAACGGGCATCATGTAAAAAGGCCAAAACAAGTCCTAAATGAAAAAAAAAATTTTAATTAAAAAACCACACTCCAAAACAAACAAGGAGCATATAGATCTAGATTCTAGATCTATATATGGCTTACATCTACATTGCTATAGGGTTTGATACAATAACACAATAGAATTGGAATATATAATATGAATCCTTCATATATATCTAGATCTAGATCTTGTAGAACAAGTGAATAGGAATAGGCCTTGAACTAGAAATCCACATCCGATTCCGAACAGAGGGACTCAGCTGAGTCTAGATTCTAGATCTAGATCTAGATCTAGATTCTAGATCTAGATCTAGATCTAGATTCTAGATCTTTACTAAATAAATAAAAACAATTCACGCACCTGATGAAATGCTTATTTTCACCAATATAAAAATTACAGCACAACCTATGATAGGGTTTGACACAATAGAATTGGAATATGAATCCTCCATTGAGGTCTATAATGATCTATATAAATCTAGATCTAGATTCTATTAGAACAAGAGAGTCGGACTTGAATGAATCCACACGATCTGAACAATTGAATTAGTCAACAAACGAAATTCAAAATGGCCGCTTGAGCACGAAACTGAAAGTAGATAATTTAAGTTGTCGTCCTTTTTCGTATTCGCATTTCTACTTAGGTTCCGACAATTATGTCGGAAACGTCGGCGGTGCGCGCGTCGGCGGTCGGCACGAAAACGAAAGTGCCGACGAAGCCGACGGGAGAAAAATGGGTCATTGGCAGTCGGCCAAGCCTCGCACTACGCACATTGACTGATACAGGCGGGCCTAGCGATAGCATCGGCCGGTTCGCGATTGTCGGATTTCAGACGATTGTCGGCAAACATGCAGGTCTAACATGTGTCACTTTTCCCATAATACTACGACAGCTACAGATTTGAAAGGTGGCAAGTACCTGCAAAAAGATAGATAGGTCCCTATGATGGAGCCCAATGTTTTATTTATTCATTTCCTGAATTTAGAAAAATATATTTGATAAAAAATTCTCTTCCTTCTTTGGCCTTTATGATTATTCCACTGAGAAACGAAACAAATCTGCCTAGCTGTCCTTCACAGCAGAAGTGCCTGCAGTGATATTTCGCTAAGCACATTCAGTTTTGAGAGTATAGATCTAGACCTTCTAATTTTTTGCATCTCTGAAGATTAATTGCTCCATCCCAGTAGAGTGTAAATATAGTAAGCCAATGACTTCCAGTTGATATTAATGCACTGATCATTCCTTTCATCGAAAAGGTGCCCAGCTAGTTTAATACTAAATTAGCATTCAGAATCACGAAAATAGACCAAAAAATTACAGACTTCACCTTTGGATGTGACAACATTCTTTAACCCTTTGAGCCTTCCTCATGCTGAACCTTCAAAACTGAGCACCCGAGCTCCGAGCCAGACATACACCTCTGTACGCTGAGGTGTGTGCACTCAACGCACAGAAGGGAAAGGACTGTCATGTTCGGGCATGCCCTCATGTTCCAGTCTTCCTTATCCCTGCAAGCCCGACAGGCCATCAAGTATCGTCTTCCCTTTCTATATTCCTGCAACTTTTTCCTTACAACATGACACACCTGCACCGGTTGCTGCACTTGAACATTAAAAATATGCGATGAAAAAACACACTGCTCGTTGTTCTTTTAGGCAATAAATATGTACCCACATTTGACTTGCAAAACCCACCTTGATAACCTCCAGCCGCAGCTGTTGGGTCACTGTCCGGGGAGGGGGTGTCCCGGCTTGGCGGCGTGGTTGGTGAAGCCAGAGGGTGGCTGAATTGATCACAGGAGGAGGAAGTAGTGATCCCTGAGGAACCTAAAGAAAGCAAACACAAAGACAGGAACACTTTTATTACAATCAATCACGTAGGAATGCCTCAGGAACTCTCATGTCCTCCCCACCTTACAAATTTGGAGAAAAAAATTATGCCCCCCCCCCCCCCTCCAAATGAACAAAACCAACGAACAGGCAACGGCAAAAAAATTTAAAATATCCATGACAACTTATCTGACTACGTTAGCACAAGTAAATACCAAAAAAATGATCAGTTCAGCACACTGGCTCCAATGATGGATAAACTTTCTATCCGTTTCAAAGAAGAGTGAGGTGGCACCTTTTTCACGAATTGCATATTTATTTGATCAATTAAAATCTACGATAGCGAAAAGCCCATAGGCGTTTGCATGAAAGAAAAACTGTGAAACAGCATCATCCGTTAAACCTACAATCCAGCACAACCTTCAACAAACAGGTCATGGCCAGACCCTGTCTGTAGGAAAAACAGAAAATATGGATGACTCACCGGACTCTTCAATGTTGTTCTCGTAAAACGAGTCTGTGAGAGGGTTGCTGGGAGACTGTTCATGGTTACTCTCAGAAAGCTGTGACGGAAAGCTTGGGGAACCTTCCATGGAGACGTGGTCACTGTCAATGCTCTCCTAATGAGTACAAACAAAAATAAAAATTAAGCCATACCCTACGCTAACAAAAACAATAACTTGTCTCATGGCCACAAGTAGAACACATCAAATGGAACCTCCATACACCATACAGAATACATCTTTTTTGTGAAGTATTTCATGAGAAGCTTTCTAAACATGTAAATCAAAGATAGCTAATTACACCTCAAAACATGAAGTGTTAAAAGTTGAAAATGATGAAACAATTTCACTGTAGAACAAGAGTTTGTACCAGTCACTTACAGAGCTGACCAAGGAAGGTGATGGCTTGTTCAGAAACTGACTCCATGGGTCTGGCTGCATTGAGAGTCCAGTCTTCAGGGATTCCATTGTATTGACAGAGCGAGAGTTGATCTGCAGCAAGTGACAGATCTGCACACCAAATGTGGCCTTCATGCTCTGGTACAATGCCTCAGCTCTGTAAATCATTTGAATCAAGATCAGGGTATGCAAGGCCCAAGTATACACAGAAAACACACCCACCTTCTTTATTGGTTTCAGTTTTTTTAAAATAAAAAAATTATTAAAAGCACGTTAAACCAACGTGAGAGATTTTAAGCAAGAGAAAAGCAGGATGACTAAAAATCTAACAGCTCTCTAATTTATATCAACTAAGTTTTTACATACCAATCACAGAAATTGAGAATACTCTCTGGCCACATAGGAATGAACAAAAGTAAGTCTCTTAAAATGGTGTGGATCTAAACAGGACAAGAAGAGAAAATAACAGTTTAAAAAAAGGGTAAGACTAGAAAAAAAAACTGTTTACCTTCAATTCTTCACCATCAGAACTCTCATTTTCCTTGGATAAAAACAACCCTTTTAACAACAAGGACAATACCAGACATTTCCCCACAAGAGACTATCTTGTCTGTTCTTTTTAGTTTTAGTGAGAGTTTTATGGCACTTATAATAACACAATTTGGTAATTTTAGTGCTGAAGATTAGAAGTGTTACAAGAGAGTAACATACACAAAAAAGTAGGGGTTTTATGGCGCTCGCAACTGCATAAGGTCATATGAGCGCCAGAAGATTAGAAGTGTTAAATGACAGTAACAAACATAAAAAAGAAGGAGGAGAGATACGGACGATGGATGTTTGATGGGAAAGAAGAAGCTGACCACACCAGAGCACCTGCCAACCACCCGCAAAAAAGGAGGAGAGGTAAGGACGATAGATATTTGGTAGGAAAGAAGGTGCAAACCACACTAAAGCAGTCGTCAACCACCCACAAAAAAAGGAGGAGAGGTAAGGATGATAGATATATTTGGTAGGAAAGAAGCAAACCACACTAAAGCAGCTGTCAACCACCCACCTGGTCTGTTCCCCATCCAGCACATCATGAAGCAAGACATAGTAGTGCAGCACTCCCTGGCAGAACCAGCGGGGCAGTCGGTTCGGGAACTGCTGCTGCTGGGTTACCTGCTGATTGGCCAGGGCTGTGAAGGTACTCAGGGGGTCACTGTTGTTGGAAGCCACCACAAAAATGCCTTCAATGCAGTTAAGGCCACACACGGGTTTTTGGACTCCAGACAATGTTTTTGGGAGTTTTAAGAAACTTCCCATGAAAATAATGTGCTAAAAGAATGGAAGTACTCCCAAAGCTCTATTTCAAAGAGATAGCTCCATAAAGTTTGTAACAATGTGTGTCAATACAATGCTATAAAGCAATTTTCAGATGTATTTGCTCCTTTCCTCAAAATGTTCATTTCTTGGCTTTAAAAGCTAAAAACTCAAAACAACATTCAAGATAAAAACATTAAATTTGGAGGGTAAGTGCACCATACAATTCCAAATAAAATGACACTATCTTTTTTTTATTTAAAAAAATCCAATTTTTTAATGATTTTTTTTCTCTGCTATTTTGACTCATTTTGTCATTCGCTATGCAAATCTTCTAAAAGTCATAAAATGATTAATATTTACAATTTCAAGAAAAACTGGCATCATTTTCTTAACACTATGTCATCACAAGGCTCATATAGTAAAAACCCCTGCCATCAAAGGCAAAGGCAATTTGGGGGAAATCCAAAGAAACTGGTTGGTAAACATCGCCGATCGGCTAGATGTGACGGCAAAGGGTTAAGATTTGTGTGCAGATTACAAATATGTAATTAGTTCATAGATACCAGGAATGGTTTTTTAGTTTTTAGCTTTTAAAAATGGTCCTTCAGTTGGCTCGATTTCACTCTAATTTGCAATTTCTGTGATTATGTAAATAATAATCATTTCCAAAACTGAATATTTTTAAACCTTGCATGGAATACTTTGAGAAAATAAGAAAAAAAAAAGTAAAAATCACCTAATTGTAGATTTTGGTGCTAAAAAGTAGAGAGTGTGGCCTTAAGCGGGTCTACAAAAGTGGGGAACATAGCACTCATCTTATTCACATTCCGCACAAATAAAAGAAGGTTTACAAACAAATAAACTCGCAAAAGTCCAGGCGTATCTTATGGTGAAACAGCACTATGATGTCTACACTTTCATACTAGGAACAGACGAACTACAGAAACACCGAAAGGAAAGGTTAAAGTCTGATTTCCTACAAGAAAAATTTCAGTGATTAAATAACATTGTAACTTTTATATTTCACATTCCTTAAAAAAACAAAAACAGCACGGCCTTGGGGGCTCAGTACCATGATCCTTTATATCCCATAGCTAAAAAAAATTATAACATAAAAACATTTCGAAAAAACTTACTAAAATTTTTTTGGGATATTTCTCGTTAAGTCAAAAAGGAAAAAAGTATCAAGAAAAGAACATTTAAACTTCATTCATTTATCCAAAAAATCAGCATCAAGAAAAGAAAATTTAAACTTCATTCACTTATCTAAAAAATCAGCATCAACAAGTTAAGAGGTGGCAAGGATACAAGCCAAACAGTGGTTGAGGTACTCGTGATCAGAAGGGGGCAAAACTTGCAAGAAAGCTTCCCGCCAGCTCTCAAACCATGGTGTGGCAGCTGAAAACATATGGAAAAATATAAAACTGGGCATCAAAACAAGTGTGAGAAGAAACCTTGGAATTATGAGAGAATATCCATTCTTAGAAATACTAATTACCATATGCACATTGAAGTCATGGCCATAACTCCCCCCCCCCCAAAAAAAAAAAAGAATAACTGAAGTACTTTCAATTGTAGTAGATTTACCTCTATAAATAAAAGGACTTAAACAAGCCAAAAACTACTCACAAGACTGTTTCCTTTTCCAAGCATGCATGTGTTTGTGGATATAATAAGTTCTAAATCATACCTTAGTTTGACATATCGCGACCTCAGTGCTTTCTTGTCCTATCCCCATTTTTTTTTTACCAGTGAAAACATTTCATACAAAAAGTGAGCTTGTAAGAAGAAGTCACATTTTCAATGTAAAAAAAAAAAAAAAGGAGATACGACAAGAAAGCACTGAGGTCATAATATGTAAAACCAGTATCCACTTTTTGTATACCATCTATCAAGCCTGATAACAAAATTTTTTGCTAAATTTATTTAGACTCTCTACATAAATATATATATATATATATATTTGTACAAACAAAGGGAATAAATACTGCCTGTGGACACTGAGGCAGAAAAATTACAAAATGAAGTGCAACTTATGAAAATAAGCGATAACATTATTGCACTTTACAGAAAGAAACAGTAGTTCTAAAATAAACTTACGACTGAGCTGCAGGTCATAGTTTCCAATGGACATCATGTTATTGGCACCGGGCTCTTGGGACTGTCCTTGGGTAGAGGCCACAGCATCACTGAGTTGCTTCTTGATGACACCCTGCTGGGGAAGCTGAGTGCCCATATCACACGCACTGATGCGTAGATTGTGTATTGAATGGGTAACATTGTTGGCATCCCGAATGTGCACTGAGGGAAAGACATATATATACAGTGTTAGAAAACCTGTTGACTTTAATTCTTTTGAACTTAAACCTACTTAAAACTATGACTCCAGCGCATTTGTTTCTAAAAATAACCCAAACTCAAGAGAATCAATTTTTGTCAGTTTCTGAGATGCGCTGCCCTGATTTCAATCTCAATAGCACAAGAAACGTCTTTTCTGTATTGGCAGCTTGAGAGTTCAGCTGAAAAAAAAAATAGACCAAAAGAAAGAATCTAAATCTGTATTCAGACTCCTTGTATTCAGTGGGTGGCCATGTTCTTCAGACAATAACAAATTGTTACTTAGGTCTAAAAAGCACTGGATGGTCAAATGATTCAAAGTAAAATTTCTTTAGGTAGACTTCTTCTTTTATGTTCAGTTCAGTACTACTACTGTCAGCCCCACACTCAACGTTAACTGGAAGAATGAAATGAAACACATGATGAAGCTACAGCACTACTCTGTCAGCCCCACACTCAACGTTAACTGGAAGAATGAAATGAAACACATGATGAAGCTACAGTGAGCACCTAGCACACTTCAGTGATCGGCCCAAATACAGATGAGGTAATTCTGCCACCTATTTTTAGCATCTTCCGGGGCTTCCCTCGCCGGTTGACTAGATCTCACTGTGGCGGGCCCGCTTTGCCACTTAGCGTCACTAGGTTTCATCGCTGACAGCTTGGGTTGTGTGTGCGCGCGCGCTTGAGTGTGTGCAACTTTGAGACAACAAAAATTGAAGGCTGAAATACCCCATATTTCATTATTTGGGACAATCACAGAGATGGGCTAGATCTAGGTGCTCGCTGTAGCTTCATACTTACTACGGAGTGTCTACGTACACGGTAACCGGGCACCTAGCCTCAGTGTCTATGTGCACGGTGACCGGGCACCTAGCCTCAGTGTCTACGTACACGGTGACCGGGCACCTAGCCTCAGTGTCTACGTACACGTACGGTAACCGGGCACCTAGCCTGAGTGTCTACGTACACGGTAACTGGCAACCGGGCACGTAGTCTCAGTATCATGTACACGGTAACCGGCACTGTAGTCTCAGTGTCACGTACACAGTAACTGCGCAGTTCAGAACTCCAAAATTCAGTTTTTGTCATCCGGAGTTTCCTTCATCCCCACCCCTCCCCCGACTGTACCTTTAAAAAAAATCAATAATCCCCCCCCCTCCATTCCGGAGCCCTACACTTCGCAGCGCACAGGCTTTGAATGAACTTTGGTGACCCCCAACCGGTACTCACAATGTGATGCGCACGAACAGGTTCACTGACCGGTCACAATGGCGAGCTCGGCTAGACGCTTACCTTGTATGAATTTTTTTTTTCAACAAGTGACAGTACAGGACAAAATATAATATTGATTTATTTTCATTCCGGTTTACCGTGTATGTAGAGATACTGAGACTAGGTGCCCGGTTAACGTGTATGTAGATACTGAGACTAGGTGAGACTAGCTGCCCGGTTACCGTACGTAGATATTGAGACTAGGTGCCCGTTTACCGTACGTAGACACTCCGTACTTATTAAATGAAACAGAAAAGACCCCACATTCCAACTGCACCAACTTCTCAAAAGATTTGTCAAATTTAGTTAAAGTTAGGGTTCTAGTCTACCCCTACTGAATAGGACTACACGGTAAGATTGAAGAATACCGGACCAGCGGACTGACTTTGCCTATGTCTCAACCTTAGGAATTCATAATTTTCCCGTTTTTAATATCTCTCAATGGAGAATCTCGGACTGGTAGATCTATTAATTAAAATTTTGTCAGGGGGGAGACCCCCCTGAACCCCCCTCCTCCACCCCAACCACCCGCTCCACCTACCCCAGTGGGGTCCCCACTTTCTTGCACAATAATGTACGAGTGGTCCGGTATTCTTCAATCTTCCCGGACTACACTAATAGCGAGAAATTGGTTGATCAGTTCTAAGAGTCCTTCTGTCTTTTTAGGCTACCTCTACTTGACTTAGACTAGAGACCCTTAGTCTAGGGCTTAGTCTTGTTTTGGGGGGAGGGGGCAAAAGAAAGATAAAGAGCTCTCTCTCTGCCCTGAATTATGGACAAGGGGTTGAACCCATGTATGACCCCAATGCCGTCCTGTGATTTCACTAATAGATGACAAATCAGTACCTCAGTATTATATTAGCACTTTCCTGTGACACGCAGGACAATTACCTTCTGATGAAAGTCTGCAGAACGGCTGAATCAGCTGCACAAAACTGAGGTTATTCTTCTCACATAACAATTGGGCATCATTGCTGCAGAGAACGGCAATATGCGGGCTGAAAGTGTTCTGGATGAATTCACTGGCACTCTGTTTGCACTGCGACATGGTTATCATCTATATTTTCCTCAAGTATGAAATGATAGCGCTTTTATGTTACACATCAACATTTTTGTTGATGATCTGTAGCTTTCCTAAGAATACTGTCATGCGCCATTTTACTGACTCCGCCACTTCCGGAATATTACACGAAGGGAGATAATATAAATACAGAGGTCAGCAACTTTGACCTGTGACCTTGTAGATGCCCGTCCTGCCTTGGCAAGGCTAAACTACTAAACTTGGCCTAATAAATAGTCAGTCGAGTCAACCAGTTTTGCTTTGGCGGAGTAGAGAGCTTGATTACATCTTCTCTTACGCGAAGGCTGTGCAATAAATTGCATCGCAATTATTTATTATTGTACCCAGAAGATAAAAAGGCCAAATACTGATTCTTTCTGCTGTTCTTCTTTTGTGGATCAGGGGTAATACGAAAACGGCATAATGTTTCGTCTCAGAGCACCAACAACGATGCTGTGTAAGAGCAAGGTTGTGGAGAAAGCTTTGAGTCGTGGCAAGGTCTTGACTATTGACAACATGAACCCTCATGTGAAAAATATTGAATACGCAGTAAGGGGACCGATTGTCATTAGAGCCGGAGAGATTGAAAAAGAACTCAATGCGGTGAGTAACGTATTTCGTAGGCCGAAGCTTTCTTGAGGGGCGTGTAATGTTTGTGTTCAGTGGGCAGAGATTATGAGGTGTGTAAACAAAAACTCCTTCCTTCTTAGTTCTGAAGTTTGACCACTTACTCGTCGTACCTATCCCTGTCGCATGTGCTAAGATGAAGTGTACCTTAATTAAACAAAGCAACTTTACCTTCTCTGAATGTAGTGTAAGGATCCGAAGTGCTTTTTACTGGACTTTTTTTTCACTATCCAGGACAACAGAGGGTCTAGCAGAATCTGCGAGATGTGAAATCTTTTCATAATCTATCATCTTGAATTTCACCACATGTACATAGATCTATATTTCAGGCTCCAGTGTCAAGGAAAGTAAAGAAAGTTGGACAAGTTGGTCAAAATATTACTTGAATTATACGAGTACGAGTGACATACCAGCAAAAGTTTTTTTACCTGACCATGAAGGAATAAAAGGTAGAAAGCTAAAAATTGGTACTAGCCTATCTTTCTCTGTGTAGTCGCCTCCCACAGTTAGGCCTCTATACATTTTTGCCATTGTTGTGTGACCTTGTACAGACATTGAGAATAGAAGACCCTCTCTTTGTCAGAAAACCAGCCTTCTACTGCTTCTTTGACCTGACATCGTCATGTTTAAAATGACTTCCTTTTAAATCCTTTTTCAGTTTGGGGAATAAAAAAAGTCGGACGGGGTTAAATCAGGAGAATAGGGCGGATGTGTCAAAATTTCATAGCCACTTTCTCGTGCAGTTTCTGCAGCTTTTCTTGAAGTGTGTGCTGTTGCATTGTCTTGAAGCAGCAAAATGCCTTTTGTCAGATCTTTTTTCTGCGTCTTTCTTTTGTATCCTCTCGTAATTTTTTTAGCTGGTTAGAATAATGGTCTCCAGTGATCGCATATCCATTTTCAAGATAGCCTGTTATAATCACTCCTTCTTGGTCCCCAAAAGCTGATAGCATCACTTTTCCACTTAATTGATAGCTGCACCTTTGCCTTCTTTGGTGATGGAGACGAGGGCAAGCTGTTTCCACTGCATTAATGCAGAGATTTTGACTCGTGATCGTAGTGGTGGGCCCATGTCTCATCCATAGTTACAAGTCTTTCAAAAAATTAGTTTCATCCTTATCATACAGACCAAGCAATTCTTGACAACAATCCACCTGTTGCATTTTTTTTAGGAGGAGTCAACAAATGTGGGACCCATCACGCAGAAACCTTGGTCATATCAAATGTTCATTTAAGATTCTTTCAACTGACCCAATGCTAAGCCAAGTTTCTTTGCTCAAACGTTTAACTGTCACTGGCCTTCTATCAGACAACACTGTAAGTTTCTTGATTTTCAACCCTATTCTGTTCTGTTGTTGGCACTGTCACAGGGAAACCATCACGGTGGTCCTCTTCAATGTCCATGAATTCGCTTAAAAACTTTTTACGCCAGGATTTTATCCCAGCATAAGATGGGCAATCTGTTCCATATATACGGCATGCATCTCTGTAATAATATCCTATAGTTGCTTCCCTTACAAGAACAAAAACTTCATTACTGCCCAGTGCTCATTTTTCTCCATTTTTATGTTGAAACTGGAGAACATTATACCCCCATTCACTTACAGTGCGCTGGTGTTGAAACCGGTCATCGGAAATTCCCCCAAATGTACATCCATTCTAGGAAGATGATTGTTGGCTTTTATTCCAAATTTCAGCTTTCTACCTTTATTCCTTCATGGTCAGGTAGAAAAACTTTTGGTATGCCTCCTCCACGTTAACATGCCTGTTGGGTTAATCGTCACTTACATGTGGTTGATTTTACTGCTTGTTTGATTGATTCAAATATGATCATTTGATAGTTTTATAAAAGCCTTTTCCGTATTGTTCGTTATGAGATGTTCCAGCATCGCTCGCGTCCCACACCATGACTGCGTGCGGGGCGAGCCAGTCATGCGGTGCAGTCAGCATCACTCCCCAACCTCCCTTCCCAGACACCCCCCCCCCCTCTTCCAGTCTCTCATGGTGAGACAAGGACTACGTTTTGGCTGTAACAATAACAAAGAAACACCTACCTGCTGTCGGGAAGGCTGTAAATCTGGGTGTTTAGTTGAGAATGCGAAGTCGATTTGTTCGAGATTCAATTGTTGCATGTTAGGGAACCCCATGAAGTCAATACAAAGAAAATATAGGGACTGAAACGGGACCGAGCATAATGTTCGAGATACCCAAGAATTCATGATTTTTTGTTTTCGATATTTGTGGATTTTACTATATTGTGTTTTCTGCAGCAAAAAATACAGCTCAGTTTAGCCCCCAAAAGCAGTGCATCTGCATGTGGGTGCGAAATTAGAATTTTACCGCCTTTTCCTCTGGATCAGCACTGTTCTCAATTTTTTTCCCATTTTTTAAATGACAGATGATAAAGTAGCGTTCAGAGGATTCCCCGACCAAAAAGCCTTTTCTGCTTCTTTTGCTCCGCCAATATCCATGCGATCTGAACTGGATGTTAAGTTTAAATTTGATTGTAATTCCTAGTAATAAATGATAGTCAGGGTAAATATAATGTTCTCCTCTCAACACCCTTACGTCTTTAAAGAGTTCCTCGAGATCTTACCTACCTTGTGTGGTTGTCTGTATTAACTGGTGAAATCCTGGAATGCTATGCCTCTAATGAACTGGTTGTTAAAGGCATATAGGCCATGTGGTCAGAAGTAATTTGTTGAAATTCAAATGTTGAAAAAAGCACCAAAAGTGCATAATGTAGGTACAACTGCATTTTTTTTCTTTCTCCTGTAAAATTTTGCTTTCTGGGCTTTGTACATTTTAACAGCTTCCCTACATTATAGGCATTATAGGATTGGTCCCAAACAGACACCTTTTGACACTTTAACACTTTGCTGCTCCTTTCGCCGTCGGTCGGCGATGTTTACACCTAGTTTCTTTGGATTTTCCCCAAAAAACCTTTGCCTTTGATGGCAAGAGTTTTTACTTTATATGAGCCTTGTTATGGCAAAGTGTTAAGCTCACCAAAGTCAGCACTTTTTGTTGGTGATGTGACTCCATTTTTATGAACACGGACTAAGTTCAATGTCATATATGTGAATTGCAATATGGTAGAACCCTGATGGTTAACCTTGATTTCTTGAATAGGATTGAAATGTCTAGGTGTTGATACTGTAATTTAGTCGAGCAAGGTAAGAATAGAAACTTTTCCTTTTGCTGGTTTGGCGCAAACAACTATTTTTTTAACTCTCAAAAGTCAGAGCAGTCAATATGTTGTGGAGCTGCCTATATGTGCAGACTGAAATAAGGAAATTCCATTACTGTTTGATTTTTTAAATGAGATTTCAACTAAAAAATAGCAACTTTTTCAGGGACTAATGATGGAAGTGAAAATCTGATAATTTTTAGCTCATCAGGCGAGAGTAACTACCTTTTCAAATTAAGCTGTTACAACTGTGTGCTAAGAACTGGAAAAGACTGTTCCTGAATTGACTGAATCATTAAGGATGTTGGTGATGATTTCAATGAAACTTTCAAGGAAGGAGACTTGCAAAGGTGTTGGGATGGGTTAATGAAACTTTCAAGGCGTTGGGATGGGTTAATAGTGGCACGACTTCGTTGCAGATGACCATTTGACATAGTTAGCTGTGACCCTTGTAGACTGTGTGAGGGCAACTGTGGTTTACTGGTGTTATATAAAAAAGGCCCTGATTTTATGGTCTAACATGTAAGTTCTTCAAATTGTCATGTTTGTATAATTGATTATTCACTGTCTGTAAAAATTGCTGAGGTGGCAATTAAGTTGTCTTGATTATTTCATCAGGAGGTTATTCCGACACTAGTACACTCTTCAAACAAAAGCTAACAACCATCCGTATAAAATTTGACAGCCCCTAGCACTGAAAATCCTCCCCCACCCCACCACTGCACACAGACTGAGAATAGGTAAAATGTAAAATTTCCAGATGGATTTTTTTGTGATGGTAGTTTATCAGTAGATGTAAAAACAAAGTTTTTTAGAGCCTGAATTTTAAGACCTTTTGGGGGGGGGGGGGGATTAAGTAGCCAGGATATTGTTTTTTGGTTGTTGTTGTTGTTGTTGTTTTGTATTTTGGTAAGTGTTTTACGGTGCTTGCAATTGCCTAAGGTCATATGAGCTAGCGGGGGACACATCAAACATTTTCAGTTGGTAGGAAATTTTGAATTTTGCCCCGGTGGCGGCCGAACCCTTTTCTTATCGACTTTGGACCATCAGGGGATCTTTAACGTGCGCAACTTGCACACGTGACCTCCTGAGTTTTTTTGCCCTTGTTTGAGAAGGCTAGGTGTAGATCTTACCTACCAGAAGATCAGGGGTGTGGCTGAAAGACAGCAGTAAGAAGGAGCCAAGGAGAAGCAGTAGAAAGGCTGCAGAAAGAGATAAGAGGGTATTGTTGGAAACGAAGGAAAATGATGATGGCAGTTTGATTGTTTGTCTTAAAAAATGTTTTTAATTCTAGCAGAGAAATAATGTTAAGGACGCTTTTTAGTAGATTCAGAAATATTGAAACACTGGATGGTTTATTAATTCTAAGTTGTCACCGTGTAAAAGCCCCTTTGGTGATGGAATGCTGTCAAATTGTGTAGCGTCCAAATAATGCTGTTTGTTTTTTTCCCACTTATATTATCAGGGCGAAAAGAAAAATTTTACCGATGTCATCAGAGCAAATATTGGAGACTGCCATGCCACTGGACAAGAGCCACTCACATTCTTAAGACAGGTGAACAGATTTTTTTTCCACCTATTTACATTATAGGTCTACACCATATTTTTCTTGGCTTGTCTAAATAGTCAAACAGAAATATAAAGTCTTTCCTTCAGACTCCATTTGGCATGTTAGTTTTTTGGGTGTCAGCTATCCGTGGCGGACAGAATTATTTCTGTTTATACTGTGTGATGGTCGTCAAATCATATTTTCTAATGATGTGAATTTTGTTTCTGTAGCACTTTGCAGTGAGTTGCAACCAATTAGTGAATTGTGTTCCTAGGTAAAAATGGTTCAAATGCAATTGATTACACATTCAAGAGCCTTAGACCAGACAGTCACTGAACACACAAATGAACTTTGTCGAGTGTGTGGGCGTTTAAATTTAACTGTCAAACGAAAAAAAAAGGTTACAGAAAGCTCCAATTTTGTAAGACAATGGAGATATTGTCTTGATTTATGGGACTGATGTGAGGGACGAAGATAAACAGTCGTATTCCGCTAACATTTGTGTCAAGTGTTTTACAGCGATTTCAACGATCAGAAGTAGACAGAGTGTTACGTCAATACAAGCTGAAAAAAAAAGCTGTTGAAGCTAGTAGTAATATACATGGTGTGCCTTTAACAATAACATCAATGTGAATTCCTGCTCCGTTTGTCGGCATCACTTGAGTCTTGTTGGTGGCTGCATACAAAGAAAACCTGCACCTCCAGAGCTGAGCTGCTCACATCATACACATCACACACATTCTATAGTCCAGTTATAAAGGATGACACATCAACAAGTCTTATTGCCAGCCCGACACCAAGTAGCATTTTGAAGAAACAAGTCTTGACCTATTAGCACATCCTGTCACCTAATCAACACTTATGAAAATTTCAAGGTCGTATACACTCACACAACAGATACATCAAAATCTCTGATGTCCAAACATGAACTTACATTCACTCGCTCACTAAACAGGCCAGAAGATCAACCTCTAACGAAAGAAGAGGCGAAACTAAACTACTCACATATTGAATCAAAATAAAGTTGTAAAGCTGACAGCAAAGGGAGAGCCATTAATGGAAAATACTTGCGCCACAGATAGAGACATTATGACATCTAAAGTCAGGACACCAACAAAACGCAAACAAGTACACATTTTATAAGACACCAGAGAACACATAGTGGGCACATACAAACAATCAGATGACATACAAATGGCCTCAGAATTGAAGAGAATACCCTCTATTTGGAGACATGCAATTTTTTAGAGGCGCTGGGATTAAACAGAAATCGGTGCCGTATATTGATAGGAGAATACAGATTCAATTGGAACATACAAAAAGCCATGTTCCCTGTACCGCTGCAGACAAAATTTTGAGTGAGTCAATTTTCTAACTCATTTTCCTGTCTTATGTACCGGTTTTGTAAATATTTATCAGCAAGTTAATAAGTTATTAGCCACTGAAGTAGGTGTTTGTTGTTTCGACCTACTCTGAATAGACGTACATTTTAAGAGCATCTATTTCCAGAACGAGAGCAGCAACGATATTGATTCTTTGTACCAACAAAAAGAAGTCTAGTTTCTTTCTGTAAAGAACAAACTTGTGTGTACATACGATATTATTTGTTTGTGTAAACCAATAAAACATGGGTCGTAAACTCTTTATAACATTTGCCTTCGCTGGTAGCGTGAGGTGGGGTGTGTGACCCGGTCACTCCATTGCCGAGCCAACTAAAAGAATGGTGTTTGTACGCCATGTTGTGTAGCTCAGAAACGACTACCATAATTTTGGAGCAGGTGTTACATTTGTATATCTCTGTTATCAGGTAGTTGGGATTTGTGCCTACCCCAAGCTGTTTGAGGACCCCAGTCTCCCTGAAGATGCCAAACAGAGAGCTGACAGGATTCTGAACTCTTGTGGGGGAAGGAGCCTGGGTAAACTCTGAACACAATGTTTTGCTTCAACGACATTCCTTCACTGTTCAAATAAACTCAGTTATGCCTTATGAGAAATAGTGTTGGTTATGCAGAAATAGCTTCTCTGCCACTAGAATTTGTAATGAAAAGTATATTGCAATATATGAAGTGCCTTTAATCAGACCTACCCAACTTTCATTGAATGAAAATTAATACTGCTACATTATTATCTCACTATTGACCATTAAACATGAACACCTAAAAATTTGTTTAACCCTATCCGTACGCCCTGGGGTCATTTTGTACCCCCGGGGTTGTATTCTTCACATTTTAGAATACTTCTAGTACGAAGATCTCTTTGAAGCTTTCAGTATTTCTAAAAAATTAATCATTTTGACAGACTGCTATGCAAAGCGTACCGATCGGATTAACGAGTAAATTTCCTGTTTGGAAAGTGGTGGCACAGAATTCCCCACGTCGTATGGATACGATAATAAAACACGATGTACGGATAGTGTTAAAGAACACCTGTTCTCATGTATCCTCTCTTGTAGGACTGATGTGCCTTATGAATAATGGATTAGATTGTTTAATGTCCATTCCTTGTGAACAATTAGCTGGTGTAGACTCTACTGTTTGTGTGCTTTTGTTTTTTTGTTGTTTTTTTTCAATTTGCAGTGTTCAGCATCTGGCGCCATAAGTATATATCATAACATGGTGACCAAGGAAAACGTGCTTTACTCGTAAAGAAAACAAAGTTTTTCGTGATTATTGAGGAGCTGATTGTCACACCAGTGTACTAAGATAGATTCTTTTCCTAACATTGCCAGGCTCTTACAGTGACAGTGCTGGCCTGACTGTGGTAAGAGAAGACATAGCACAGTACATCACAGAGAGAGATGGGATCCCAGCAGACCCTGCCAACATCTTCCTGTCTACTGGAGCCAGTGAAGCTATCAGGGTAAAAGAGTAAAAAAAAAAAAAAAGAATAATAATTTTAAGCAGTAGATTTAATTCCAGTATTGGCAAACCTCTTTTCTGATCAAGGAGTTAACAAAGAAATTGCAAAGAGCCCGGGGTTTCATGGAAAAAAAACCCAAAGGCGACCCTTTAACTCCAGGACAAAGTACTTAGTTTGGTAATAATTAGAAAAATAGATGCCACAGAATTTTAGAAAATGAATTGAAACACAGGTAGATTGAAGAGTCGTGGGCAAAAACAATTGTGCTGAATTATAAATCTGTCAATAGCATTGCTCGTGTTTGCTTTTTTTAACCCTGCAAGTATGGCTATACAAATAGCCTGTGGTTTCAGGAAAAATTTAATGATTCATTGGGAAATGCTTGAGAACAGGTAAACTTGACCATAAACCTACACATTTTAAGGAATTAAATCGTAAATAGAGAGTAGGGCTCATTTGTGAAGGAGTTGGAATTGTTTGATGTAGTAAAAAAAACCTGATTAATGAACCAAAATTGTGATGCAAATAACAGCTGATTAAATCAGCTGCGACACCTCAGAACAGTAGGAGAGGTAATGAATTACCCATTGTCAGTTTCATATGAATGCCATTCCAATGACCATCCACTATTCAGTTTTTCTGTGGATTTAATGACTTGTTGGTAAAAAATTAAAAAGGAATGTGGCCCACAAATGCTTTTGTACAAACACAGTGCCTAAAGCCACTTATTCAGCTATCTAATTTCTTTATTTTGCTCCACAATTGTTGTAACTCATTTGCTGATCAATTCTTTTTCCTTTCTGCAGAATGTCATGAAGCTTTTGATGACAACTCTTGAAGGCAATGATAAATCAGGAGTGATGATTCCCATTCCACAATACCCTCTGTACACAGCCACCATTGCTGAATATAATGCAGAGCCTGTAAGGACTTTCTTCACTCTATAGTTATTTATGGTATCCACTTGGTGTACATGTCCAGTGCATTTTCATGATATTGCTGTTGTCACATGGTTCCTCTAACATGTCGCAGTCTACTCCCTAATTTTTCCTCTTTTTTTTTTTACCCATTGCTTTCATTTTGCTGCTCTCCAAGGTTTAAAATAATTATTTCCTAAAATACTTTTGTTGGATTCGTAAACAAGAAAAGTTTCAAGTTGCTTGAGCTGTGCTACTTGCAGAAAGATTCACAGGTTATAATTACATCTGTGTGATGAGGATATGAAGCTAATGGATATTTTCATACTCCTTTCAAATTCTGTTCTACATATCCAATGTTTGTCGTGTCTCTTTCTTGCTTTTTGTCTTGTATCCATGCTCTATAAGAAGTGGAAGGGCTTCAATCTACTTTTTATGAAGGATTTATAAGAATTTATTTACAGGAATTTCTACAACAACTGTATTGAATCAATTGATGTTCTTCACTTTTATTTTGTTACTGAGGTTTTTCTTGCCTCATGAATTTGCAATTTCCCGACTTCATATGGCCTAGACTGATATTTTTATGACAAAATGAGGTAGGCCTACGTGTTATGTTGAAACTGTATTTTAAGAAAGATAACACATCCTTGTACATTAGAAATTAAAAAAAAAATATATATTATTTGCAGACTATCGAATTCTTACAGATGAACTTTCCTACTTAATTTTTGTGCAACTTGGTTTTTGGTCTGTGTTTATTTGGTGTCTTTTTTTAATCTGTTGTGTTCTACACGTACATATACTTTATACATTTTTGCGCCTCTCAGATCGGTTACCTTTTAGATGAGTCAAATAACTGGTCTCTGAGTCTGGACGAGCTGGAGCGGTCTCTGCAAGAAGCTAAACCTCATTGCAAACCCAAAGCCATTTGCATCATCAACCCAGGCAATCCTACTGGTATGTAATCTATGGGCTATAACTGTCATCTCTGATGAGCTTTTTTATGGCATTGTAAGGTACTTTTAAAAAAAATTGTTCTGGTTCTTTTACTCGTGTTTTATCCAACAACAAAAATTTGGAAGATACCAATAAACTCTATGCTCTATGCAACTCTTGCTCCTTCTTTCCTATCAAACATCTATCATCCTTATCTTCCCTCCTTCTTTTTTATGTTTGTTACTCTCTTGTAACACCTCTTATCTTCTGGCGCTCATATGACCTTATGCAGTTGCAAGTGCCGTAAAACTCTTACTAAAACTTAAAACTGAACAACCTCTAGTCTGTTGTTGTTGTTGTTATCGATCCAGCAACAGCTGGGCTCTCGCCCTTCTGTCCAATGCCATGTAGTGATAAGTGCAGGTTTGCTGCAGTTGCTGTAATGTTCCATAGAGTGTGTTGTCAATGTTAGGTCTCGGAGGGAGAAGGGTACCTCTAGTCTAGTACATAAAGTTATCAGATCATAGCCGGCAACTGATCCATCTAAAAAAGAAGTTGAGAAAGGTTTTGGTAATCCTTTGACCTACAAAAATATGAGCCTCCGTTTGTGATGAGTGTTAAAAAAAAATTCCCATAAATTAAAGTCAGCCTGTTAGGCGTAAATATTGTATACCACTTTTAAGATAATTTGATTACCTTTACTGTGACATGCAAGTCTTAGCGCAGGCAATCTCTTTTGTATGCTGTGACCTAATTTCAGTGTTACTATAAATAGAAATGCTCGTGACTTATGTCACGTTCAAGAAAACCCAATGATGAAAAAAAAGTATAAGATATCTTTTTTTTCTTCTAGAAAGCCAAAGCTTATCCGACTATCAAAAGAACCCCCCCCCCCCATGTAATTCTCTCCCTCTCTCTCTCTCTCTCTCCCTCCCTCCCTCCCTCCCTCCCTCTCTCCCTCCCTCCCTCCCTCCCCCTCTCTCTCTCTCTCTCTCTCTCTCTCTCTCTCTCTCTCTCTCTCTCTCTCTCTCTCTCTCTCTCTCTCTCTCTCTCTCTCTCTCTCTCTCTCTCTCTCTCTCTCTCTCTCTCTCTCTCTCTCTCTCTCTCTCTCTCTCTCTCTCCTCCCCCCTCCTCTCTCTCTGTGTGTGGGTGTGCGTGGGCATGTGTGTGTGTGTGTGAGAATTGACCATGAAATACATTAGTCTGTTCCTCTTGTTACACAGGATTTGCATTTAACAATTATGCGATGAGCAGAAGTCATAATTTAGTACAGCCTTGAACAGCTATCAGCAGTTCTTTTGACCTCTCAAGGTCATTTGAGGTCATTCTAAAATTGTTGGACAGGAAGCGATGTAGAAAATAACTCAGAGACAAAAGAAAAGTAGTAACTGCTGTAATTTGATTAGAAATAATAAAATATCGCTAACTAACTCAAAAGTCTAGTGAGATAACACTAGTATTATATTTTAAGAATATTCACTCTAACTTAAAAGGTACTTTTAGAATGTATTATTTTCAAGCCTCTCACTCTACCGTTCCATATGGAAGGATTTTTCATTTAGAGAATGAAAGTTCAAGAGAGTTAAGATGGATTCCTCAAAGAAAGAGAAAGAGAGGAAAGCCTCAAAGCACTTGTAGAAGGGACTTGGATTCAGACCTCAAATAGATTGGATACAGTTGGACAGAGAGGTAGAGACTTTAGCTCAAACCAGAAGTTAATGGAGAGCTCTTGTTGGTGGCATGTTATGAGAAATTCATTGATGATGATATGTCTGGATTGCTTTGCTGACTCTTGTTACCTTATGATGAGCAAGGGCTGATTAGGGTCAGACTGAACTGTTCAGTTGTCGTCTCAAATTATTTTTAACTGATTCAAATATTTATAGTTTTCAGTTCAAATTTCTGTAAAGCTATAAAGCAAATGATGAAATTTATGCCTGTATGATTTGCAATTGTGGGTGGTTGGTGGGTGCTTTAGTGTAGTTTACTTCATCTTCTCTATCAAACGTTTATCGTCCTTATCTCTCCTCCCTTTTTTTAATGTTTGTTACTCTCTTGTAACACCTCTAATCTTCGGTACTTATATGACCTTATTGTGTTGCAAGTCCTGTAAAACTCATTATAAAACAATTTTTTTAAAAAGATTTACAAGTGTCATACTTTTCATTGTCATGAAGTGATGGAAGCAAACATTTACATTACCATAATATGTTCATTGTTATTCAGGACAAGTTCTGACAAGGCAGAACATTGAGGACATTATTCGGTTTGCTCATAAAGAAAACCTGTTCATCATGGCTGATGAGGTTTGTAGATATACATTGTCTTTTAGATTTCATATTTTCATTTTTCATCCTGTGACTTTACCTCTTTTTTCTTTTTTTTTTTTCTTTTTTTTTTTTAGTAGAGGTTTTACGGCGCTCGCAACTGCAAAAGGTCATATGAGCGCCAGAAGATTAGAGGTGTTACAAGAGAGTAACAAACATAAAAAAAGAAGGGGGAGATAAGGACGATAGATGTTTGATAGGAAAGAAGAAGCAGACCACACCAGAGCACCCGCCAACCACCCACATTTACTTCTTTCGTCAGTAATGTCTATTTAGAGTGTGATTCATCTTCACATTTGTTTGGTTGTGTACTTATCTTTTAATTTTTAACATTGTTTTGTTTAAGTCTGTACTATTATTTACAGTTGTAAGCCATAAGTCCCACAAAGCTATTATAGTTTTACATCATGTTTATGGAAATCTTAATCAAACACTGATTTTTTTTGCCACCTTACTGACTTACTCACTCACTCATTTATATATATATATATATATTATATATGTGAGGTGTGCTGGCAAAATGAGTTGCTTCTCGGATTTTAGCGTTATGGAAACTGATACACCAACTTGATAGCTGAAGTTTGTGCAATTTGTGAGCATAGTAAAAGACACGGTAGACTTGAACAAAATGGCATCAATTGAAAATCTATAAATCTGACCCCAGTGTCGATTTAATATATATAATATATATATATATCTTTATCAGTGATATTTGGGGCAGTGGGGATTATTTTGTGCTGCTGTTGCTCTGTATAAGATACTTTATTTTTCTCCTTTTCTTTTGTAATTGACCCAGGTTTATCAGCACAACGTGTATGCAGAAGGATCTCAGTTCCATTCTTTCAAGAAGGTTTTGACAGAAATGGGTCCACCATACAGTGAAATGGAACTAGCCTCTTTTATGTCGACTTCTAAAGGATATATGGGAGAGTAAGTTTGTTTGTTTTTTTGGTCTACAACTGCTTTTTTGTTAAGTGGCAAACTTATCTTGACACAATTTTTTGAAAAAAGAAAGTTTGAGGTTGAATACCTTTATATCACCTGCCCCCCCCCCCCCCCCCCCCCCCCCCCCACCCCCACTCCCGGGCAGTGCTACTGACACTGAAGTGTCTTTAGGCCATTCCCAAAGGGGGGATATGAACATGTTCTTATGCACAGTAGAATTGTAAATGGGCTGATTTATAAATGTCATGCTCATTCTGTGCCGGAACAACATAATGTGGAACTGTTACTTTTTCTTTCCTCATCCTTTCTATCGTCATTTTTCCTGTACTTTTAAAAAAATGTTTGTCACTCTCTTGTGAACTGCTATTTCCATGGGTGCTTTGATTGTCGAAGCAGACTTTGTGCTGTTGAGTCTTGAGAGTAAGCCTGATTCCCTGTTAAGACTTCTCTTTTGACACCCACCCCTTGGCGCTCATATGACCTTATGCAGTAGCGAGCGCAGTAAAACCTCTACTAAAACAAACAAAAATCACCTTACCTAAAATAAACAAGGCATTCCAGAACAATATCATTTTAATATTTGTGTGCGAATGGTTGGAGGGTGTGGCTGGTAGGTCCTATGTCTGTACTATTAGTTCTCTTTTGGTTCTGCCTGTCTTGCTTTTTCCCCAACTCTAAATGACTGTTCTTGGGTCGTTGTGCTTCTCTTTAGCCAAACAGAACAAACAAACAAACAAACAAACAAACAAACAAATAATATTTGTTGTTTCTGACATGTATTCCAGACTTTTCTCTGTTAATCCCAAGAAAAAAAGCACTCATTTGCCTGTGCCGTGTATTTTCTACACAGATGTGGCTTCCGTGGTGGTTATGTAGAGCTGATCAACATCGACCCCCAGGTGAAAGCCATGTTCACCAAGGCCATCTCAGCCAAGCTCTGCTCTGCTGTCACTGGTCAGGTAATATCTATGGCATAATAAAGAAAGATTAACTTGTTTAAGCTGTGACTTCTCCAAAAAATTTGAGGGGACTTAAGAAGATCTCAGGTAGCAACGTATGTCTATAAATATATTTTCTATGTAAAATGTATGGAGACTGTGAAATATTTCATAAATAGTTTATCTCACTGAGTTGCTTATGCTTGATAGTAAAAGTTGAAGTGGAAGGGAACACAGTTATTTCATTTTCATTGTTTGACTTTTGTGAAGTGTTTCTTCAATTTCATTTTCTTCATCTGTAATTCATTATTATTGTTTGTTTTCTTACTAATTTAAAACAAATATTTCAGATAGTTAATTCTTTCATAATTGTATTCAATTTTTACCAGGCTGCCATGGATGTGGTTGTGAACCCACCAAGAGAAGGAGAACCATCTTATGAGCTTTTCAAAACTGTAAGTGTAAATTCCTTTCATCCATCTCCTTTCTATTCTTTTTGAAAGGGTTCTTTGGTTTTGTATTTATTTGGGGGTTTTTTGGCCAGTCATTTCGCTTTTTACAATATTAGGAATTCTACTGAGAAGAAAGTTGAAAACCTTGTGTTTCAGCTTTACACTCAATTGTCACATATTATGTCTATAAAGGAAATTAACTTTTGTATACTTTTTGATACAATTTATTTTGATTTGTTCAGTATCATATGTGAGGCAGAGTGGTGGAATCAGGCTCTCGTCAAAATAATCAAAGTGAAGAAACTTGCTTTTTCTGTTGGTTTGTGAATTTTTATCAAATTTTTATTTTTCGGCTCAACACCTTTCATACCCATTAGAGAACTCATTTCTGTTTGGATTTTTCGGAAAAAATTTGATTAAAGGCACAAAAAATGTAAATTTTCAGTTACCACGGACTCTTAAGCTAAGGAAATAACTAATCTTTGGCGGCCATTTTCTCACTAATTTTACCTCTGAAAACAGGTGACCCCCACCTCATTCATTTGCAAATATCTCGACTTGTATTCAAGATAAATGGATATTTCTTTCATCCAAATAAACACAAGTGAACAAGCTTTACGATGATACCAATAACTCTACATGCTCAAAAATTGACGAGAGCCTGATTCCAGCACGCTGCCTCACATATACAGTATTTTTCCCTAAAGGAGGTGAATGTATGACCTACTGGTGGAAAGATAGGTATGTATAAACGTTTTATGTGTAGAGGTGTGTTGTATATACACAATTACATTTTGAATGTTGCAATATTTCTCAGCTGATATTGTTGTTTGTTCTGCACAGCAAAAAGACACAGTGCTCAGTCAGCTGGCTGAGAAGGGACGTATGGTTACGAGTACGTTCAACTCTATCGAGGGCATGAGCTGCAATGCTGTGCAAGGAGCTATGTACGCCTTCCCAAACATTGATATTCCCAAGAAGGCTCAGGAAGCGGCAAAGGTAATATAAATCTAGTTTACTTATTGAATAAACAAAAAGGCAGTGGCAGATTTTGAAGTGTCTTTAACTCTTTATTTTCGGCTCCCTGCAGCCCGTGGTCGGAACCGCTGTGCTAGTGAGCTGCTGACACGTCAGCGGCTCAGGCACATTCCTTTTCGACGACTTCAACATCAAATTACTGTTTGGCAATTGCCGAAAACAAATCTCTTTTATTGGGAGCTCATTTATTAGATGAAGAAGCCTGGCATAGTGGGTTTACCCTCCATGGAGATTAAAGAGTTAAAGAAATTATGTTCTCAAGTTCATTCCTGCAGTTCAGAGGCATTTACTATTTGACCCAGTGCAGTAATGTTTATCGAAGTAATTACAACAGATTCTGTTGAGCACGAAATTCCTGACAACACAAACGGATTTCAACTTTATTTTTTCCCCTCTTTATTCTTTGCATTGCAACTTCCCTTACCACGATAAAAAATTTCAGCAGATATCAGTAACATTGACTAATTTTGGGCTCTTTCATCATACCTACCGGCTGACTCTCCCTCCTTTCTCCTTCCCATCCCTCCACCCCCCTCTTTATCCCATGCATTGCAACTTTCCTTAACATGACAAAATATTCTATAGCAGATCTGGTTAACATTTTTGGGGCAGTTTCATCCCGGCTGCTCCCTTCCCCCTCCCCTTTAAAAAAAAACCTCACAGTAGCTCCCTCACCGTTGTCAATACATGTCACACAACATGTGTTCAATAGATTAAGGCCCTGTCCGGCAAAACAAAGCCACTCTTACGCCACTGCTGCACGTGGGAAGTGAGTGAGGAAAGACAACCTGAGATGAGACACTGAGCAGCTGCCACCTGTCCTTAATTTGAATGGGAACACCCTGGGGTTTTGTTGGGGTTTTTTTTTTTTTGGGGGGGGGGGGGTATCCGAAGTTGAATATAAGATTTCATCAATGCCTTTCACCCCTGGCAGGGTATAGGCCACATACAAGCTCCTTCCATTTATCTCTGCCCTGAGCCATCCTTCCACGCTCGTTCCAAGTGAGCTTCATCTCTCTCATATAAGATTTACCTCTTTAAAATTTCCAAAAGTTGTGCAGCTCTGCAGGGGTTATTAGTGACTGAAAATGAGTTACACAAGACCCAATGTGATCTTGTCAGTTTTTTTTAAGTTTTTTTTTTTTTGTGTGGGTTTTTGATTTAAAAAAAAAAATTTTTTGGGGGGGGGTGTTTGTTTTTTTGGTGGGGGGTTGCAACAACAGTTAAGACAAAGTAGCCTCCTTTTTTTTTCAGTAACATTCGTCTTATGAAATCTGCTCAATATGAACAGATTCTATAGTCCCACGAAGTTTGTATTATCAAAGTTTTTCTGTGTATTGTATTCAGTTCATTTGAAATATTTGTCATTTGGTTTTGCTATGTTCTCTATAAATGAAAAGGTTGTACTTGTAAAAAGCAAACGTAGAGGATAATGAATGTTTTTGAAGGGATTCTCATGTAGAAAAGATATGAGCTTGCCTTTTTGTTTCTTCCTCAATAAATTGTGTTGCATCGTGGGGCAATTAGGCGCTCGTCAAAATAATGAGATTGAAGAAATGAACATGTTTCAGCTCATTTGGATCTATATTTTTGTTTTGGGTATTATTCCTTTTATGTCTATTTAAAAAACACATTTCTGTGTTTGTATTTTACTGAAAAATGTTGATCAAAGGCGCAAAAAAATGTAAACCTGCCGTTTCCAAGAACACTCAAGCTCTGGAAGTCACTGAACTTTATAGCGGCCATTTTCTGGCTAATCTTACCTTTGACACCAGGCGAGTCCTACCTCCTTCAATCGCAAATATCTATACTTCTATTTAAGGGGAGGAGTGACCCTTGATTTTGCCGATTTTGGGTCAGGCTATGCACATTGGGATGTTGGCTGATTTTTTAAGATTAATCAGTTCTTTGTCTAAAAATAGCATGGAAACAATTGAGAAAGTCTTTATTCTCTTCGTGAATTGCCTTTGAAAACATGAGGATGGGTTAATATAGCAAATTTTCACAATTATTGTCATTTTTCGCAAAATGTCGGGGG